TTAATAATAATAAAGAAACTAATTATAAGGATAATAAGAGTTCTTAAACTTTAATTAATAAGGATAGTAAAGTATAATATAAAAGAAATATTTTACTACCCTTAAAGGGGATATAATATAAGTATATAAAAGGTAAAAAGAACTAAAATAAATAAATATTAAGTCTCCTTAAATAATAACTATATAACTTAAATAAATAACTATAAGAATAGAAAAAGGTTAAAGTAAAATAATAATAAAAATAACTTAAAATATCCTTAAAAAATATTAAATTTATAAGAAATTATTTAAGGAAGAACTTAATATAAAGATACTATAATATAGCTATTAAGACTATAAAATTTAGCTTAAAATAAATAACTTATTATTCTAGAAGATTTATAACCTTAATAAAAAAGAGCTTAAGACTTTAAGAAAATACTTAAAAATAAAATTAGCTAAAAGAAATATTAAGATATTTATATTATTAATAAGATTTCTAATAATATTTATACCTAAGAAAAACAGAAAACTATAACTTATTATAAACTACTAAAGATTAAATGCCTTTATTATTAAGAATTAGATCTTACTTCTACTTATTATAAAACTTAAGGACTGCCTATAAGGAAAATAAATCTTTATTGCTTTTAACCTTAAAGGAGCCTATAATTTAATTTATATTAAGGAAGGAGATAAATAGAAGATAGTATTTAGAACTAAGTTTAAACTCTTTAAGTACTTAATAATATTATTTAGACTTATTAATATACTTATAATATTTTAATAAATAATTAATAATATACTTTAATAATACCTTAATATCTTTATAATATATTACTTAAATAATATCTTAATCTTCTTAGATAATAAAGGAGAATATAAGGAATATATTTATAAAGTCTTATAAGTACTATAAGATATTAATTTATTAATTAAACTAAAAAAGAGTTATTTTTATATAAAAGAAGTAGACTTCTTAAAATATACTATTTCCTTAAGATAAATTAAAATAAATTAAAAGAAAATTATAGTAATATATAATTAGAAATAACTTATTAATATTAAAAAAGTATAAAGCTTCTTAAGTTTTACTAACTATTACTAATAATTTATAAAAGACTTTAGTAAAATAGTAAATTTACTTACTAAATTAATAAAAAAAGGTAAGACCTTTATATTTAGCATAAAGGCAAAAGAAGTATTTATAAAACTATAAGATATAATTCTTAATAAGCTAGTCTTAATTATATTTAACCTTATTAAGAAAATAGAATTAAAAATAAATATATTAGATTTTGCACTTAGAGGATAAATTAGATAAAGAGATAAAGAAAGATAATTATACCTAATTGCCTTTTACTTATATAAATTATATAAAGTAGAGCTTAATTACCCTATCTATAATAAAGAATTCCTAGTAATTATTAACTATTTTAAGGAATTTAAATATTATTTTATAAGAAGTATATATTAAGTTAAAGTTTATACTAATTATTAAAATATTTTATATTTTACTATAACTTAAGAACTAAATAGATAATAGCTATATTATACTAAATACTTATATAAGTTTAATTTTATAATTATTTACTATAAGGGATTAAAAAATAAATAAGTAAATACTATTAGTAAAAAACTAAACTATAATACTAGTATAATAAAAACTAATAAATAAATCTTAAAAAGAATAAAAAGGGAAAATATAAGTTTACTTAATAAATTAAAGTATTAGGATAGATATAAAAGGCAATAGTAAAAACAATCCTAAAATATAAAGTATATAACTTTCTTTATAAATTCTATTTATATTTATTATATAGATATTAAAGAGTTATAAAGACCTTAAAATAATTATAATAATAAAGATACTAGATTTAAAGAAAAGAAATAGAAAAAACAATTAAATAATATAACCTTTATATAAAGATAAGGTTATAAAGATATAAACTATATAAATAACTATAACTACTAGAAGTAGTAAAATAACCTTAGAGTTTAATTATAATAGACTTTATAACTAAGTTACCCTTATTAAAAGAACCCTTAATTAGAATCTTCTATAATAGTATTATAGTTATTATAAACTGACTTATAAAGTTCTTATATTACTTGCCTTATAAAGAAATAATAAATATAGAATAAATATTATATATCTTCTATAATAGAATAATTAAAATATATAGACTACCTATAAAATCTTATTAAATAAAGGACTAACTTTTATATTAAAGTTTTAGTAAGTACTTATATTATATTTAAGACTAAATTACTAATTATTAATAGCCTTTAGATCTTAAATAGATAGATAAATTAAATAAATAAATTAGGTATTAAAGCAGTACTTATAGTATTATATTAATTATAAATAAGATAATTAAATTAAGAAACTACTATATGCCTAATTAGCTTATAATACTATATATAATAAAAGTATAAAGCTTATACTATCTAATGCCAACTTTAGATTTATGCTAAATATATATTATAATATATAAAAACCTAAATTAGTTAACCTAGTAGTTATTATTAAAAGCAAAGACCTTAAGATGCTTTATAATAAAATAAAATAAAGCTTAAATATATTAGAAAATAAATAAAATAATACTATAATCCTAAAAGGTTAAAGGGACTAACCTTCTTAAAGGGAGATATAGTTTACCTATTTATAAAAAACATTAAAACAGACTAACTAAGCTATAAACTAGACTATAAGTATATTAGGCTATTTAAAGTTATAAAGAAAAAATTAGAAAATAACTATAAACTAGATTTACCCTTAATAATATAATACTATCTAATATATTATATTATAATACTTAAATTAGTAATAGATATAATATATATTAAAACCGGTAATAAACTATAAATAATTATAAAACTAGAGGTTTATAAAGTAAAAGTAATTAAGAAAATATAACTAAAAAATAAAAAATAAGAATATTTAGTTAAATAGAAGGACTACCTAAAGAATAAAAATATATAGGAACTAACTAAATACCTTATTAATGCTTAATAACTCCTAAAGAATTTCTACTAAAACCTAAAAAATTAAGGAAGGCATTAAGACCTAATAAATCTTACTTAGACTGCTTGGTAATAGTAGACTAGTCTTAGAAAGTGCTATCTATTATAGCACCTTTTAGAGCAGCTTGCTTATCTTATTTTGCCTTTTCTAATTTATTTATAAAATTAAGACTATACTAGATTATATTAAGGCCCTTAACTTCTATTTAATAATACTAGTGCCTTAAGTAAGTAATCTTAGTAAATTAAGTATTTATTTTATTATAAATATAGGTAAACTCTGCCTAAAGATTAACTAGCTTATTCTTAGCAGCCTCTTCCTCCTGCTTAAGATAATGCTTCTTATTAATAATCTTTCGAGCTAATATTATATTAGTAAACTATAAAAAAAAAAAAAAAAAAAAAAAAAACAGATATTATATTAAACGACTTACTAGCTATAATAAATAAGCTATAACTATTATAAGAAATCCCTAACTTAATATAGAGATTATAGTAATTAGACTTTATAGGATTAAGGATATATAAATCCTCTATTTTTCGATAAATATAGTTTAAATAAGGCATAATAGGATTCCTAAATGCTATAATAAGGATATAGAGAGATTTTTAATTATTAGTAAAGGTTTTCTTAGCCTTTACTATATAGTTAGATATCTTAAGGGGATTATAGGATTAAGTTAGACTTACTAGAGGATAACTAATAGAAAATATATTAACTAGGCCTTAAGGATAAGGCCTAATAGAGGAGAGAGATTATACTATAACCCTAGTTATACTATTATATATACCTTATATTTTCCTTTAATTACTATAACCTTACTAGACTAGATTAATACTAAGTCTTTATAATTATAATTAATTTATTATAATTAGTATTAATTTAATTAGGATTACTACTAATCCTATAATAACCTTACTAATTATTATTTATATTTATAAGTATATAGATTATATTTATTAATACTTTTATAGATCTTAGCTTACTAGCTATTAATAAGACTTCTTTATATTAATAAGCCTAATATGCATTACTTAATTATTAAGAGATATAATACTTTACACTGCTTAGTATTATGCCCTATATTATCTGCCAATATAAACCTAGAACGGACTAGTTTATCCCTTAGAAACCATAACCGTCACACTCTAAATATATCACAAGCATATTACGTTAACCTTAATTAGAGGTTTTATCCTTAATAGATATATTATAATTAGTTAGTTAATAACTCCTTATTGCCTGCACTTCTACGAGAAGAAAGTAAGCATTATTGCTTATCTAAGCAGTACCACTCCTTAGAAACTAATTTCTAGGTAAATTTCATAACAGAATATAGGAATTAATTATCAGTCTGCTATATCTTTTACTCTAATTGCTAGTCCTCTATATTAATAATAATCTAGGATTGCTAAACATTATTAGCCTTCCTGCTAAGAAATATAAGTTTATCCTAGATACAATCACATAGCTATTACTTGCCCCTTATATCTATACCCTTAATCTCCAGGGCATGCAGTTTTTTCAGATACCGTGATAATACCTCATAACTTGTGGACCGTAAGTCACAATGCTTATACGCGCCCCACCCGCCCCCCCCCCCTTCCCTCCCCCCGTTTCAATTGCCAGGTATGGAATCGGGGCGGACCTATCTGCTCGCTTAAGCAACTCATTAGGGTCGGGAGGACGCAGTGAGTTAACAAGAGTATTTAGCTTCCGGCGACGTACTTTAGTAATACTATATTTCTCTCTAGGGTGACGTCCGACACGATTGTCGTCTGTCTTTAAAACCAAAACCCCAGGGCATGCAAATGATGGCTCGATACGAGATATCGTAGTAGAGCTCTAGAGTCTTGAGCGTCTGCAGTTGACTTGGTGTAATGTTCCGCTGACGGAGGATGCTTTGAGAAGACGCCTGGATAAACATGCTAAAAACGTAAGGTGGGAAGGGGAGAGAGATACTATACGCGAGCTTGTCAAGATAAAGCGAGGCGGTTTATTCGTGCAAGAGTAAGCTCATGCTATAATAGCTACGAGAAGACTTCAAAAAATAGCTCTCAAGTTCTGTGCGAATTGAAGGTATAGATTAGTGAAGATATCGCGACGTTGGGAAATATCAATATAGTTAAAGGCATCTAGTTACGTACTTCATCTCTGATTGAAATAGACATCCGATGTAGATACAAAACACTCGTGATCCCATCACCTCAAACTCCGGTCACTCTTATTATGATGCCATCCCTCCTATAGTACATCTTCCTCAGCGTATGTTACCAAGCATTTAGACAAGCTACCCTTGGTAACGAATCTCAGTGGTTCCGCTGCGGTGCCAAGTAGCGAGTATGATGCCGCACTGGGTCACGTTAGATAAAACATAGACATTAAGTTTAAGGAGAGATCAGTACCTGTCCGCATTTATGCTCGACATCCTTGGCGTCGTTCATGAGATATGGAATACAGCCTAAGCAGAACAGACAGCAAATAGCAGCAGCCCAGCCGCTAATAGCCATCAGCTACAGGCACTAAGCCGACATGTTTTTAGGGCATTTACTTACTGGGTGGTGTTGCCAATTGCAAAGCTGGTTGCGGTCAAGGCCCGCTGCCCACAGCCAGGGCAGTCCACGGGGGCGGGAGATCGACCGAGAGCCGCAATCGGAGCTACGGTCTTGTATTGTGAGTTTGCGTGGAGCGTCTGGGCCACCTGGGCGGCGTTCATGCCTGGTGTGATAACTCCTTGCTGCCTTGGATATGTCACATAGTGCCCTGGAAAGGTTTCTTGTAGCTGAGGTACGGTTCCTGCATATTGTACGGGAAACGATGGTTGCTGAGGTAAAACTCCTGATTGAGCTGGAATGGAGGTTTGATAAGCGTAGTCACCAACAGTAGGAGAGCGGGGGAAGGTGGTTGCCGGGTTGGTAGGCATAGACGTTACAGCTATTCCGATTTAATTAGTATAGCTATTCAAGGAAGTCGAGCCGCACGGGAGGATATTACGCACCAACCTCCTTCTCCATTTTGATAGTCTTTGTGAATAATTGAGTTGTTTGTTGATCTTATTGTAAAGATAAAAAGGAGCGAGGCCAGACACGAAGAGGATAGAAGGAGAATGCATTGACGGTGGATGTCTTCCGCCCTCGTTTTTGTACTACTCCGACGGACTCCGGCTGCATACTCTAGAGAAGTAAAGCCTCGATGTGGCAAGGCTGGTTTGGCTCTATATGATTGGCCCAACAAATAAGTGACTATGGTGATTAAGGACTAAGGCTGGGAAGCTACACTGTAAGAGGTGATCCTATTAGGCTGGCCGCAAAGGGGGCGTCCATCAGGGCATCCCGTCTCTGTCATTTTTTTTTGGCAAATTCTTTAGCCTCCGGTATTGCGGGGACTTCCTTCGGCATGATCAAGCTTAATACTTTCACAGGGTAGCGGAACATGTTTGGCTCTCCTAGCGTTATCACCTTTCCCATTTCAGGCCTAGTCGAGTAATTGTCCTACAGCAGTTGCCGTAGAAGCACATCTAAAAAAGCAACTTACCACGTAATGTCACATTCGCTTTCGATCAATTCAATAGAGCCCCTTGAACCACCTGTGCTCACGGCACGAACACCCTGCGTCCCCGCTTCATTTTCGCTTTTGGCCCACTATACAGTATCCCTGCACAGTCCAGAGCCGCCACGGCGTCGTTAAAACTCAAAGGGTCACACCCCCAGACCAAAAACCCCAAGTCCATCTCCGGGTTGAATGGGCTAAAAGATGCATTGCTATCCCTTTAAGCGATATAAGGCTCCACTGGGGTCATGACAAGGGTGTAGGGCCAATAAAAAATTACTGAAACTGGCGGTACTTTCCTACACATAAGAATTTATTCGGTGATAGAAGTCCCCGCAGATTTGATTATTACAAATCGCTACCTCACAGAATCGGCATATCGGGTCTGCTTCCTTTGTTGCTTGCTTTGCGCATTTCCCGTTTTCGGCTATAGATAGCTTCCTTTTCTCTTCCTCTACTTAAAAAGTCACGGCTGCCCCTGCTTGAAGCCTTTGCAAGCCTGGCAAGCCGATTTAAGGCCCCTGTAGACATAGTTGATATCTCTTTGTATGTGATTTTGCTAGTAAATGCCTTATTTGACGAACTTCTTGTACCCCGATTGTACTAGTTGTATTACTTAATAGATATAGGGCGAGTGACCTGCTGGAGACTTGTGCCGCTCAAAGGGATACGGAGTAAGTCAACTATCGATAGTCCACTGCACGGACAAGGAATATAAGGCAAGGGTATGCAAGGTGTAGCAACATGGCGGAGCATTAGTCCATCGCAGTCCAGAAGCGAAACCGCGTTCTATGTTCACTGGAAAAGATCCACCTTTACTGCAGGTTGTTAGTGGAGATTGCGTCTTCAGCCGCATGCAAAGATAACGACCGGTAAGCTTGCCTGACCGGCTGCAACAAAGCCATGAGTTAATAAATTGACACGACTGTCCAGCTGACCCCACCCACCAACGGATCATGGCGTCGATGGGTCAGACTTTGCATGGCCAGAAAGACCTTTGAATGCATTTAGCGCATTATTCGCTAATGGGCATACGGGAGAATTAGGCATTTGATAATTATTTCGCAAAACTTGTAATTAAAGTTAATTCAGTTTGGAAAGGAATCACCGCTTTGTACCTTATGTCAAGTGTCAGATAAGGCGAATAGTGGCTTGTCGGTAGTCTCCGCCGGCTAAGACCCGCCTGTTTGAGCCTATTTGGTTAGTCTTGTTATCTCTATCCTGGCGAAGAATGAAGATATGCTGTGTTGTCCAGATTACTTTACCCGTATTGCGGCATTCTTTTAACTAATAATACCGGTAAAGCTATTACTGCTTAATTTTCCAATCTACACCGATATAAACAGGCTGTGCACTTTGCTAACTGTGTTGCATGCCTTAGCTGTGTGAGGACCGACAGTCTCGAACAGAACAAACGGCCCCAATTAACTAAATAATGATGTCGGCTCGACATTATTAAGCCGCATTTCTCGCAAGCACAGAAACGTTTAGGCTTTGTGGATCACTGCTGGGGCACATTGTGTGGGGTACTAGGTAGCCTACTAGCAGTGTGTCTATACTTACTTATAAAAATATCTTACTAAAACTAATAGTTAACCTTATCCCTTTAAAACAATCTACTCCAACGCCTGTTATACCTTGACTATTTTATAAGTTACCTTATAAATTAAAATAAAATATTAAATTTAAATTTTATAAAAAATATAATATCTTTATATTTAGTATTTAAGTAACTATAATTACTAGCTTATTATAATTTGGTAATATTTTTATAATTAATATATTATATAATAAAGATATTTAACAACTTATAAATTATAATATTATTATTAACTTATTATATAAGGAAAAAAGTAAAATAAGCCTCTTTTATAAAAATAAATATTTATAGGTTTAGATATAAGGGTGTTAATAAAAATAATAGAAGGCTTATATTTCTTTCTTATATATACTTGAAAGGAAATTTAAAAAAGATTGTATTATATATAAATAAGTTTTATATTAATTTCTAATTTTAATAATTAGTTAATTATATAAGTATTACTTTAATAAATTATATAAAGTATAGAATTTTATTTATAATTATTAACACTTAATTATAATAGAAATAGTAAAATTAGTAATAATCTCTAGGAATTATTAAGTAATTTTAATAATTACTTTATAACTACTTTTAATATATAAAATATATTTATTAATATATATATATATAACTTAGCTTATTAGCTATTATTAATACGTTTTATATAAATAAGTCTTATATATGTTATTTAATTATTAAGAGATATAATAACTAATATTTAAATTTTATATAAGCTTAAATTAATTATAAATAATATTTAGATGTTTATGTTTAGACTTTTAATAATTATATTTTTTTAAAAAATATATATTAAGCTTTAATTATTATTTAAATAAATTAATAGCTTAATACTTATTAACTAATAATATAGTATAATTAATAAGTAATGAATTTATTATTTTTTAAATTATTTTAATATTAAAAAGGAACTTTTTATAAATCTAAGTTAAAAATATATTAAATTACAATTTATATCTTTAAATTACTTAATTTATATTACTTTAAAATATAATTGTTATAAGTATTATAACTAAGAAATTAATAATAAGGGGTTTGGGAGTAAATAGTATAAATATATATAATTTATAATATATTTAATTTACGATTTATCTAATAGGCTTTAAGTATAAAAATAATTCTATCCTTTTAATTAAAATCTAATATATTATATACTTAGAAAATAATTAATTAGCTAATTAAATATATATTTATAAGGTTAGTACTTTATATACTTATTTAACTTATATACTTATTATTTATATTATACTTATTATATAAAATAATACTTTAATTTAAAGCCCATTTATTATAATTAAAGTTAATAGAAACCAGCAAATATAATAATAATAATATAATAATATTTCCACCATAAGAATATATTATATCGAGGGCTTTTATTAGTATTAGAGGTTGCCTCGCTAGATGCTGTGGTGCTCAGAGTTGCCAATGAGGTATGAGTTATGACGGATTCATCCGAAAGGTCTAGTGACTGCATTACGCTATTTAGCAGTTTAAAATACGAACGACAAGTGAAAGCTCACAGTTGAGGCTGTAGTTGGAAGCTCTGTAAATGCCGATTGTGTGTAGCTTTTGTTCTCAAAGCAACTCCACCCACCCGCCATCTCTACATATGCGCAGCGAAGGGCAGGAGGGCAGCACCATGTGCCTAGCAAGCAATGACGAGTTAGGTAAGTGTTGCTTGTAGTGGGGCTTGTATTGGACTGACCACAATTAGAGTCACACTCAGGTATTTTCCGACCTTGGAGTGGATGGCCGTCCAGACCAGCCGTGGCGAGTCCTGGCTTGAGAAGGCCAAAGCATAGAAGGGGCAAGAGGCCTGCCATGGTGAATAAAAAGTAAGGTCCGGTACTACTAGGTATTGATGTGCAAATTACTGACTGTTGATAATGAGAGATAGAATTGGCTGAATGTCTTGGAGGCGGAAGGGAATCGTGCTTCTTAAGCCTATCGATCGTGACGCCTCTGGCTATCACATGATAATTACACAGACCGCCAGGGCAAACTTTACGACCAAGAGCCGCCACTACGAAAGCCATAGCCTACTTTGGCTTTCAGCTCTCATTTCGAGCTCCAATTTAGGGGATCGTTCTTTCAGCTAGGGCATTACCCAGGCCTCTCAGCAAGGTGGCTGAACCTTAACTATCCTACATAGAAGGACGGTTCCGCTTGGGGTTTAGTCGGCTGCTAAGATGAAGCACGTGGTGCGCCTCGGGCTAGACCCCCCAATATGGCTTTTGCCTCGAGCCTCAGTGACTGGACAGTCGAGCTTGGCTCTGGCATTTATTTGGCACCACCTTGGCGGGATATGGAATATCGACCCTATGCCGCTCGAAGGGTAGTCTAGACCGCTTTTTCAGTATGAAGCTAAACCCTCAAGGATACAGGGGCGTCAGGCCGCCTTATAATGTCTTTTTATATAAGACTATATAAGTTAACTACTAATATAACAAACAACTAGAATATATAAAAAAATAAATATAAAATATAAAATAAAATATAAAATAAACTAATACTACTTATTAGATATATTAATATAGTTAATATATATAATAAGTAAATATAGTAAATAAATAAATATAATAGCCTACTTTTTACCTTATATTTAGTTTTTTATAACCTTATATATAATATATTATAATTACCCTTATTAGCTTACCTAAGCGCTTACTTAAAATAAAAGTCTAAGTTATAGCTTTTTATATAATAGGCCTTATTAGCTTTAAGTAATTATAAGCTATTTTAAATAGGTATTATAATAATATAATTATAATACTATTAGTAGTTATAATAAGAAGTTAAGTTAAATAACTTATTATATAATAAATAATTACAGCATACCTATAAGGGTTAATAAAAAGGTTACCTTTAAAGTAAGTTATAAAAAAAAAGTTAAGACTAATTAATAACTAAGGCCTTTTAGCTAAAATATATATTACTAGGTTTAGGCTATATTAAAGTACTTAATTATACTAAGTAAACTAAATAAAGCTTAATTACTTATAAAGGTATTAAATATTTAAATTATATTAAACATTAGAGATATATAAATATATTTTTAAAAGTTGATGTATAAAATAAAAATAAAAATAATTTAAATTTAAATTTAAACTTAGCCTAGATTTAGTCTTATAAAAAGTAAATAAAAGGATTAAAAATATATAAAGTTATAAGTTATTATAATAAGGTTATAAGTAGGTTTTTTATAGTTTTTACATATTAAATAATTATTACAAGAGATTAAAAGTATAATAAGTTATAATTAAATAAGTACTTAAGAATAAGTTATATATTAGTACTTATATATAATAAATATTAAATATATAAGGATTATAATTCTATTAGCTAAAAATAGTTATTTAAAAATATAAAAGATAATTATAATAGGTATTTCTTTATTTAATAAAATTAATGTTATTTTTAATATTATTAAGTAACTCTTATAATATCTATATAAAAACCCCTTAATTAGCCTTCTTTTCCTCTTTAAGCGTTAATAAACATAATTTTATTAAGCCTACTTAGGTTTACTATTTTAAAACCCTTATAATAAATATTTTAAGATTATATAATAATAATTAAAATATTATTATTATTAAAGATAAAGTTATATATTTACTTAATAATTATTTATTAAGTTATATTATATACCTTAATAGTAATATAAGTATATAAAAGGTAAATACTATCTTAATTACTATTAATATAATAATTCTAAATACCCTTAATACTTAAGTAATATAGCTAAATAGTATTAAAATATTTATAAGGAATTAATAATAAGTTAATAAAGGCTAAAAGTATTAAAATAGTAAGAATATATAAAAATATACTTTTTTTTAATATTATTATATAAAACATAATACTTTAATAAAGGCCTATTAAAATATTATAAAGATTTATTATATTAAATACTATATATATAATAAGTATACCTTTTTTATATTAATAGTATATTAATATTATAACTAATTTACTTATTTAATTACATAATCTGTCTTATAACTTATTTAATCCTCTTTTCGCTACTAATGCCAAATTTAGTTATAACTTTAGGTCTTTAACTTTAGGCAACTAAACTTATATAAAACTTAATATATTTTTCCTCTAAACCCCACAATTACCTAACTTCTATTTATATCGCGTTACAGGTTCTCGGTCTTTTCTAGTACCTCCTTAGCCTGCCACTAGATATCCTTAAGCCACTTATTATATAAGCCGCCATTAAGGGCCCTAAAGAACCCCCTCTCTCTCTTACTTAGCTATACCCCTCTATATAGCTTCCTTTCTAAATTCTTAAGCTTTTACTTCTTATATTTAAGAAAGTCTTTATTAATTAAAGGGTTCTTATAAATAGACTATATAAGCAGGAGGATCTTATAACTAAAGATTACTATCTTAATATAGCTAGTATTATCCTTATTAAACTAGGCCTCTTTAATATCTATAGCTATTATATATAATATATTGCCCTTGCCCTTATTTCTCCTAAGAGCTTCTTTAATCTTAGGGATCACATCATGGCCTTTAGTTAGATAAGGCTTATCAGGCCTAGGTGCCTGCAGGCTTCTTCGGATAGCAGGCATCGTGATGGGGCAGCTGTGATGCTGTTAGCGGTTGCGGCCAGAAGTCGGGTCGGGTCGGATAACTTACTAAAGCGTGATGGATGATTGAAGCGTGGTATCCTTTTAGGTGGGTTGTAGGAAGAAGGTTAGGGCCAGCTTTTGAGCAGGGCTTTTTAGCTGGCATATATACAGCTAGGTTCAGGCTGCAATTAAGGCAGCTAACTATGATGATTTGACTTAATAAAGCTTTACCGGCTGTAGGGGCAATAAATATTTAAACTATATTAGATTCTGGAGATGCTTAGATATACCTTTTAAGGCTAACTTATAAATTTAAAAAAAAATATATATATATAATAAATATAAAGGATTTCTTTAAGGGGCTAGTTAATAAGCTAAATCTTTAAGTTATTTATAAACTTTTAAAAAATATTTATATAAAAGAAAATATAAGATATATTAGTAATAGCCTTTAATTTAAATTACTACTTTATTATTAATTTTACTTTATTTATTCTTATATATAATATTAATTAATTATATACTTTATTATATATTTAATTAGTTAAGCTAATTATAATATTAAATTAATTTAACTTTTACTAATTAACTTATATAAAATAAACTTAATATAATTTCTTTAATTTTAACTTTAATAAAATTCTTAAACCTTGGCTTTAATTTATATTTATCTTTTATATATAAACTCCCTTTACTAAGTTAAAAGTAGCTCTGTAATAATACTAGCTGCCCTTATAGTTATATTAAGGAGTTATTTTTTATATATAGCTAAGTTTAGGCTTCTAAAGGCAATAAAGAAAGCTACTTTATTTAATTTAAAAACATAACCTTCCCTTATAGCCTTTTCTAAGTCTTTAAAACCTAATAGCTTATTAATAACTTAATTTAAATTAATTTAAATTAATATAATATCTCTTTTTTATATAATTATTTAATTAAATTAGGCTATAATTAAAGATAATTATTTTAATAAGAAGTTTCTTATAATAAGAATAAATCTTATTAGTTACCTTTAAGGCAAGCCTAATAGCTAAATTAATATTATAACTAGTTATATAATAAGTATAATTATATATATATATATTATTTTATATACTAGGTATTAAGGTAATATAGCTATTATACTATTAGCTAAAAGGGCTAAAAGGAAAAGCTAAGTTAGATAATATACCTTATAAAAAATAAATTAGGTATAATATTTCTTTAGCAAGGTTAAAAAAAGGAGGTTAATTTAACTATTAAGAGATAATAAGTATTTATATTACCTAGTTAAGGCAGTATTTATATTATAAAGATAAATAAATTATATCTAATATTAATCTTTATTATAATAACTTATTATATAGGTCTTATTATTTAAGTTATTAATAAAAAAGCTAAAATGCTAAATAGCCTCTTATAAGAATAGAAGTAAAAAGATTTTTTTTATTAGTAATATATTAAAAGATAAATATTATAATAAAAAATAAAAAACTAATAAAAGAACTTATAAAAAGATAAGAAATATATTAAAAATAATTTATTAGTATTTAAGAGTTTTTAATAATTTAAAAAAATATATATTAAATAATAATATATTAGTTATATAGATAATTAATATATATTTATTTTTAGCTAATTACTTTATAATATATTATTATAATTACTATTACTTTTTAATTAAAGAATTTAATAATGTATAATAGTTATACTTCTTATAACTTAAAAAGGGGTATAAAATTAAAATAATAAAAGGTTTAATAATATATAGCTAAAACCTTAATAAGTCCTTAGGAGATAAGGGATGTATATAGAACTTTCCCTCTTAATAAAGATAAAAAAAAAAGGAGGGACAATAACAACAAGGGCTTTTCAACAAGGACAGCATCCCGCATAAGCATCTCACTTAACCCCTTACTTTGCCTGGGTTTCACCACTTGAACTATTGTAAAACCCGAGAAGCAGGCTCTGGTGGGGTTTAGTAAACTTTGCTCTTCTATTCCGAATCGTCGTTTAGCAATGGAGCAATTAATAATCGAGAACTTTGCTTTCCTCGTGAATGAGTTGCATTGGCACACGTAGCATGGTTTCTTGCTTATGGTCGAGCGATCCGCTACTCCAGCGAACCAAGCACATTGGTATGAGTCATCGAACCCATGTGAAACACTAAGTTGAAAATGTGCTGTCTCGCTAGGTAGTTGGTTGCTTCAATGCAGGACATGAGAAGTTGGTAGGAGGGGACCAGAGCGTCTCGCTCGCTAACCACGTAGGCGGATAACGCAACTGTTATGTCTCAGAACGTTTGCTGCGTTTGCCACTTGGTGGGTCTCCCACGTACGATTTACTGTTTTGGTGCTTGTGCTGGTGTGTCCCCCACCTCACTTCGCGGGGTTGCGTGAGATATTGGTCTGCCTCCTGCAGATGACCAATAAGAGTGAACTTCTTCTGGTACAAAATTACAAACCCCGCCAAATAACGACTTGATTCTTGAATTTTACAAACGTATAAAAGGAAAACTTAAATCGAGCATAACCCTATCGTCTCAGGCACTCTTGATATCCAGATCATCACCTGGTTAATGAGTTGGCATTATCAAGACATTCAAGACGTAGACGAGTCCACGACTTTCGAACAAGTTGTGGGCTCGTCTCAACCTAGCCTGAGTCTGTCACTACCCCATGCAACACAAGGCCTTCAGTAATTTAACTGATAACCAGAATTATAGTATCTCTAGGCGATGTTACTTACAGTTTATCTGGAAACGATGTCGATGAGGAGTTCTTAGCAACCTTAATTCTACCGCAAGAGGAACACACCTTTGGAGCTTTTGATATATTCCAAAACAACTCATATCCTTATGATCTGTCGCATCTTCTGAACATAGACCTGATTTAAATCGACGATTTGCTCTTAGAGGTTCCCGAGCTGGGCATTCCGGATGAAACCGGGCCTCGTCAGTTAACATCGGAAAGGCTACAACTACAGCATGGACCACTTCTTGATCCGCAGATGAACACTTCCACCATTCTGTAGAATGAGTCATCTTCGCAGATCAGTACATCTGGATTCATTCCACAGAACACCTTTACTGATCAATACTGGGGAAATTGTTTACCTTCGCACCTCAGTCTCACCGAAGCTCACGATGAGATTATGCTAGGGGAAGCAATTGGCAAAGAATATGACGAATGGCGACTTTTATATCCTGGAAAGGATGCCTTTGTTGTCAATGGCTTGTTCTATTGCAATCGTCAAGAATGTCTGTCGTCTTTCCAAACGTCTAGAGACAGGAAGTTAGTACCTCTTCATTTTACATACTATGAAGATAAACATACTGATGAATAACAGTGCACATATCAGGGAGCAAGAGAAACCCGTCATCTGTCCTTCCTGCGATAAGCGAATGGCGTATCAATCTGACATGAAAAAGCACGCCCAAACCCATCTAAAGGCTGAGCTGCGCCAGCGTTTTCCTTGTCCCATTTGCAGGCAATCATTTACGAAACACGTCAATATGATAAGGCATAAGAAGAAACAGCATTACGGTGTTATTCTTGCGGCTTGATACTATATTAATCTCTTCAATTATATGCCAGGACTTCAATATCGATCAACACCCTTTCACGCTATATTTCCATATCATTTAGTCTCGTAAACCTGTAGTTGCTTACTCGGGCCTGATTTTACTGTCGTAAATCCCTAGGTTCCATGGAATTAACCATCATTCCTAATACTATCAGGAATCTACTTATATAAAGTAGTTCTTTTGACATGCAACACGGCCTCTTGCTTTTTCTCATGGGAGTACCGCTAGAGGGGATGAAGGGCTAGGTCATAGCCCACTACCGTCAGCGCTTTCAACAATCAGGTCTTACATATTGCATCTACAGTCTACCAAGGTCCCAAGTGTAGCTACCTTTTTGCCCGCACCATACTGCCGGGAATGCTTTTAAGGAGTACCTTACATTACCTCGGGAGTGCCTGAACCAATACTTACTAAACTTCTTGGCATGGATACATACGGACTTCGAACGGTAGAGAACGTTTGTTCCTTTAGATCAATTTTGTCTTGTATTGGAAAGCGTTCACCCATATAGTATCCTTTGGTACGAACTGAAAGGTTCATGCGGTTGCGGTAATACTAGTTCCGCTTACCTGTGTAGGCTCTTGATTGCTGGTCTTGAAATAGAATCCATCATTGTGAGCCGAGCGGTTATAAACTCCAGATCCTGGCCTGATATTTCTCCAGCTAGCAAGACACTCCCAACAAAATTCATGGTGACACAGGCTGCCTGTAATTGACGTTAACAACTATAGTTGAGCGGTCTGAGGCCACAGTGTAGACTCACATGTCATGTGGAAGCAACCATTGCCTTTTTGCACTTTAATATTACATTCAGGGCACGGCTTAGTATTGTTCGTGATCCACCCTTGAGTCTGTTGAAACTCTGGATCTCCTGTTTCCTTCAGACTGTCATATTGTTCGCATGACAATCCCTCGTGCCACTTCACTTGGTGAGTAAAACACATTTCAAATTCGCAGTCAGCGCAAACGACATGGCTGTTCAAGAGTAAGTCATGTATCTGACCGCTGGAGCATTTCTCGGATAAACACCACATGAAAGATGGCATTTGGCTCAAGGCTTTGAGTTTCAAGTACTCGTCGTATCTGCTCGTCGTGTCAGCAGCTTTCCTATCCATAATTTGGGACGAAAAAAGAAAGTTTACTTGAGAAACGTCTCTTCTTGTGCATATATTTTCAATTCTTCATACGTAAGCAGGCGTTCACAGCCCGCGGATGGACAAGTGATATTGTCGCATGCGCTTCTTCCGAATTGCTCCAGTTGGACTTCGATGTGTCGTCGTAAGCAAGGCGTGCAGAAGTCGATTGCATGGTTGCACTTTGTGCCCAATTTCTGAGGGAATAATAAGACCCTCCATTTCCAGTCGCCGTCGAACTCTGCACAGACTTTCGTCCACTGCTCGATAGAACCATAGGAGACGTCACAGATAGACTCAGTGCAAATTACGCAATGAGTCGGTTCCTTTTCAGCGCGCAGAAACCGAGTGAAAACAGGAATCGATAACGTTTCTCCATCATGTTCGACATTATAGATTTGAACAAACTTGGAGTTTGCCTGTAGTGGGGAGCCAGTTTTAGTGTGGTGCAGGTCCCAATAGCCCATGTCAAACGGCCACCGCATGAAACCATTGGCCATCATCTTCCGATGCATGCGTGCTGCAACCTTTCGGGCACTAGTTGTCGGTTCTGGTTTGATATTGTTTAGAATCTTCATCAGGTGTAAAGCCGTGTCATAGCTGTGGAGTACTGGTCATCTTACTGATTCAACAAAAGTTTTTCCAACTTACATCTTCATCTTTGTAATCTTGAGCCAGTCGTCGTTCATCATTTGTAGCAACTGTATCAGCCGTTGGCGATTGTCCATGGGAATTCTGTCACAGTGACTTCCACAAGGACAAAATATGGAGATCGTTGACCCTTGAGTCGTCCACCATGTCTCCTGGAGCAGCTCTAAGGAGTATGAAATTGAGTTGAGATAGCATGCTGAGCAGACTGCTTTGTCGCATGAAATCGTTGGGCCGGTTTTAATGAATTCATTAACAGGTGCGGCCCCGTCAACGCTAGCAGTTTGTCTGAACTTGGCTTTTCTGCACACACAGCAAGTAACGAGTGTTATAGACTGCAATGCTTCTATACCGAACCACTCATCAAAGGTGGAAAATAGTATTTGAGCTTCATGGGTGCTCAGCAAAGTGTCAAGTGTGCGTCTTAAATTTGTACCCCGACGACTGTCCAAAGATATCAAAGAAACACAAAGGCCCTTCCCGCTCGAAGGCTGAGAAGCCTTGTTAAGGATCTCCAACATCTTTATGACGATAATAGCTCTGGGTGTAGTCTCAGGTAGCAGGTTAAGCTCGGAGACTTTACCTTGGAGCTCATCGATAGTGTGCGACATGATCATCTTATCGTTAAGAACGGTTTCCAATTCATGGTTCAAAGAAGCAGCTTTCAACGTCAGAGAGACGGACTCTTTCATTCTCTCGCCAAGCTTAGACATTAGCCAATTGTTTCCATCAATCAATTTCCTCACAGTATCCTGCAAGGTTTGGACCTGCTCTCCTTGTTGCAAAAGATTGTGTAGTTCATTATTCTGGTTGGCCAGTTTCTCACAACATTCCAATTTTGCCGGAGCAGTCGAAGCTGGAAAAGGCGGCTGCGCTTGGTGTTGTTTGGACTGCTTTTGGATCTAATCTTTTAGATGAGCTTCGAGAGTAGGCTGTGGCTCCAGGGAGGACTCCGATTGAATGCGTCGTAGATGCCTCAATATTTTATCTAGAAGTAATTATATCTATACTACTAGCTTAGTAATTAAATAAGTTTAGTGGCTTGACTTCTTATTAGCTTAAAGTCTTATATAAACCTATGCTTCTTAAGTCTGCCTTATAAACAGTTAGAAGACTGCCTACTTATCGTATAAGAGCTAATTAACTAGGAAATATAAAGTAGAAATGCTAGACCTTAAAGTATTCTAGTTTTATAGTAATAAGCTAGCCTAGGTCTGTAATAATAAATATAATAGGAATATAATTAGCGCCCTTATAATACTTTAAGGTTTTACTAGCCTAAATTATATATTTAGTCGTAACTTAAAGGATATAAGAGGCCTAAAAATAATATAGAATGTTATACAAGCGTTGCTAGATCATATAGGTAAGAACTTAAAGGATTTGCAGATTGCAGTATTAGGAAAGTAAGTGCTTTAGTTTATACTATCCTTTAATATTCTATAGCTATAAGAGTATCTGTAATTTCTAAGTCAAGTAATATAAAAGTGCCTAGAAAGCTATAAAAAATAAAAGGAAGATAAAAGTAAGTCTTATCTTAAAAGCTTTTTTATAAGTATAAAACTGCATATTAAACTCTTTAAATTCCTTAGCTAATTTAGAACCTTTTATCCTTAGTAGATAAATATAACTTTAAACTTAATATCTTAAACTCTAATATAAAATATAAGTATAAGTATTCCCCTCTATTAAACTATATAACTAATATAAAAATAAATTACTAACTTAGTAATTAGTAACTGCAAAATATTAATTAAGGCAATTACTAACCTAGAATAAGTAGAGATTAATATAATATTCTTATAAAGGGCTAAAGATAGAAAAATAATAAAATCTAAAGTATAATACTAACTTTAATACTTTCTTAGGGACTAGCTTTCTTACTGTAAAGTAACTCTAGGTATTATTATAGTTTCTAAAAGATAGCCTAATTTATTCCTAGATCTTAAGATTACTATAATACTATCTGGTTTATGCCTTTTAAACCTAATCTCAAGATCCGATCTTATAAGCTTAATTATTATATAGTATATAATTACAGAAGATTAAAGCCTAGACTTACAGCTTCTATAAGCAGCTAATAACCTAAAATAGATCAGAATTAACAATATTATTCAGGCTTCTTAACTTTCTAGAAACTTTAAACCTTTATTATATATAGAAGTTCTAGTATATAAATACCTCTTAAAAAGCAGATAGATATCTCTAAAATGCTACTAGGATTATTAGAATTATATTAGCAGTAATAAGCCTATATATTAACTATATTACTACTACCCTAAGGCCCTCCAGGGCAACAAGCCAGTTGTTCGCTTATCTTATAATAACTTATATTAAAATTGGCGACTTCTTAAATATTATAATAATAAGAGCCTTAGTATAGCTCTAGATAAGCTTCTAAGCAAGCTTGCATAGAGGCTAAGGATAGATATAGTAGAAATGCTAAAAAAGAAGAACATTAGGTAGAAAATAAGAGACTTAAATACCTATTTATCTTTTTAAAAGCTTTTGCAAATTAATAACCATAGCTTAGTATCTATTAACAGTCCTAATTGAGAATTAACTGCTTTAATAGACCTGTAAGATAAAAGCATAGTATAACTGGAAAGCGCAATTGGTGCTATGAATTTGGGAGATTGCGATTCTAAGCTGCCTTTCTGCCACGATAACCCCGAATACTGATCAACGGTTTTATTCCTTTATATGTATAAAATAATGTAAAATTAACTTAATACCTTAGCAATAATTAACCCTATTACGTCTAAAGCAGGCCAGTAAAGCCAAACCTATAAGAGTTACTTTAATTAGTGTCTTTTAGGTTATATAATAATTAGGGACAGAAAAGTGGGATAGTATGTAATTAGTTAGCTGCTAACTCTGCCTTAGCTAGTTCATACTTTCAGAGTCCTAATTGTCCTTTTTATATTTGGGAACCTAATTAGTATTATTATTAAGCTCTATATTACTAGCTAGTAATTCTATATATATATTATTATCCTAAATATTAATAGCAGCTTGCCTTATTTTATATACCTATTAAGACTTAGGGCTAAATTCTATATATATTATCTTCTAGTATCTTTTTTAAAAGCTTATATATACTCCTAAGACTTTATATATATAAAATAAAGCCAAAAGGCCATACTAGGTTTATTAAGTCTATACTTAAAATTATCCTATAAGGCAGGAAATAAGTTAATATACTTTATAAATAGATAAGTAATATAATTCTAAGAGCTTAATAGGTATTTATTAATAAAGTTATTTATTTTAAGTTAGTAATATTTAATAATACTTAAACTTAAAAATCTTTTATTAATATACTTTACTAGCTTATAAAGAAACTTCTTATCCTATATATAACTATTACTTATAAGCTTTTTAAGCTAGAAGTTATATATACTATTAAGAGATATATTTAGGTAATAGACTAAGACTTTAGATATGCTATAGATATTAAAAACTCTTTTAGGAATAGTATTTAACTTAAGAACAATACAGAGAGAGATATTACTATCTTTAATAGAAGCTATAGTAGTATTACCTAGACTTCTAATATTAATAATATAAAGGTAATTAGTTAGAGGTATTAAAAGCTATAAGTTATTTAACTTATCTTACTTAATAAATAATATATCTAGGTAAATTAAGGGTAGTTTAATTAGGAGCCTATTAAGATCTTAAAGTAGTATTTTAAGCTAATAGACTAATTAAATAAGTATAGCCGAAAGCCTATCCTGCTAAGTTAATTTATTAACTAACTTAGAGGAGTAATGCTAGTCTATAGTAAATAAGCGATATAATTTTAATGTAAATAACGCAGTAGCATAAAAGTAATCTATAAGTAAGAATTGCTAAATACAACCAACTTCTGTTATTAGAGCTCGACGATGTAATACTGTTCCCTTCTCCTTTTTCTTCTAAATCTTAGTTGATGCCGTGGGCCAAGCCTGATCAGCTTGGGTAGGCCTCCGGCATCTGCGACATTATGCATCAGTGCCCAACAGCCCAGATTATGTCAGCGCAACAATAGAGCAGAAGTCTAGCATATTCTCTAATTAGTCTAATATTAGAACTACAGGAGTCTGGCTGTTATAAAAATGATTCAGTATGTGACATCGGTCTGCATATTAAAGCTTTAAATAGGTTTTGCATAAAGCATCCTAACTAACGTGTCTTACCCTACTTATCTGTAAAAGATAGGCATATAGCCTGTATTGCTTTAGCTAAGTTATAAAAATTATCTAATATAATACTATATTTCGCGATTTTGTTTTATATAAGTATTAGGCATTTATAAATATTAATAAGATCTTGTATATTTAGTCCTCTAGTAGTTATAAACTAATATTATTATTTAGGCAGTAGGTAGTTAGGTTATAAAACCTACAGGGAGTAGGCATCAGTAATATAATATATTTCTACGAATAATTCTTAAGTAGGATAACAGTCTTAGCCACTACTATTTGGACCTATATATCTCGTAAGGCAGAGACTCTTATTAGTTAGTCTTAGCAGATATGTAAGGGATTGCTATATTTAGAATCCGTTCTGTCTAGGAGAGTATAGTATAGGCAAAGTCTAATCTTCTTATTAAAGCTGTCTAGTTTCCAATAATAATCTTCCCTATATCCTGGGGGTTCATGCTTATATGCATACTGGCACTGAGTACTTCGCTCCTCGGGAACCGGATCTGGCATCTTCTCCGCTTTCTCGAGTGCCTTTGAGATAGAGGTGTGGAATAAATTTGCTGGCCAAAGGCTCTTTGTTTCCAACAACTCGGCGTAGATGCTAAGTTGCCCAAGACAGGTAGTAGAAAGTATCAGAAGCATATCATTCGCGATATTACAAATCGACTGGCAGAGAAAAGAGGCAAGACAAATAGTTAAATACAGGTGTTTGTTATTAATTTAATTATTAGAAGACTTTTACTATATTGCTTCCTGGTTCATGTACCTCTACCTTTACAAGAACCGCTTTTGCACACATCTGCGTTCGAGGCGCGCCGCATTGAGCAAGACAAAAACTCTTTTTGCCCGATCTTAAACTTGGTGCCATTACGGTAAGCCGTTACACTGACATTCCCATGACTGGGGCATTTAAAGCCATCTGAATTTTGCTATTTCTCCAAGCACACTTCTATTTCATGTCGTCCAGATGAGGAGCTGTGACGCCCAAATCTGGTACCCCCGATGAAACAGGGCTGTGTCGGGTTAATAATCTTGCACTGCCGGCGGGGCGTTTCAAAACCTATAAGATGCCCCTTGCAACCAACTCAATCCTCGCTGCAGCTGATTAACACCCGTTTTCTTCGCTCTTACGATCCCATCCGAGGTATCTTTTACCACCTTACACTTCATTCATTGTGATACCCAACAAATGCGCTAATGTCCGACGATGCATCACGCGATAAGCCAATCACTACATGGTTCAGGTTCAAGCTTCCAGAAGACATTTTACTTGATCAGTCCTTATTTCATGCTCTGCATCCAACTAGGGAACAGTGGACACATGCTCGTCTCTGCACATCGCTCTTTCATGACATTTACTTACCTCTGCCAGGCCTGCTATGGAAGGATCAAGGAATCTCCACAAGACTGTGTACTTCTAGTCAATTGGGATCGCACCAGATCCTGGTCGGAGTTCTCGCAGTCAGGTTGCTATGCAGAGTTGCTCGCCAGCCTTGGCTCTCATTCAGATATGCCAGTAGTGACTGAGATCATCGACTTCTCCAGAGACTACGTCACTATTGCTTTGTCGTCTCATACGGAATTGAAGACAGTTTATTTCCCAGCTTCAGTCTTGTCAGAAACGCGCAGTGCTGTATGGGACAGCGTCCGTCATCTGGGGACTACAGTTTCCTACGGCAAAAAGTTCCAACATAGGTACCCGTACATATCAACCCCGAGCTTGGGTTGGATTGAGGGGAGTGTAAAGTGGGAGGGGCAGGATGCTGTTGCATGTGTCTGGGTTCATAAATGGAAGAATCAGGAAGCTGAGGAGAAATTCAAAACCACTGAGCGGTACCCGCACACGAAGGATGGTGAGTTCATAAGACCTCTCACTCTTGAGCTCTTTGAGCAAGGTCTGAGGGATTTGGGCGCTTTGGGTTGGGAAGAATGCCATGTAAACTTTGAGACGAAATGCTACATCCCGTAGTTAATGCGATAATGCAATACTATATTTAAGAACCCTGAGTCTTTATTGAAGTGTTGTGATAAGTATTGCTATCTCGTACTACACAGGTCGAACAAACTCAAGCCGCCATCAGCCTCTTTCGATGGCCAGGCGCTTCTGACCTTCCATTGTGTTCCTCCTTGGGGCCTTCCTTCTTTTTCAGCTCGGACCTTGTACTTGCGAAGGTAAGATGCTCATTCCTCCGCCCCAAAACGCAACAAAGAGCATATTGTGTATAGGATTCAGGATTCGACAATGCCTCCTCTGTGCTGATAATGTCTTGATTCTCGTCGCTAGTGTCCTCGCCCTCCTTCTTTCTTGGTTTCGCAATGTACTTAAGGTCATCTGATAAGAGGCATTATACAGGATTCTTTATCTGCTCATTGTCAGACTTACAGCTTTTGTCGTGTTCCTCAGTATTCGCATTTCCTAGGACGACGTGGAAGAGTTCGTGGAATAATGTCAGAGACTGGGCTCTATAATCCACGATACTTTTACCCGCCTTCTGGATCTTGCTAAGACGCAGATATTCATTTGGATATAGCACCTTCATGTTTTGAACACAGATGGTGACTGTTGCCCACGTCTGTCCCTCATGAGTAGCCGCAAAGTTCTGAGGACTGCCTTCGAACTTCTTCGAGCAATAGTCACCGGCCTCGTCTACAAAGTACTCTCTAAGGCCCGAGGACCAAAATGGTAATTCTGAACCAAAGTTAGTTCAACAGATCGTGAGAAGAAGGCGACATCGTAGGCACTTAGCTACACACCTTCTGGCTGGTCTGCTTCATCCGGACCTGGACTTGGTTCATCAACCACGGTTCGCACCTTCTTAGCATCCTCATTTGGAAACTTCTCGCCAGTTTCTTTGTCATATGCCACGTCATCCCAGTCCATTTCTAGTTACAGATCAAGTTATTAAAACACTGACGTGTCAGGGACAACAGACAAAACACTTACACTCCAACCACTTGCTCGAGCAGAATAACCAGGGTTTACCGTTTGGGAGTTTTAAATCGCCATCAATAAACCTCTTGACCAACTGTAACCTAGCTATTTGAACGGTTCAGCAAATGACCACCTTGGATGATATGTGATTGGGAGGATTGAGGACATACTGCGAGCTGTGGCTCTGTACTCGGCGTCCGCGGGAGGGGGATCAAGCGCAAAGAAGGTGTATACATATTCAACTCCATCAACACTATCATCTTGTGTGTACAAAAGGGCAGCGTCGACGAGCTTTCTGGCATTTGTCCACCATTTATTAAGTTTGCCCTTGTGAGCACTGCACCCGCCGACCCCAACGCCGCCTTGTTTAATGTTGAAGACTGAATCAATTGATCCGAGGGCGGATTGAGCCAGAAGTATAAGTAACAAAGCTCTACAGGCAAAGAACACTGGATGTTGAAGCCAGGACATGACGGGAGATGGAGAAGGGTTATATGAAAAGGCGAAAGACTGGCTGACAGGCGCTGAAATGCAAAGCAAGAGTGTTTGAGCTTAGCAGGTCAGATGATGGAAGAATATTTGAGCAGATACACGAGGTCGACGAGTCCAAGTTTATATATATACACTGGGGCTAAATGTTGATAATATGGTACTGGAACACGAGAGATTGAAGTTCTGCTAAAGTGCTGACATTCGTAGGAATCCAGCATCATACTCTTACCTGTAGGACTACATACCAAACAGCGACAATGTAAGCGAAGGCATTCCTCCATGTTGTTCTGGCGTGTTGGTCCCAGAGGTCTGAGCACCAACGTGAACAAGGATTTGAAGGTGGTGTATGCCGTGTCGAATGATCATTGTCTTCTTCGTCTAAGCGCCTGCATTAACTGGTATCACTGAGCACATAAAGTTATGACAGGGGTTGTGGGGGCCAACAACGCCGAGCCACATTGGCTAGAATTGACCCAACAGGTGATGCAATCATAGAACGCACCAGCAGTGCTACTGTATGTTGGTTATTGAGGCTGTTGGTCCTCAAAATAATCCATTTGAAACAATCCTTTCTGCAGCTCAGCCTCTGCCTGTTACCCAAATGTCGAGAGTATATTACATGACTCACTTAAAACGAGAAATAATCCCTAAGCCTCATGATGTTGCCGCTTACCTGAGGCAGCTATTGGCCAGTTCGTCACACCACATTTGCTAAAGCCAACATCATAACACAGCATTTCTGTATCAACAAATATTAATACCGCATTTGATGTTTGTCCTAACAGCGAATCGGGTCTCATTAATTCCATAATGAAGACATTGGCGCCTTACAGTCTAGTCTACATGCCCTGACGGATCTTGTTTGTGTACCGGCAATTGTCGTCTTCTGCAGCAAGACGAAAGCTGCTGTCCTGCAGGGGACGGATGGCTAGAGCATACTTGTGGCCCAAGTAAGTTTGGCTACCTTGTCCTTGATGTTTGCTTACAGTGTCCCAGATAAAACATGTTGCCGTGAGGGCTGCTGTCGAGAAGGCTGGACATGTGGCGCCAATGGGATGTGTGGACCTCCGATTCCATCTATTTCCAACCCAACCACTATCATCACTCTCAATAAGCCTGAACTGTCTTCGCCTACGATGGATCAAGATATCTCCGCCCAGTTGCCCACAAGCCCCAGACCCCTTCCCATCACAAACACTCCAGAGCGATGGCTGTCAAAAGAGACAAAGCTGTCCTCGATATCATCCTGTGTGTTCGTCACAGCAGGACCTCCAGTCCTGACATTGCCAAGTGACCGAGCCACTACTGTCTCAACCTCTGATGAGGCAAGATCTGGTACCGACTCGTTATCAGCACCCCAAACAGGCAACTGACGACTGACAATCCTGAGGAGTCAACTGATCCAAGCACCCATGTCCCCAACGGGAAGATCACTTTGTCAGACACCCGCAACGTCCCCATTCCGTCCCATCCCACCTCCATCGTCACCTTGCCTGGAGGTCTGGTGACTACCGTCTCTTCCGCCAAGTCTGTCCAACCAGGAACAGATCTCTCCGAGACAGTCCCTGGGGCATCGACTAACCTCCCCGGAGACGACGAAAAGACTGTGACTGCAACAGGCAACGCCAGTACTAACGGCGATGTTTCCACAAACCCTACTTCGGATGGAACCCTGCCAGTTACTAACACTCCTACGCCTGTACTTATTCCCAGTGGCGGGGTCTCAACTACAGCGCTCACTGGAACAGACAATCCCGCCACAATGATACTCACGTCCGAGGCTTTGGATGCACCTTCCCCACCTGGAGACACGACAGATACTGTAGCTCTTAGCCAAGAGCCCAGTTCTGTGCCGTCTGATGCGCCAACTACAGGAGTCCCCGTCTCAAATACTAAGCAGACAAGTCATAGAGAGACCACCAGGCCAGGAGGCCCCCCTGTTACTTCTCCAGCCACCAAGGAACGAGCCACGACTGCTCCTGGGTCAACTGCTAATTTCATATCCACCTTGTCTGATGGTCAGATTACGACTCTGCCTAAGCATAGCAATAGTGATGCCACAAAGGCTCCAGAGTCCACGGAAACAGACGGTGTCGTTCCAGTTATTATCCCAATCACAACACCGGTACCTGATCGAGAGAGAAGTGATGGTGGTATCAAGATTCCTTGCGACATGTGGTTCTTCAATCTATGCCTCGCCCCTATTGGAGGGTGGCGCTTCGTCCTTCCTCCTGGGACTCATCCACCGTACGTACAAAGCACCTGTACCATGAGTGATGCTGCTGTGAAACGAAACTGACATCTCTAGTGGACCCCCTCCGATTATCAAGATCGACCCCACAGCACCTATCAAGGTAGATATTACAGGCTCTATACCGTGGCCTGGATTTACGTATGTACATGCAACTAGCTCTTGTTTGCTGGAACCCAATACTGACTTCCATCTCTTAGTATTGACCCTGCCGGCAACCCAACATTCTCCAGCAAGCCTGACGACTGCAAGACTGAGACAGCTGAGATGTGCATCACCACTACTTCTTACGGAGTTTCGGTTGATGGGACTATTACATCTACAACATCTGAGAGTACTTTTTCCACTTGCGGCACAATTTACGGCTGTGATGTAGAAGCCGAAGATACTTCAAGAACCATCTCCAGAACGACTACAGTCAGCACGGAGACTCCAACTATAACAGCTATCCGGTTGACGTGGGAGAAATTGGACATCGATGAGTATACAGAAGCACAACTCGATGACATAGCAGATGCAGCACAAGCTCGGCTCGACAAGAACTTTGGCAGATCCACGTCTCCAACATCCCGAGTTACAACAACCAAAGCCACTACCGAGTCTTTCCCTACACTTACCCGAGCTCCTGACGGTTTCGCAACATCATCTGGCTTCTCTTGCGTCTCAACGACCACTCAAACGGAATGTGGAGGGTCTGGTAACCGAGAAGCCTGTGTCGAGAAGCCCAGTTGCGCTTCTTGGATTAATACAGCAGCTATTACTATGACAACGCCAGATATAACGCCGTTCTGCGACGCAGGCTACGAAACATACTCCGCGACGGCTCATGCGGCAATACCAACTCAAGGAGGTCCCTTGAAGTTCTTGATACCTGCAGCGGATGACAAGGGATCGGATTGGGACTTCATGATTAATGTGGATGATGTGAAAGAGGCCGTCAAGAGTTGGAAGGTCGGAAACGACGACGACGATAGCATTGAGAGTGGAGAAGGAGGAAAAGACCTTGAGATCAAATGGAAGGTTCCTGATGGTTCCAGTAAGATTTATGTGTTCCCATACGTCCAGGCGGTGCTAATATCTACAGATGGTAGCTATGTTGAGCTTCAACTCAAATCCTCAGGCTTTGATGAGAAGAGGGTTACCTTTACGGCGAAGGGTGGCATTGTGAGTATTCTAACTCTTTCATAAAGAAGCTTTCTGACAGATATGACAGCTTGCTTGTATGCCCAACTGCAAAGACGATGCAACGACGACAACAGATGCCGATGGCATGGTTTGCACACACTACCCCTGCCATTCACCAAACTGTGAGCAAGGTCCTGCCCCCGAGCCCCAAGCTGCTTGCGAGCTAGTCGAGGACGGACTGGCCGTTCCCCTCTTCTATATAGTTACCATTGTCGCAAATGGGTACAGTTGGATAGACGATGATGGTAAGAAACTGAAGAATGAGGAAGGGGGTTGCGGAGCAATGACTGATTGGCATTCGAGTGCGATTGAAGTCGAGACAGGAGATGGTTGGACGGCTCGGCATAGGTTCACCTTTACCTTGCCGATAACTATTAAAGCGGGCTGTGTAGAGAGGGCGATTGCAAGTGCAGGAGGCCCCTCGGGCATTCAGTGTGACAATAAGGAGGGTGATTTATGGTAAGAGCTTTAGGTATTAATTACACTATACTATACAAGCTATGACTGTAGATATGGTATCGACAATCGAGCTATATTCTTAAATTGGAAGAGTTTAAAGGAAGCAAGAGTTTAAACTGTAAGATAACCTACTACTTCCCATAGGATGAATTGCAATTACATACTGGATTATCTGTCTGAACTGTCTCTGTCTTTGGCCGAGAACAGGATATAAGAAATATAAATGAAATAAAGGAAGAAAGTTATTCCGAAAAAAAAACCACCACCATGGTGTCATCTTGTTGTCACTTTTCCACGCCCTCTGGAAACCTTAATCTTTAACATCAATATTTAACAAGAAAGCATGGCAGATAATAAGCCGCACTTTGGAAAAATCCCCGCAGTAAGAGTCTTCTTCAAGACCAAACCACAGGCCGATTTTAAAGCTAACCAGGTATCGCAAGTGTGACTATTGTCGGAGCAAAAAGCTCAGGGTAAATCACTACCCCAGACCCTCGAAGCATAAATGCTAATAGATGAAGTGCTCCAAGGAAAGACCAATATGCATGACTTGCGCGCGGTCTGCAAGACCGTGTCGTTATAGCCAGAGGACTCCAAGAACTCCTCTTACGCGAGAGTAATTGTTCGATCCAGCCCATGGAATTATCTGGCTGACCCCTCCCTTCAGCTATCTGACAAGAGTCGAGAGACGCCTTGCAAACGTAGAGCGCCTGTTTAATCAGCTCCTCCCTGAAGTTGACATCAATGAAGCCCTGGCATCGCGGGGAGTTGAAGCTCCTGCAGACGCGTCCCAGCCGAATGCATCGCTGTCGCCACCAATAAATCTTACTTCGCCCGACAATGCTATATCACCCGACAGTCCTCATCAGCTCGGAGGTGCCATTTCGGATGCCGTGCCTGCAGAAGTCGATGGCTTCGATTGGCAGGAAGACGTGGATGAGCTGACCGATGGGATGGCGTCATTATCCGTTGAGCCGAGAGGGGCAGGATACTTGGGTAAGTCACTGAGTCCAGACATAAACACGCAGAATATTAAGTCTTTCTAGGGCCGACTGCTGGTGTCTTTTTTCTCAGATCGCTACTTTTATGGACGGGCCACTCGAGAGCCTTCATCGGCGATAGCCCTGAAGTTTCAAGGCCCTACGCTGGAATGAAGTCTTCTTCCCAGTTGTCCAACTCGGTCACGTCAAGACAAGTTATCGAGCAATTGGTAAATAGCTACTTTGAGGTCTACCACCGCAGCTATCCTTTTGTGCACGAACCCACCTTTAGAGCCCAGCTTCACGAGGTTATACAGCGACCAAAACGGCGGTCGTGGCAGATGCTGCTCTATACCATTATGGCACTAGGAGCGTGGTGTCTCAACAACAATAACACGGAACTCGATGATGAGCTGTACCATCACGCGCTATCGTTCGGAGAGGCCGAATGTTTGTTCGAAAGCGCGGATTTGACCTTTGTTCAAGCTCTCATTCTGTTCAGCAATCTAAGTCAGAAGCGCAATAAGCCTAACACGGGATCAAACTTCCTTGGACTGGCCACGCGAATGGCCCTCAGCTTGGGTCTTCATAGAGAGCTACCCGATTGGAACATTAATCTCTTGCAGCGAGAGATGCGCCGCCGCGTCTGGTGGGGGCTGTACATGTTTGACAGTGGTGCCTCGACTACCTTTGGGAGGCCAATTCTTCTTCCAGGGGAGGAGGCCATGGACGTACGACCAGTCCTTAATATTGATGATGAGGTATGCCATAACTGGTTAAAAGGTCGATGGTGTCCCGCTAATATGCGTAAAGGACCTCACGAGTGGAACAGAACTTCCACCAAAAGAGGTTAATAAACCGACACTGTACTCAGGCATGAAGTACCAGAGCGATCTACACGTCAAGTCCAATTACATCTCAAACCGCCTGCTCTCATCTTCATGTGTCTCACCAGAAGACGCTTTATCCATGGATGCAACACTGGACAAATGGTCTAACTCATTGCCGGAGTACTTAAGGCTGGATCATGATGTCCCTTCAGCTGAGCCTGCGTTCTATTTCAACAGGTCACGTCTCTGGTGGCGCTTCTGGAACCTCAAAATCATCATCTTCCGCCAGTTATTCCTCAAACGGGCAATTGGGAAGGGACATTCTAGCATAACTACACCAGTCAATGAGGTTGACGAAAGATGCATGAGCATTGCCGTACGCGCTGCTAGTGCGACGATAGCTACGATCGATCAGTATACCCGGGAGAGACAAAGGACCAGGCTCGTGACTTGGTACTCCATGTAAGTTATTCTACATGAGCATGAGCATACTCTGGGGTTAAAGTTAACGCCTCTAGCTATTTCACATTCCACGCTTCCCTGGTCATCAGCCTTGCTATCCTTAGTGACTCAGCATCACCAGACATGTCCAAGTGGCAGGAGGACGTCAACACGGTCCGTCACATCTTCCGAGATGTGTTTGTGGACAATGAGCTCGCGACTCGCTGCGCCAACATTCTCGACGTTATTTTGCCAGACCCTCTGCTGACACCGGGTGACTGGGCAAACGTCCAGCTCGATCCTATGCTCATGGACTTTTCGACGTGGCCGACAGCATCTGAAGAAGAGTTTGCCAGCGTCCTTGGCTGGCCAGATTGGGCCAACTTTTCGCAGTAAAATGGACCTCTTGGAATCATCAGTTTATGATGCGCACGTTCGGTTCGATCAAATGGGATCTTATGTATTCTCCGTTCGGTATATCGTTTTCGTCGGCCCGCTTGATCGCTGCCTTTATTGTCGTCTCGATTCCGGCTCTGAGGTGTCGTGATGCCAGGCGCTCCCTAGCTATGTCGACCGGTACATCGACAAACCACCTCGGGTACAAGTTAGCTTGGAATAAAAGTTTACGAATGACCATGAGACTGACTTATCATCTACCAACGTGGAGATGCGACTCCAGGGTTCTTGGTCCAGAAGGAGATAGTTGCCTTCGATAATAACGACTTTGGCATGTGAAGAAATCTCAATGGCATCAGGGATTGGGTCTTTTCGCGCATGGTCAAAACCCGGTGCTTTAATGATGATTTGCGGCTCGTCATCCGCCGTCACAGGTGTTTTCTTGAGCAGTACGACGAAATCTAATAAGGCAGCTGCATCGAATGTGAAAGGTGCGCCTCGTCTTCGAAATGCATGGTCAGGGTCCTCGAAGGAAGACAGAGTGGTACGAGTATAATGGAATCCATCCTGACAAATTGCGCGTTAGTGATGTAGTTGGTGCTAGTTGAGAAGTTCAGGGTGTACTAACCATTGGAAGAACTGCAACGTCGGGGATACTGTTCTTCTTCAGCTTTTTGATCAAAGCATCAGAGATGGTGGTTTTGCCCGATCCTGGTACGCCAGCTAGCGCAATCAAGATTCGCTGGGTTGGAGCTGACAGCTTCTGCCGGGTCAGGAGACGCTCGACGCGTTCAGTCAGCTTTATTGTTGTCTTGACCAATTCGTCGTCCATGGCGAGATACTTAAGTGAAAGAGGGTGTTTAAGGAAATATTATGACACTTTAACCTGATCTCTTCGGAGGAGACCGGTGCTTCTTGAATATGGGACGGTTGCACCAGTTCCCCACGGGATACAGTAATCCGGACATTTAGCTCCTTGTGACGTGATTGGATCGGACTGGAGTTGCCCGGACCCAGCGACAATGGGCCCTACGTAGTATTGATCTCCAGTATTCTGTGGGGTTCAGTCCACACGGAGCAAAACTTGTCCACCTCATGTTGATCTTTTGCGAATATAAGTACCCCAGAAAACCTCCACAAATGTTTCTTTCCCCAGCTCAATCCCCAGATTCAATTACGAACTTAAACATCACTTCAATCATCGAGTTTCAATATGGCTGGTGAGCAAACCACCAATGAGCAGCAGCTCGGCACGGCATCCAAGAAGGGTGTCTGGCGCCAGCTGCGTGAGAACCCTTACATCTTTGGACTTTCTATGGTATGCTGCTTCTTATCGTATCTTTGTCGGAACTGACACTTTACAATCAGTTTGCCAGTCTTGGTGGCTTCCTTTTCGGTTACGATCAAGGTGTTGTGTCCGGCGTACTGACCATGGAGTCGTTCGCGGCCGACTTTCCACGAATCTACCTCGACAGCGGTTTCAAGGGTTGGTTCGTCTCAACTTTGCTTCTGTGCGCGTGGTTTGGGTCTCTTATCAACGGCCCCATTGCCGACTACCTTGGAAGAAAGGGCTCGATCCTCCTGGCTGTTGTTGTCTTTACCATAGGCTCAGCTTTCCAGGCTGGCGCCAACTCTATCCCTATGCTTTTCGCAGGTGAGCAGCAACATCTTGTTCCCTTCGGCAACTTCTGCTAACATTAAATATAGGTCGTGCTGTGGCTGGTCTCGCAGTTGGCATGTTGACCATGATTGTGCCCATGTATATGTCGGAGGTGTCAAGCCCCGGCATCCGCGGTACTCTTGTTGTTTTGCAGCAACTGAGCATCACCCTGGGCATCCTCGTAAGCTATTGGCTAGAGTATGGAACCCAGTACATCGGTGGCCATCGATGCGCACCCGACATTCCGTACTCAGGTGGCACTTCCGACAAACCCACTTTCGATCCTCGATACGATGTTGGCCCCAACGGATGTACGGGACAGTCCGAAGCTGCCTGGCGAGTTCCCTTTGCCCTCCAGATCTTCCCTGCGCTTGTTTTGGGCATTGGCATGATCTTTTTCCCCGAGTCCCCGCGCTTCTACCTCATGCGCCACAAGGAGGACCAAGCTCTTGCCGCCTTGGCTCAACTTCGTCAGGTTCATGTTGATACAGAGTCCATCCGAGCTGAGTATCTAGCCATCAAAGCCGAGGTCCTGTTTGACGAGTCCATTACAAAGGAGAGGTTTCCCGGGAAGAAGGGAATTTCCCTCTTTGCTGCTCAGCATGTTGCTCTCGTATCTACGTGGCCTGCCTTCAAGCGCCTCGCCATTGGGTGCTGCATCATGTTTTTCCAGCAGTTCATGGGCTGCAATGCCATCATCTACTACGCCCCAGCCATGTTTGCACAGCTGGGACTCTCTGGAAATACCTCGGGCCTTTTGGCGACTGGTGTATACGGCATCGTCAACACGCTTTCAACACTGCCCGCCCTCTTCTTAATTGACAAGCTTGGTCGTCGTCCCTTGCTCATGTGTGGTGCAGCTGGAACGTTCATCTCTCTCGTTATTGTCGGTGGCATCATTGGAGGATACGGCTCAGCTCTTGCTGATAATAAATCGGCGGGCTGGGTTGGCATTGTCTTCATCTACATCTACGACGTCAACTTCTCGTTTTCATTCGCGCCTATCGGTTGGGTTCTGCCCTCTGAAATCTTCAACCTTGGCAATCGCTCCAAGGCCATGGCTATCACCACTAGCGCTACTTGGATGTGCAACTTCATTATCGGACTTGTGACGCCCGATATGCTGGCCACTATTGGCTGGGGTACCTACATCTTCTTTGCCGCATTCTGCCTTCTCGCCTTCTTCTTTACCTACTTCTTTGTGCCTGAGACTCGTGGAAAGAGTTTGGAGGATATGGATCTAGTATTTGGCGATACTGCATCTCATGAGGAGAAGGCAAGGTTGATGGAGATTGCATCTTCCATGGGCCTGACAGAAGCCTTCCCAGAGCACAAGGTCGTTCTTGCTAAGGAAGAACATACTTCTGCAGAGCATTATGCATAAGTCTATAATTAATAGAGTTATGTAATAGTTGTGATTTCTTGAGGCATAAGTTGGTCTGCACTAGGTTGATATTAATAGACTTATAATACGTAAATTAAGCAATATTTATATATTATACGTTCTATTAAATCAAGTCTGAAATTTAATATCTATAGCCCTTTAAGAGTTATTACTATAATAAACATCTCTTTACATCTTTAAATAAGAAAATCAATTAACTTAGTAAGTAATATTATGCTCAGCGTGTATATATATTAAACCTTAAAAATATTTTAAAATTTATTAAATAAGTTTATTTACTTACTATCTTCAATAGAGACTACTAGTCCAGTCCTGAGCACCCCCGATGAGGTAGCACTATCTATCGGACCAGCCAAGTTAACTCCAGAGTTAGTAAAGATGCCAAAAGGATCACCACCATCATTCTTTGGGTTATAACTACAGCCTCCAGACAATGGAGGAAGTAGTTGCCAGTACAAGTTAGGCAAGCCAACAGAGTTCATGTTGTTCACTTCTGAGACAAATGCCGACTTTTGATCGTACTTTTGTGAATCGACACCCCATTCCTCGAGATAGACCTTCTTTCCGTTGGCCTGATTCAACCAGTTTGGCAAATTGTCGCTCCACTTGCCGGGTACGCTGGCGTAGCGGTGGACGGAGATGGCGTCGATAGCCTTGCACTGAGTTACGGCAGGGAGAAAGGTGAAGCCGTGGGAGAAATCGCCGCCCAGGCCACCAGTGGAAATCAAGATATGGCTGTCAAGTCCTTCGCTGCGCATATGCGTAGCACGGCCACATGCCCAGCCGGCGGGATCGCCGTTCTTGCAATCGCTGGGTCCAGGGGTCATAGGTTCGATCTGCAGAGGGATTGATCTTTGTTAGAGAAAGCTACCCTGATGGTGTCTGCAGTGACAAGCCTTGCAATTGGGGGTGAGTTGGCTTTACAGACAGTCACAGGCGAATGCTAACCAGCCCTGCTAGATGCCAAGGATGGTCTTGCAGCTCAAGTGTCCCGTGTCAAAAGCCCTGGAATTGTGTCAGTGGCTATTGCAAAGCTTGAAAAGGGATATGGTGATCCCTGGTCTCAGTACAGTAGTTAAAGACTTACGTAAGCTCTGCAGTTGGCTGCAAGATTGAATCCTATATGAAGGAGGTATATAAAATATAACAGTAACATACTTAAATCGAAGTAAAGGGATTTTAAAACTTAATATCTATAGCCCGCCAGGAATTACTGCCACAATGAATATCGCCTTGCATCTTGAAGTGAGAAAACCAATCATCCTGATAGGTCACATTATACCCAGCGCTTGCATATACCTCTGATACAGCTTTCGCAAAGATGTCCTGCTTGTTGATCACAGGGCCCCATGGCTTGGGTGCAAGGATCTTTCGATCTGGCAGAACCAATCCATTGACAGTGCCTGGCCAGAGAGCTAGAACTTGGGTAGTAGTATCAATCGCGCGTCGTTGCAATGAGGTCTTTGGAGTGCCTGCCTCCACAATCGATTTGGCCCTGGAACCAGGTCCCATAGCGGCTTTAAACGTGATGCTGGTCTTACTTGAGGTCTTTTGGGGCGTTTTGGAGGTATCTTCCTCCGCATTTGAGTCTGATGGCTTCTGTCCAGGACATAACCAACTGTCCAACTCGGCGTAGTAGAATGGCATGGGTACTCGGAAGATATCCTTATCAGTGATTCCAGTCTCACGCTTTAGAATGTTGATATTGGCTTCAATGCGCAGGGCCGAGCTTTTCTGGATGGCGTCAAAGTTCTTGAACTTGAGAGCCTCTTGGATAGTCTGTCTGGGGAGACACAACTGTTCCTTCTTCTCTTCTACTTGAAGCGAACGAGAAACAGCTTTGACATTTCCATGACCAGCCTTGGACGCCTTCTTCAGTAGATCAAGACCCTTGAGCGGATCTGCAACCATGACAATCCATCCACGCTCATTATAGGCAGGCAAGAACTGAAGGAATTCGTCCACATGGCCAACGTACAACCAGCTTGTATCGAGGATCAGAGGATCTTGAACCTCTTGAGCCTTGAGAAACTCAACCATGAGAGGGGCTCTTCCATCCCAAGCGCCCATGATTGTTCTGCCCAGAGGGAAGGACTTTCCATTGTGCTTATAAGGGGGGATAGTCTCCAGATTTCCGGTGGAATCGATAGTATCGCCGTCACCTGGATGTTGAACTGCGCCAACTTTGTCGTTTCGGAGCTCATGGAACGCGTCGCGGCCGGATCTACGGGAGCTCTGGGCTGATCGGATCATGATACGGATAGTAATGGGGCCGTTCGGCCCAGGCATGCTAGAATAGCCGGGCTCGAAAAAGTCTTGGGTCCAGATATCTTGGTTGTCGAAGAGGAAGATGGGGTCTTTTATACCAGCATTGACGACATTGCGCTTGATATCATCGACGAACTGCTGCTGAACAGGGTTGGAACCAGGCTCGTTCACGCCGGTTGAAAAGACACGTTGGGCCACCTGCCCATGATGATGAGTCAATACTGGAGCAACTCGGACAGCAACAGTGTCGGTTGCTTTTGTTTTACCATCAGTTACAGTGAACTGCATCTTTGCATTGCCATCCCAGCCCTTGGGACGACGGACATCGCGGGCATCAATACCCAATTCGAGGCCCGATGAAAGCTCCTTAGCCGTGAACACGTAATCTCCTGATACGTAAGTCCACTTGTTACTCTTCTTGGTGAAGACTCGGACTTTTGCTGCGGCTGTTTTGTCGGTGACTTGGATGGATCCCTTGGCAGATGGACTCAACCCGGATATGGGAAGAGTTTTGAGTGGCGCAAGATATTTTGGGTTACGTTGGATGTCATCTGTAGCATCGTTGCAGAGGTCCAGATAAGCCTCATTGCTCGGGATGATGTCGACGCTTGGTCCCCATTTCTTAGCACAACGACGGCCAGTATCGCCGATATTCGCTAAGAATAAAGCGCCTCGATTAGCGGTCCATAAAGATCTGCCATCGAGATCTTTCTTGTCGACTTTTCCATCGCGGTTGGTATCTGCGAGGATGGTCACTTTGAGAGCGTTGCATGTTGTGGATAGCGCTACAGCAACTGTTAGCAGGGATAATGCCAATTAATTACTGGTTATATACCTAGCGTCAAGACAGCCGCCTTGGTTGCCAGGAACTTCATTGTGACTGAACAAAACTCTCGAAATTGGGCTGATTGACCCAAGAGAGGATTGGTTGTTTTGTGTTTCTCAACACGTACCATATATATTTATAGCAATTGATAGAATATCCTTCCATTGAACTCTAATCTCGGTAACATGACTAAAAATCCACTTAGTGGGCTCGTATAAATCCTACTATATTTTCTAGACCAGTCGATTGTCTGTAGTGGAGTAATGCCCCTTGCATTCCCGAGGATCCAAATATGGCGACTCCTTTTTAGGCTACTATTATTGGCCATAGCGTTCATACCACCTGATGCTTTCGTCGTACTGTAAATCTGATAATGGGCTCGATTCTAGACCTCTTGAGGTTAAGTTCACGAGGTAAGGCACACGATGCAACTATCAGCTGCTATATATCCTAAGTGATGGGAATAACTAATCTTAAGGTCTCCTAAGTCTATACTAAATTTACCTAAATCTTTGTATCACTTACGATTGAGGTCCTAAGTTTTCTTGCTCCCTGAGGGAGAGATCCGTCTACAAATTACCACTACCTCTCCAACCAGCTCCAAACTTTGCATATTTTCATGGTCATTGTGGTGGCTTCGCATGAATAACATCATTTCCTGGGCAATCCCTTACGACCCGTTCTTATCAGTCGCTATGCCGGAAGACGGACCAGAGTCAAGTCCTGTATATACGCTGTATTTGGCATGAGGACGAAGCGGATGAAAAATATGGCTACAGTAGGCGTATCGCTACATAACCCAACTTTAAGATCCCGCAGTGGAGTTAGACCGATAGTGACAATGAAGGCATGTCATTTCCGATGACATGTCTGTCATGGTTCAGACTTCTCGAGGAAGCATTGCACGGCCTTATTGATGTCAACACGAGAAACTGGAGTTCCCTATTCTCCCGTAAGTCCAATACTATATTAAGCTTCAGGGCATAACCATGTCTCAAAAGAACTGCAAATCAATCTAACTCAGGGTCACTAGCAGATGGTTAGGCTAGAGTATGCAAGTTAAATGAGTTGCGAGTGCCAGTGTAAATCTGTATAAAACAATGTATTAAAGTGAATAGAACTCTAGACTGGCGGTCTAAATAAAGCATCCAAGTAGTGAATCTCACTCCTTCCCAGCCTGCCAACAAGCCACTCTCAAAGGCCGGACAGGATTTGGGGGAACAGCTTCTCAGTGAAGTCCCAAAGAATAGGAGTGTAGTCAGGCGCCCAAGTGAGTCCGGTCCAGAAAGTGTTGCGCTGTCCCTGGAGGGCGTAAATCTTGTTGTAGAAGCCACCCTCAAGCTCCTGAGCACAGACCTTGGGAACAGTCAAGCCATGGGATGCGAAGGCAACGATATCAGGAGTTGTCACATCGTAAGTGCCTGCCTTGTCGATGTTTGTGAAGACTTGCTTGATAAGAGACTTGGCCTTCTGAGCTGTCAGGTTGGCCTGACCAAGGACACGGGTTGTCCAGAGATCCTTTTCACCCGCACGAGTGTAGGCATCGACAAAGTTACCTCGTGGAAGATAGAAGTTAGTGGCGTTGTCGGGCGTGTCGCGAATGCCTGCAACATCTTTGGGTAGGCTTGTCTTGCCGACGACGCCGACATACAGCGTCTCCCAGGAGAACTTGGAGAAGAGCGACTTCTCTTTGGTATCAAGATCCCAAGTACCAACGTTATCGGGTGATGGAGTTGCCGCAAAGAGGACCTTCTTGGCCTTGATGTTCTTTTTGCCAGAGGGTGTCTGCACGACAAGCTCTGAGCCCTGAGAAGTTCGCTTGCTCCAGGCGACTGTACTTTCAAGAAGAACGTCATCCTTGATCAAGTCATAGACTCGGTCATAGAGTGTCTCCGAGGAATATGTCTCTGGCCACTTAAATGTAGGACCAGCAAGACCGAATCCGAAAGCAGCAAGCTGAGGCTCTCCAACGACAGCCATGACATTCCAAGTCGGAGTATGAGTCGCGTCAGAGAGCCAGATAAGAGTGCGCAGGATAGAAAGCGCACTTCCAAGACGGTACTTCTCAAGGAACTCGCCAAAGGGAAGAAGGAGGTCTTCAGGGACTTCTCCCTTCTTGAAGTAGCCGTTCTCGAACCAAGGTTGATACTTGGCGGCCAATGCAGCATACGCGGCCAGGGCGACAGTGGAGTTGATAGCACCGTAGTCAGGATCAACCTTCTTTCCGGTGTTGAAATCAACGTCCTTGGTAGCGAATAAAAGTTCCGCGGAGCTGATCACATCAGGAGAGATGAGTCCAACATTGAATCGCTTGAAGAAAGCCTTGGTTGTCTTTCGGTCGAGATAAGCTTGGACTCCGTAGTTGATCGGTCTCTCGTTGGGGCCCGGCTTATAAGCATGGACATGGCCACCCTAAGAACGCATCAGCAATCCCATATGTACTCTGTAGAAAGGCAACTCACGAGTCTGTTCTGCTTCTCAATCACCACGACCTTCTTGCCATAATCCTCTCGCAGCCTGACTGCAGCGTAAGCACCAGTTGCGCCACCACCAACGATGGCGACGTCGACCTCAAGGGTATCCTGCTTGGGCGTTGCGAGGGCACCATGGCCTGCCAAATAGGCAAAGAAGGGGAGAAAATTATTCAACTTCATCTTGTCAATAAATTGAAGGTGAATGATGAGTTACGAGAAAGGACGGAGGGGGAGAGACTTAAGTATGCGCGGCTGATCGGTATGTTTACCTCCTTGTGACACCAGCCTAGTCCAAAGTTTCCATTGCACGTCGCACGAGACAGCGAATCAGCAGGTCGACAGAATAACGCAATATGACTTTCTCATTTAAAAATTCCGGCACGAACGCACAGCCCACTACGTAGTGCTGTCGATCAGAAGAGATTGTCAGGGCGCCGTGGGAACTACCGACGTAGCATCCGGGACTTTCGGCCATAGAGAGTTTAATTCAAGGTCTCATGCCATAAGTCAACGCACGAACGTTACCCGTATAATTTCATTTTAATATTTCTAGAAAGTATAAAAGATGATAACATCACTAATTCGTCGTACTACGAATTTTAAGTCTGTATCCATCCGAGCGGCCGTAGGCTCCTGGACGCTATGTCGTAGAACCTCGGGACCGCAGGGTTCCACTTGGAGTGCTGAAGTGCCGTGGAACAATGGGTCACCAACTGACATCAAGGGTATTAGCTCGGTAGCACGGGCTGTTGACCCCTGGTCCCTTCACGTAGTACCAGAACAAGACAGGAGCCGCATGAAGAACAGTGATCATCAAAACGGTCTGGTGGAATATCATGTCATTTGTCCCGAAAGTGGTGTTATAAAGCCTCTTGGTTCTCTATATAAATTACTCGAGCCGATAAAAGCCTTTAGTTTCAGCTTGCTTAATCTCCACGACCGTGTCATTTCGCACGTAGATTCCCGGCGCGTCATCTTCAGGACCAGAGCCCGACTGTTCACTCAAGATCATAGTATGCACTCCTTCGGGACGTTGCACGTCACCAGAATGATAATGCAGTCCGTTCTCAAGGTCAGCCAATTGATGCGTTGAGCTTGTTTCATCCGCTTCCCTGTCTTTATTTGTCCGGATAAGTGTTGTGAGCTTGATAGCATTGCTCGGTCGGCTGATAGGCTGGCTGCTTTTTCCATACGAACTGAGGAAACTGGAAGGGAGAACATGAACAAAGATTGGACGAAGAAGAGGAAAGCATGCTGTGACAGCTAGTTAATAATCGGATAAGATGACGGACAGAGGTATCTACTAACCAGAGACAATGGCGATATTGACTTCAACAGATCCCAGAATGCAGAACATGGCATAGTCATGAGGCATCTGTGTTGTGTTATCGGGGTAGTTGACGAGTTCAACTAGGACAAACATAGATGCAAAGCAGACACTGGACCAAAGGTCAGTCAAATAGTTCGGGATGATGTAAGTGGGAGGACATGGGATCTTACATGGTACCGAGAAGGAACAGAGCGCCGATTGCTAGCTTTTGACCCGTTCGGAGTCTCAGTCTAAATACTTCAATAATAGGTAAGGCCAAGATAGCGATGTCCATAATAAAATGAGTCGTGATGGTGCCCAGGAAGAACTGGTCGCTGTTGATGTTGCAGACCTTGTCTGTAATAGTGTAGTCCCAAAGGGACTGGACGGGGACGCAACGAAATGTAAGCATAAATGTCCTGATGATAATCCAGATGACTACCATAACAAGCATGACCATGATTGGAATGCGAATGGATGAAATGCGAAACAGGCGCCAATACAGACATAAGATGGCGAGCTTGGAACAAGCGATTGATGAGGCGTAGCAGAGGGAGTTGAAGTAGGCCAGAAATCGTGCTTGTTGAAGAATTGCCTCACGTTCATCGGTAGGCATTGAGTCGGGAATGTTCACTCCGAGATATGTATGTAGGGTCCCTATATCAGTGTAAGTCTCAACCAAAAGCCAAGACGGGATTGTCACCGACATTCAACCATGATACCGCAGTACCCCGTCGCGAACAGAAACGCCAGTATGGTGAAGTAATCGTCAAACCACCAGCTCATCTTGGTCATGCGCCGGGCGCAGACACGAAGAATGAGGGACGTCAAAGCAGCGAGCCATGGGATCGCAACACCAGCCCAAATATTAGGTTGGAGTCCAGCCATGATTTGAGCACGCGCTGTTGCAGCGCCAATTCATAAAGATTGTATCAAAATGATGGGAAATAACAGTCGAGAATTTTTGCTACAGCAAGAATGGGGGAAATCTCATGCACGCAGGATGGGATCTGCATTTTGAATGGCCGCGAGGACGAGAGCTGAACCTGTCTGCAGGACAACTGACTCGTCAACCAGCCATGATAGCTTTCCCCGGATACGACCATACCTAAAAGAAGCACGCTCTATCGTTATCTCGTCTTAGCTCCAATAGATAACTCGACCGTTGCAGATTAACCGCCAATTTTGAGTTTACGCTTGTTGGCGTAGTGGACATACTACTGGCTGCAGCGCGTTGCTGGTGACAAGCCTCGTTTGAGAGTTTGACAGTTATCTGTTCGACAAATCATCTGGAAAAAAAAAAACTTCAGCACTCGACTGATAAAGGGCTGAAGCTAGCCTAGGCCAGTTAATTTCCACCTTTTCAAAAGGGGGCTTTCCGTCGGTGTTTGGTCTTGACTCGCTGTTAGAGATCATGATTTCGAAGGCGTCTACCAAGCCACAGCTGATTTCTGTCTTAATTCCGCTCCTGTGGTCTTGGCATTAATGATGGATTTTGAAGAGACTAGCCATTCCCGAAATGCAGAATTTACTCGGTACCAGCATCGCTAGCATCATTTTGACAGTTTCCTTCGCCTAATCCTCCCAAGATCTGTCCCTTGCACATTGACCTCGGATCATGACATGTTGAACGGCGCTTGTACCTTTTCAATGCGCCTTATCATCCGAACTTGAGTAGATCCCTGCTGTTGAATGTCTAGCCGATGTAACCGAGGATTTGGTTTGGGATGCTCATTGGCGTTCTCTTTCATATGCAAGACTCCACACAGGCCGAACCAATCAATCTGGGAACATGGGCGCAAGGTCAATAAAGACTGATTCATGACCAGATAAGCCTCAGCCTTTGGCAACACCAGTCCAGCCCGTCATAAACAAGTTAGTGTCCTCGTACCTTGAAATCATGCGTGGGCTGGAACAACACTGCCTAAGCTTCTGCAAGCTTTGAAACAGCCGCTGAATGCCACAGCTAACCCACTGCGGAAGTGCAGATTCCGTTATTTTCAGGTCCAAGAGCCTAATTGGCATCCGCGATAGTAAGCTTGCACAACTGGCCTTGTTATGAACTTAGGAGCATTAGGTATTGAGTTTAATTCTCGGTTCTCTCAGCATGAGAATGCCGCCATAAAGTTAAAGCCAAGGCGGAAGAACTTCAAGTACAGTCAGTATATCCTGATTGAGTGGTGAAACACAATATATTCCCACCCCTCGCATTGATAAAACATTGTCGAATACTAGTATGAGGGGAAAAGTTATTCAGCTAAGTTAGTTGATCCTATATTTCACGATTCAAAAACATGGGACTGCCAAGGTCTCAACCACCCCGTATCCGATAGTCGCGTATACACAAGGCTAAGATGCCATTTTACCAGCCCAATCTTCCACCATCTTCAGGACGCCCCCCGGACGGGGCCCATCATATCCCACGTGTCGCATCCATTCTCTCAGACTCTTGATACGATTGGGATAGATACGATCGAGAATTTCTGTATCCCGTGATGGAGTGATACCATCACCCCAGTACCGCCACCAAGCACCAAAATTGTCTCGCCAGCTCATGACTGAGTCGTCTCGTGGTGCTTCGGGACCTAGGGACCAGTTGACGTAAGCACCCGGGTAAGGCTCTGCGAGAGGTGCATATGACTCAAACGGCACACTCTGGTGCGATGCAGGTTTGCCGGTAACCTCTGTAAAGGCTTCAGCGATCTCTTTGAAGTTCACATTATCTGTCACTACAGAGAGATCAATGCCTGCCGACTCAGATGGGTTGTCAAAGATCCAGAGGTTGTAAATGCCCACGTCGCAAAGAGCAATCAAGGGGAGCTTCACGTGGCTTGCTATTGATCCATATTAGCCAGATACTTCGAGTTCCTCGGACTTCCCTCGAAGAATGCAGATACCGTTCAAAGACGAAGGGGGTGAAAACATGGAAAGAAACTTACGGGCCGGATTAATCCACGCAAAGGATCCATCAGGCTGGTTCTTAGGAATGAACATGCCATCTATGAGCATATCCATATACGGACCAGTACTGAAAAGCGTACTCTTCATAGGTTCTTGACCTTGTGCGAGAATAAACTTGCCCACCCTCCCCTTGGACTCCATGTGTCCGCAGTGGTAACTCTCGTCAAAGTTTGCGTTGCCCAAGGCATATTCGATATTCGCCCAAACATAGTGCTGCACATGTTCAGACCTCGCAATCTCGTAGGCCCTGAAGCCGTAGAAGAGCTCGTCTTTTTCGCCTAGAGTAAAACCGTCGAGATTTACCCAGGCACCATACACGCCTTTGAAGACGCGGTGTAGATCTTGTTGGTTTTCTTGAGTACCTTGAATAAGGGACACATTTGGTAGGGCGGCGAGCTTCTCAGCGCGGGAAGACTTTGGATTTCGAGTCAAGACCCTGACTAAGTAGCGTCCACTCTGTGATAAAGCTTCCACCGGGTGTCAGCACAAGATTGAAACCTTATTTATATCACAGCATTCTGACCTTGTACTACTGGCATGCCTTGTGCACCAGTGCCACCAATGACGGCGATTTCTTTCAACCCTGCCATGTCGTCTAGTTGTGATGGATAAAAAGGCTTCTTCTTGGCTCTGGAAGCAAGCTTTTACGTAGCGTCAAATTGGTGGGAAGAATGATAGTGAATCTCTGGAACTAGGTCGCTACTTATAGCTTCAAGATCAATAGACAGCAGACGGACTATACCAACATGTACGAATATCCTCCGATGCTGTCTGTGGAGATAGCACCGGATGGTTCTTTGCATTCTGATTGGGGACCCTGAGCCGAATGGAATTTAATACAGTACAAGAACAGCATAACATAGTATATTGCAGATATCATATATTTGTAAGCTGATTCTAAACCTTCCGCGGAGGCTTTTGGGTCCATTTTCTAGGTAATAAGAGACCTGTATTATATAAGTTATTGGGGTTATAAATATTAGTGCTAATATAAGCCCTAGATTACTTATATCCATATTATTTCTTTTAACCTTGCTTAAATGTATATATAATCAGCTTTATATTAAATACAGTTTTGGAATATAATGGCACTGGTCCCTGGTAGTGTGTACCCTAGAGTGAGGTCTTGGCAGGAAAACGCTTTGCCGAATCGGCACCGAGTGGGGATAACCTCATAACGCCAGACGGGGTTAACTGCACATATCGCCGAATTAACTATATCTCAGTCCATTGATAGTCCTGCAGTGTTAATGTGCTAAGTTCAGCGGAGTATATAAGACTCAGATTCTACCGCTGGTTGATAATATACTCCAAGCTCAACTCTTGTCTTAACTCAGCACTAAGCAATCAACTTTAACATCGCCATGTCCACCACTACCCTTGACACCTCTTCCCCGAGCGCCTACGGGCCCTCTGAGACAGCTCTTCTTCTTCTTGATTGGTACACCCTCTTCGTTGAGAAGGTTGCTGGTCCATCCGCTGAACCAGCCTTGAAGGTCGCGGTTGAGCTCCGAAACTGGGCCAAGGCTCAAAACATCACCGTTATTCACTGCCTTGTCGACGCAAACGGCACTCCCTTTCCGGCCTGCAAAGGCGTCGATCGCTTTCAAGGTCTCTTGGAGATTATGAAGAACGTGGAACAACCCGAACCAGCTGAACTTCGGACCGATGACAATGACGAGCTCACCTTTTACCGGGTCCCGGGACATATCTCGGCGCTCAAATCCCCAGGCTTACTTGCATATTTGAAGGAGAAGGGAATCAAGTCTCTTGTCCTCACTGGCTTGAGCACTTCTGGCTGTGTTCTAAGAACTGCAGTTACAGCAACGGATGCTGAATTTGCAACAACGGTTATCAGCGACGCTTGTGCTGATGGGGATGGGGACCTTCACCGGGTCATCTTGGATAAGATCATTCCTTCTAGGGGTCACGTGAAAATTGCTGCAGAGTTTCGGAAGGAATTTGAAGCATCTCGGAATGCTTGAGCTGTAGAAGTGAGATTGGTACGACTTATGACAAGTCCAGAATCAGAGAAATCTCAACAAAGCAGGACCAAGGGGTGGGAAACATCTCTCTAAAAGTACCGTTAGAATCTCAGAGGAGTAAAGAGTCCAATAAAATAAGCCGCATTCTATTTTTAGAATATCAGCAATTATAAAAATCCCGTAATTGAATCAGTAGTAGCAGATGCGTGACGTTGCGATGGATCTTCTGGACGGGTTTAACATATCCAGGTTGTTATATCCGTTGGTTCGATGCTACTGGTTCAAGCTTTCTCCACAAAAGAAAACCGGGGCTGTTACGGAGGACTGGATCTGCAGCAAGCTGGAGATTTCTCATCCTCTTCCTCATTAGAGCTCTCACCCTCGGATTTCTAGTAACCTCAACCAGGATAGCTACAGCAAGGTTAATTTTACCAGCTTTTGTCTATGTTCAGGACAGATCTGCATGGGTTCACAACGCACAAACCCAAACGGATGTCACAACTGTCGGCAAAAACGACTCCGCTGTGACGGGTCCGTTCCCTCTTGTCGCAAGTGCATATCGTTGGGCAAAGAATGTCTTGGATATGGTAACCTGTGGAGATGGACGGATTCTGTAGCAAGCCGTGGCAAGTTGGCTGGCAAAAAGATGCCTTTACCTAAAGACACCTTGGATCATCGTATAGAAAGCCAGTCGAAACCGGATGCAACCAGCCTTACTGTAACCACTGCCAATCAAAATATGAGCAGTGGTTCTTCCCGGGATCTGGATCTTAGTGGTAGTTTACAACTTTGTGGTAACTTAACGGATCCTTTGTTCAGCGATATGAGCTCAACTGATCATTATTATTTATCGTATTGTTTGTCGCCCCCTGTTGGACTACGTACGCTCTTTGCTAACCAATGATAACCAGTTGCGAATGGACTTTGCCCTCAGCTTGTAGCAATAGACCTACCTGGGCACAATCCGTTCCCGAGATTATTACCCATGGGATTCTGCAGCCCCGTCCTACAATACACCATGATCACTGCCGCAGCTCTGCATATGTCGAATGTTCTAAGACCAAACACGGACAAGTGGCCGGTGACACCAAATCACGTCAATAACAACTGGGATCCATCTCGAAGAGCTATGCTCGATGCGTTGGCGGCTAAACAAAAAGCCCTTTATCTTCTTCGCATGGCATTTCAGGACCTGGAGACCCAGGGACGCGATATGGTATTGACAGCTGCTATGCTTCTCGTCACCGCTGATATGATCGACTCGGGGAAACATGGATCCAAGGCACATCTCGACGGAATCGGCTGGTTGCTAAGCTATGCTCAGCCGGCTACTAGCGTGGGCGAGATGCTCAAGGACTTTGTTATATCGGATTGCTACATGTAAGCCCTGTTCTTGTTCCTAGAGACGGCGTGCCATTAACTGATGTGTCAGCTTCTATGTGTTTGCTTTGACCTTCATGGACCAGATTCCGCAGTCTTCTCTTGCACTCAACACAACAATCGCATCATCTGCTATCCATTATGCCGCCCGCAACAGTTTCATTTGCTGCCCTGCTGAAATCCTTCAGATTCTTTGGTCTACTGCAATAATCTTGCAAAGGCAGACAGCCAATAGCCATGATAGGGAGGGCGCGGCCGCGAAAGGCTTCGAACTATTCATGGAAGCCATGACATTCAACGTCGAAACGTGGTCTCGGGATATCCAGCAAGTTCCTCTTGGTCGTCAGGTCACTGATATCTCAAGCCGGATACACACAGGATATACACATCAGATGGCATGTTGTCTATACATCATATACGCCATTCCTTCTGTGAGGAGCTTTCTGCCAGAAAACACCGAACTGGATCTCGAGCACGGGCTCATCTTACATCTCCGCTATATCACTGACGAGGATCCCAACTTCAAGACATCCTTTTGGCCAACGTTCATTGCTGGAGCTCAGTCGAGTGATCCTGGTCAGCAAGCGTGGATTATGGATAGAATGAGGAGACAGTCACGTCTGTTTCCATGGGGTTTTCTGTATACCGCAATGGAAACACTTGAGCTTATCTGGAGGGAACGGGCCAAAGCTCCGGAAGGGCTGAACTGGTTGGAGATTCTGAGAAGTCCCGAGGTGAGTTTTCTGATTGTGTAGGTAGACCTTTGTTAGCAGCCAAGCTCACTTCAGTGCAAATAGCATTTTTGCATAACCTTCAATATTATTAATTCAGTGACACGAGAGACAGGCCACCCGAACTTAAGTTAAATTATAAGAGATGCTAAAAAGATGTTACAGCCCAAGATTCTTTTTAACAAAATCCATATTTCACAAGACTAGTCTATAGGCGACTTGTGATTGATTGGCCGCCCGCAACAGATTTCGCAGCCTCCTTTCCAGCCTTGGCTCCAAAAACAGCACCTGAAGTCAGGCCGCTTCCACCAGGGTAATTGGAGTAGAACAGGCCTCCCACCATCTCTCCCGCAACATAGATGTTTGGCACTGGACAACCAGTTGAACCATGGATCAACTGAGCCGTTTGAGGGTCAACCTTGACACCACCAAATGTGAACGTGACACCGCAAGTAACCTTGACTGCCACATAAGGTCCCTTGTCCAAAGGCAGAGCCCAGTTAGATTTGGCCAAAGCAAGCTTCTTCGCGGAAGACTGCGTTGACAGCCCGTCTCTGATGGCAGGATCCCACTTGACATTGGGGTTCTCGCGACGGTGAGCATAGACTGCTTCGTTGTAATCATGAACCGTGTCAATAAAGACAGCCTTGTTTCGAAGACCGCGTTCTGCGCACTTGTCGGCGAGCTCCTCCAGAGTATTGGCAGTAATGCGCTCAACACGTTCCTCACGGTACTCTTCTGATCGGAGCCAACCGCTTGTTCTGGAATCCCAGACCTGGAAAGCAAGATGCTCGGGTTGTTGAAGGATAGCTCGACCAAACTTGGCATATGTGTAGTTTCGAAGATCGACACCTTCATCAACGAATCTCTCACCATCAATATTGAGCATGAGACCAAGAGGATATCCTGACTTGGTGTACTCGTTGGAAGCTTCTCGATCACCCGTGTTGGGGTTAGCATTCGCATCCCAAGCAACAGAGTGACAACCTGACCAGTTACCCACAGCCTGCGCGCCAAGCTGTTGGATAGCCAGTCCCAAAACATCGCCAGTGTTGTAAGGTGTCCCTCGAACCATGGCCAAGTCCCAGCCAGGTCCAAGGAATTGACTTCGCATCTGAGGGTTTGACTCGAAGCCGCCGGCAGCTAAGATGACTGCACCAGCGGTCAATGTGCGCTTGACACCATTAAGAGAGACATCAACGTCATAGCCGTCATCGAAAGAGTGCTTCTTCAATCCCGTCAGGCCAGTTGACCACGAAACTTGGACATTGTGTCTCTTGATGGCAGCAAGATAGTCCTGAATGAGACCCTTGCCTCCATCTTCGGTCTTGATACACATACCACCCCAGAACTTGATCCTCCCATCAACCTCATATGCTTGCCTGTTGAAGGAAAGTTGGAATCGGATCCCATTTGCAGCAAGCCATTTGATGGTAGCATTGGAGTTCTGAATAAGGCTCTTTGAGAGCTCAGGGTCTGAACGTCCCATGCAGACTCTGTCCATATCGTTTTGAAAGTCTTTCTCGGTATAAGGAGCAAGATCAATCTTCTCAGCTTGTTCCCGGGAGACGTTGTTGACGATTGGCAGGACATCTTGAAGTCCGCCATGGGCAATTCGATAGGCGCCAGCGGTGAAATAAGAGTTTCCACCGACCCAGTTCTCGGGGCACTTGTCGATCAGCAGGACACTTTCTGCGCCGTTCTGAGCTGCTGAGAGAGCTGCTGCAAACCCGGCGTTGCCACTGCCTACAACCAGGACACCGACTTGTTTGGGAAGAGGCATGGTAACGTGAGGCGGATGATTAGAAGAAGCGAATCAGTATGGCTGAGGTATCGAGAAATTGACTTCTAGTTGTGAAGATGGAAGATTAATTGTGGTATATGGAAGAGTTTATATAATAATTTGAAAGCTTTTGAAGTATGCTGTTGTCGCGATTACGCCACTCAAGACGCGGGGACTCATCCTCCGAGACGACAACCAAGCCACTCTGCAACTGCTTCCAATTGGTCCCATTGTTGGAAGAGTGTGGCTGATAGTGGAGAAGCTGAAAGACACCACGGAGACTGATTCTCCGAGTGATGGCTCGGTTACTTCGGCAAAGACAAGAACTCCACATTCCACTCGGAGCTTTCTTCTCCGGGCCTACAAACTTCAGTTACTGCTTGAAACTCTCCTGCAGTTGTGCGTCCCTGAAGGCCCTCTCTGCAACTATCTTATCATATCAATCGTATCATTCTCACCCCACTGTTTTGCGAAACCTTGCATAATGTCTTCTCGGGACAATGACGTGATAATGGTGGCAGACGATGGACCCAGTCAACGACAACCCAGGTCGTTAGCAAAAGCGTGTACGGCCTGTCGGACCAAAAAGATCCGTTGCGACGCTGCAAGGCCTGAATGTGGAAATTGTGTCAGTCAGAAACGCGAATGTGTCTATCGGAGAGAAACTCCACGAAAACGGTACGTCCTGCCGCATGGAGTTTGATTAGTCTAACAAGTGGCAGACCTACGTTTTCTCAGATTGGCAAATTGCAACGGGACCTGGCAACTCTTAAAGTGTTCCTGTTGACTCTCAAGAGAAGTAGTTCAGAGGAACGTGAGAAACTACTCAACGCAGCCGTTGATGAAGATGGGGCTGTCAGCTTGCTAGACTCTACTGAGACTGGCCCTGCAGAAGAGGCTTCATCACGAAAGGTCACAAGTCAACCTATCGAGAGAAATGCCACTACACCAATAGTTTCATCAGATGACGAGTTAAACATTGCCAACTTCATATCTGTCGATGATGCTGGCACAACAAACAGCTTCGGTCCATCATCTGCTTTACACAATCCTGCAAGGAATGTTACAGAAACACCATCATCTCACCAAGCAACGTCATCAGAACATGTCAAGAATGAACTGATAGCCAATGCCGCTTTACAAAGACACCTCGAGCACCAACTTACCAGACATGCAACAATTGCTGGAGAGCCAACAGAACTTGCACTTCATCTCCTAAATTTGCACTGGGCTCGTCAGCATCACACTTTTCTTCTCACATATCGGCCGGCTGTCATGCGGGACTTGGAGTGTTCCGGACCGTACTGCTCCGCTTTCATGCTCAATGCGATATTCGCATGCTGTAGCAAGTTCTCTCCGCGACCTGACGTTAGGGACGACCCAGACGATCCATCCAGCGTTGGCCGTCGTTTTTTCAAGCGCTGTGATGAGCTTCTTAGCAGCGACTCTCTCCTCACTAGACCACATATCTCAACGATCGTGGGACTTGTCCTCCTGGGCTCGACGTATAATGCTCGCGGAGAGACGTCCAAAGGCTGGCTATATACAGGATACGCATTACGAATGGTTTATGATCTTGGTCTTCATCTTGATCCAAAGCAGACAACAGACAACCCCGAAGAAATTGAGATCCGGCGACGGGTTTTCTGGGGCGCTTTTGTCTGCGATAAACTCCAGAGTCTCTATATGGGTCGCCCAGTGGCTATCAATCTACGTGACTCGCAAGTCTCTCGCGAGTTTCTCGACATGTATGAAGAAATGGAGCCATTTTATCCTTCGACGTTGGTCACAGGCTGCTCCTCATCTGGTCTTGGTGGAAATATGGCTGGTGCAATCCCCAGACACTCTGTTTCAACGTTCCAGCAGCTGTGCCTTCTCTCGAAGATAATGACGACAATAATTAATCGCTTTTATGTGGTTGGGGCCACGTTCTCAAATGCTCAGATCGATCTCCACAAGATTGAGCAAGCCTTGCAGGGATGGCGAGACAAGCTACCATCAGAGCTAGATTTTCAGCCATGGTTATCAACTAGCGCTACGATTCAAACTCCAAATATCATGGTCCTTCATAACGTCTATCACTCTCTTATCATTCTTGTTCACCGGCCTTTCATCTCAGATGGTCATCTTCGATCGACTGTCACGTCAGGTCGGTCATGGGAGCAATGCACCATTGCAGCAAGATGCATCACTAGCATATCCTCGGTCTACAAGTCGACCTATGGACTAAATGGGGCTCCTTATGTATTGGCGTATACGGTATATGTGGCGTGTACGATACATGTCCGTAATGCAGCTTCTCAGATCCAGACAGTCGATCATTTAGCGATGCTCAAGTCCAGTCTGGAATGCCTGGATGAACTATGCACAGCGAACCCCGGTGTCGCAAAACCGGCAAACAGTATCAGGCGCTTAATTGGGGCTAACCGGTTGAATTTGGTGACGGGTATGTCCAAACCTCCCCCTAATATTCGCTCGCATGATATTGAGCATTTTGAAGAATCAAGTTCTGTCAGGCAAAGCGACCTGTCGTTTGACTTGGATACAATTCAGAGCACGTTTTCTGTTCTTGACTGGTCAAACGCGGGATCCGATATGTTTCCCATGGGGGATTTCGAGTATGGTCTGCCCATTGATCCCTTGTTTGGCTGGATAAACGTCGCAACTCCGTCGCTGGATGAAGAGGCACCATCTGTGAGCAATACTCAGTTACTCCATCGACCATACCGATAAGGAAGAACCACGTTTCAAGAGCAGCTATATTTCACTGAATTTTCTTTTCAGCCCTGCTGTGTTTCATATCCATTGACTCAGCGATCTATGTACAATTAAGGCGCGAGCAAGATATAGGACCCATAGGGTCTGATGAAAGAGTTGATTCCAACGACATAATTATTAAAATCTGGTTCTGAATAATAAAGGAGCTTAGCTTTCATCCAAAGCACTGACTGTTCCGAGTTAAGCCTTATATTACACCATGATCTGTCTAGAGAGCGCATGTTCCCCTGAAACTACTAAACCAATCTGAGAGATCCCCATCGGGCACCTAAGTGTCAGCTAGGATCAATCGAAAAGACAATGACTGTAGAGCTTGTTTCAACCGCCAATGATTTTATACATAAATAGTGGCAATAGTCCCTCATTGCAGGACTGTGAGAGGCATGTTATGAGTAGACAAGATGTCTTACAACACCATTGACCACGTTTATCGGGTACTATGAGCTTTAATATTAGGACTAGTTTGCGAAGACTTCGGCATCATTCGATTTAGCTTACTCTCTAAGAACTCAGTGATACTAAGCCGTAGCCCATGTTTAGACTCTGATCTCAAGTTGACAAGGGTCAAGGGTTTGAGTATTAAGCATGGACGCTAATGCAGCCGCCTTACTGCTGCCCAGCTAGATTCCCCATCGCCAAGCCCCTCATTATACTTCCAGGATCTAAAGAGCCGATCCCGACGCTGTTTACACTTGATTCGGCGTCTTAAAAATCAGTATAGCTAATCCCGCCGGTGCATCAAACTCCGCAAAATTAGACAACGGCGGAATTAGGCATTTGCATCTATAAGCATATCACCACATCAGCGACCCCTAAGAGTATATCATTAAATCCAAGCCTTCCTACTTAAGAGAACCCAATCATTCTTGATATTATCATGCATATTATTAACATGTCCTCACCTCTACCCTCCGGATCCATCGTTCTCGTCACTGGCATCAATAGCTACATCGGCTCACACGTCGCCGACCAGCTACTAGAAGCTGGTTTTATTATCTGAGGAACGGTTCGAGATATCAGAAAAGTGGGAGGCTTGCTTAACCTTTGGGAGGATAAGTTTAGGAAAGACAAGGTCGAATTAGTCATCGTCAAAGACTTTTCAGCACCTGTAGCATTCAATGTAGCAGTCCAAGGTCTTTAACATTGCCCCAGCCTTAAATAAAACATATTTTGACAAATACAATGCAGGTGTCGCAGGTATTGCTCATGTCGCGAGCAATGTGACTTTCAATCCGGACCCCAACATGGTTATCCCGGATGTCGTCACTATGCTACACAGAAGTGTAATTGTAGCCTTAGGAACGAGGAAAATGGCTCGATTAATCTACTGATAGGAATGGGTTCCCATAATATCAACCGTGCTCGGCCGCTCTGGTGCACAAGAGCCGATCATGGGTAAGTGGGGCTAAGGGCCATTCGGCATTCCACAACAGAAAGGTCCAATTGGCTTAAGGTTAGACAACGCACTGATGCAACTGGGTGACAGGTGGAGCAGTCTGTGTGGGCGCTAACTATGCGGGGAGTACGAAGGATATACAGAGTACTCCGAGAATCCTTGAAACTGCGGCTAGCCGAGTGGGAACAGGATATTCCTAACACTACAGGTGCTTCATGCCGAGCAAAAATCTGAAGGAGCTACCCAGGACTATCAATGTCAGTCATGGACACCACAGAGAGTTTGTCCTCTGGGTACCTGGCCCTCCGGCAATTCACCTGCTTTCAACCTGCATGTATGTTTGGAAAGGATGTACATCGTGGTACCTGATGGCTACAGGATGATCGGCCACTCTGTCAAGCAATTCATACTTCAGCTTCTTCTTACGGTGATTTCTAGCAACCCATTACGCACATTTGAACAAACTAAAACGCAATCTTTGTCTCGCCTCTTTTTTGACGCCAGGAGTTTGTGGCCTCTAATAGTTCTGGGCAATTTCGTGCCAACCTACCCCGTTTCTGCAAGAACGGGATGCTCACCTCATACTCTAGTACCTGATCTAGGGCCTATTTATACTTTGCTGCGAGTATGGATGTGCTACTGCTAAGGGTAAAGCCCCCTATGCCAACTTATCTATAAGAACCTGCAAGATGTTAGAAACTTCGTTGGCAGATGCAGGCTTGACGTAATAGACATAGATAGTCTCCAGCTGCTTCTGGTCCCAGATTGTGAAGTTGCTATCGGAGTCGTCGTAGTGCAGCCTGCCGGGAAGCTCGGAGGCCAAGATCTCGCACTAGTCTAGTTAGACAAAGGCTTTTTGTATTATTTAGCATTCCACACGTACAGACTGCTGGCAATTCGTCCCATCGCGATGGAGGGGCAAATCATCTTTTTGATGTCCGAGGCCGGCAGCGTTCGTCGACACAAACAAGTGGCCGAGCAAGTATAAGTGCGTAAACTTCATCTTGCTGACATTCAATGGAACAAGAAGCTGAGGAATATGTTGGAAAATGCATATAAAGTGTTCTATCAACTGTCAGTTCGTGACATCCAACTCATTTTACGTACAAAAATTCCTGCCCGAGACAGGAGATTGCTTGCGTCACTGTTGGCGTTCGGGCCTATCCCTGTAGTCGACATCGCCCTCCAGTGCGTATTTTGCCCCACCTGACCCCATGTACAAGATAATTACACAAGCTTGCCTTAGGGTAGAGTGAAAAGACGTGTCAACCTACTGTAGCGGGTCGACTTTTATTGCAAGTAACCATGCACATATATCGGTACTGATAGGGCTTGTCGATACGAGCCAATTATGTACAACATGATTAATATACTGTGATTGGCAAGAAACCCCCTGTTGTGACCGCTTTGGAGGGCTATGCCGCCTAAAGGGATAGAGCAGGGTGACGGACCGAATCGATACTGCCCAAAGTGACCATGGAGAAGAAGCAACTTCCGACGATATATTGGCGGTGATTGTTTCCACATTGTCCAGAGAATCCGGAAATAGAGTTGTGCATTAGGTGCTCATCCCGGCAATGGTGCGTAAGTAGGTTGCATTAGCGTTGACCCTGGTGCGTCGATTGGCCCCGTTATCGCTGCAGATGCTAGTGCGTCATCCAGTTGCATTGGTTAGCGTCTCCGGAAAGCTAACCGTGATAAATCATGAGCTAGTGGCCTGTTCTCTATTGTCGAAGCATATCTTCACAAACTTTCGATAATGTTCTCTGACAGTGCCGTGTCGTCTGTTTGGCATAAATACGTCGCACATGTCAATGCACACTACTCCTTCCAAGTCAATCCAAACTCCTCTGTTCCTGATCATCTTCTTCCCTGTCCTTGCCCACTCAGAGAGTTGCAATAAGCCTGTTCCGCATCAGCCATGGCTTTTCCAACTCCACCAGAGCCCAAGACTGAGCTAGGTCGCTATCGCATCCTGGCCAGCACTGCGGGTGTGAGAGTGTCACCACTCGCGTTGGGGGCCATGTCTATTGGCGTGTCATGGGCTTCTTGGATGGGTGCAATGGACGAGGAGCAGTCTTTCAAACTTTTGGACGCATACGCCGATGCTGGCGGCAACTTTATCGACACCGCCAACAACTACCAAGATGAGGATTCGGAGCTGTATCTGGGAAGATGGATGGCGGCCAGGAACAATCGGGATCTCATGTTTGTGGCGACCAAGTTTACAAACGATTTTCGTGGATGGGAGATTGGCTTGGGAAAGACTGTCAACTACGCTGGAAATCACAAGAAATCCCTCCGGTTGTCTGTTGAGGCTTCACTCCGAAAGCTACAGACGAACTACATAGACTTGCTCTACGTACACTGGTGGGACTGGTCGACGTCGATTGAGGAACTGATGGACTCGCTCCACATCCTCGTCGAACAAGGCAAAGTCCTTTACCTCGGCGTCTCCGACACCCCGGCCTGGGTTGTCTCAGCAGCCAACACGTACGCGAAAGCGCACGGCAAAACTCCCTTCTCTGTCTACCAAGGTCGCTGGAACCTCATGCATCGAGATTTCGAGCGTGACATCATTCCCATGGCACGACACTTTGGCATGGCGCTGTGCCCTTGGGATGTCCTCGGCGGTGGCCAACTTCAGACAAGGGCGCAACGGGCGGCTCGTCAAGAGTCTGATCCAACAGGTCGTGGCAGCCAGCAAAGCGAAGAGGCTCTCAGAGTGAGCGACGCGCTGGAAAAGGTGGCTGCCGAGCACGGAAAAACGAGCATTCAGCAGGTTGCACTCGCGTACGTGATGCACAAGGCGCCGCATGTATTCCCGCTTGTCGGTGGTCGGAAAGTCGAGCATCTCCACGACAACATCAAGGCACTGAGCATCAGATTGACAGATGATCAAGTCAAGTACATTGAAAGCATCAAATCATTCGATCTTGGCTTCCCGCTGGATTTCATTGGCGAAGACCCCCGGGAGACTGGGCAATCAACCCCTATGATGGAGTCCTTGCTTGGCGGAAAGATAGCTTGGAAGAAGACGTCGACAGCTATGGGCTATATCTGACATGGCGATACTCGAGATATAAGTGTTATCATTAGCTTCTGTATATCCTCAATCCACCATGATCTAAGGGTGCGACCGTTTTGTTGAGATGATGCGTGACAATTAAGATTCACGATCAGCTATCATGTTGTAGAGTACATGGTCGAGAAATCAGGGGGCGCAACCATCACTGCAGAGCGTGTACGACTAGTGGTTGTGATATGTAGTCTTTGGCAGGCTGATGCAAGAGCACGGACGGGGTTGGTCAGGAGCAAGACAATGTTTTCTCTCTGTCGTACAGTTGAATATCTTGGCTAGCTACTGTTCAATCGAGTCAAAGCTATTAGCTGGGGCTTCCCTTTATTCACGCGACCAGACTTCCTGAAGGAATGCTTCCAGACCTATGAACTTATAGTCAGGCAGTAGCTGATTCCACTCATTTGTCGCCGCCCATGCCCCTCGGGCGGTCGCGATCAATGTGCCTATCACAATGTCCCTCTTGAACGCCTCATGCTGGCCCTTTGGAAAATCAGCCATGGTTTGGTCAGGCAAAGGTGGCAACCAGCTTGTTTTCAGGACGCCTGCCTGAAGGTCGTCCGCCTCAACCCATTCGATAGTCCATGACTCCCCTGCAGAGTTCATAGCAGTTAGTGCCGTGGCGTGGAGAAATTGTTCACCCCTTTTAACCATATGACATGATTCACACACACTTACCTCGTACTTTCTCTCCCAGCTCTATGAGCTCTGCGACTGTAACTTCATTTCCTGCGATACCCCCCACTGTAGGCCATTCGCCTTCGTACTCCACCGCACGAGCAACGACCGCCACGATGTCTTGAACAGCCGTGTATGTCACTTTACTCTGTAGGTGGTTTTGATCTGCGATGGCGCGCATATCCTTGAGGTCGAAAATGACTGGAAAGAGGGTGAGGTGTTTGGTTGTCTGATGAGGATACCCAAGGTAGTTCATGAACAGTCCGGGGTGGAACAAAGTGTACTCCAGGACCTGCAATATCTGTGTCAGCAGGTGCGAGATAGATCAAGTTAATTGTGACTTGGCGGGAGCTCATGGTTTACCTTCTCTTCCCGGTTTAGTTCTTGCAGATACGTGCGGACACCGAGTTTACTGGCGTACCATGGCACGGTATCTCTGATTTCTTCGAGCTTTATGCCGCTATTTCCCGCGATTAGTTACCGTGGAGCCCCAACTTATTCGAGCCCTTACATAGACCACTCGCTGGCAGCGTATCGCTTAACGCCTGCGTCAAGGGCAGCATCGATCAAACGCTTCTGGGTGGCTCCTTCTGGGTCTTTGTGGGCTATGAAGAAACACAGGACGGTGTGAACGCCGCTGAGAAGACGAGCCAACACTGACCTATCTTCATAGTTTGTCTGCGCCCACTGAACCCCAGAAAGTGTTGGAAGTGACGTGGGATCCTGCAATGTTAGCCGTGTTTTCTTCGAGTTTCGGCACGGTCCCAATGGAGCAGTACCTTCCGGACTAGACCAACTATCTCGTGTTTACCAGTCTCAACGAGTCCATCCAAGACCTCACGGGCCAGCTCTAAATCACGGGCAAGAATGATTAGCTACCGAGATAGAAGACTGTACAGTTTACAAGGTAGCATACGTCCAGAAGCCCCTGCAATGGCAATTTTTACCATGTTGAGTGCCAAAATGTGGGCGATTATAAAAACGAGGCTTTTGCAGGCACCACGTAATGGGACTTAAACTCTATCGGAAGATATATGAGAAACCATTGAGCACATCGACGTATGTGACAGCGGATTTATGGAAAGCAAATCGGGATGATTCAGATGCTTTATAATCACAGGACGACTTGTATGTTGCAGCAAGCGGAGTTTGCTTCAGCCACGCCTCTCACCGGTGGTCTCGGCGACATAAGCGGGATGAGCAGAGCGGAGTTTGCGGGCTGTCACAGATGGAGAATGCGTGCCAGCCAGATAAGTTTTCAGAGCGTAGAGTATCTATAACGTTAGATAAAAAATCACTCGGCATTCCGGGATGTACGACTCCACTGCAAGGTTGACCGCTGAATAGGATTTCTAAGCATGGCGTTGAAGGGCGTTTATTAACTACTTATGCCTCTAAGATGTATTACGGGGAGCATTTTGTGACCGCACAAGCCCCTTAGGCTGTCAGCGAATACCGATATCATATGTTCTCTCCTGGCGCCCGAAATAAGCTTATCTGGAAAGATTTGTTTCCTCGTTCCCCTTCTCCAAAATGTCCACTCATCCTCACTATACCTCCAAGCTTGTAGGGACGCGTGTCCTCGTTATTGGCGGCACCACTGGTGTTGGCTTGGCGGTTGCTGAAGCCTGCATTGACTCTGGAGCTGCTTCTGTCATTATCTCGAGCTCAAACATCGACCGAATAAACGCTGCTGTATCGCATTTGCGAGATTACTGCCCCGACGCAAACTGTCATATAATTGGCTTTCCCTGCGATCTGAAGCAAGAGAAGTCTCTCGAGACCAACATCGAAGCGCTTTTCGGCGCGTCGACGTCGAATGGAACTAACAACCTCGACCATGTTGTTGTAACTGCCGGCGATCGACCCACGCCAAGGCCGCTGAACGAAGTCGATTTCAATTTCATCAAGGAAGCTGGAATGATACGTTTCTTTGCTCCTTTGTTGGTGGCAAAATATGCCGCAAAGCATCTAGCGTCAGGTTCCGCATCCAGCATTACGTTCACGTCTGGCATCAGTGCATACAGACCCTATCCCAGCTGGAATGCGATCGGCGCGTACATCTCCTCCTTGGAAGGCATGACAAGAAGTCTAGCTGTGGAGTTAAAGCCAACGCGTGTCAACCTCATCTGTCTAGGCCCAGTCGACACAGACCTCATGAGCCACTTTTATCCTGACCCCGAGAAACGCAAGAAAGCTCTGGAGGCTATCTCGGAGAGAGCTGTGACAGGGGCAGTTGGCAAAGTCCATGATGTTGCAGAATCATACCTGTATTGTATGAAGGACCATAATCTATCGGGTTCCATGATAAAAACAGACGCAGGAATGTTATTGGTTTAAAAGGCCATTTTGCAATGGAGACAGGTATCATAGAAACAAGAGCTACAGACACTGAATTACACGGATTCTGCCTCATGTAAACATGTGACTTCACTAGCAGCTGAGATAAAAGGCATAGAATCGTCGCTTGGAACTCTCAGTATTTGATTCTACCTGCTTGTTTGAGATTTATGGCATTGATATCTCTAGTAATCTCGCCAATTGTGACGTTTCTGATGCGCTTCCAAGGCCGGCCTGGACAACCACAGATCAATGTGGGCTATCAGAGGGCTACTAGGCAAATAGATAGATCTATGGAAAGTTGTTCTCGTCCTTTGTCAGATAAAGCTCCCTTAGTTACTCCCATGGGTAGCCTATTTGCATCCTCGTGGCCCCGTCTTTGCCCAAGTAAGCATAGTTGGCCACAATTGGCAAGCCACTGCACCGTAAGTTCATCTCACATTGGGCTTGTTTACGTGATCTCCAAGACTCATATAGTTAAAGAGGAAGACATGTGAAAAGTCTCTTCACATTCTAGCTATTGAACCCATCTAGGTAGATATTTTATATCTATGGCTATGCAACTCTTCCAGTGCTCGGTTGTCGTGGCAGATTTAGTGGTTGAACGTCTAGGCTGCTGTCGCTGAGGCCGTTGCCACTAGGTTGGATCCGTGCTACGGTCCCTTCGACGAGCTATGTGACGGTTCTCAGGGGCACATCACTCCTCGTTGACCAGGACATAATGAAATCTGTCTTTGACTACCTCAAAATCAGCCATCGCCTGGTTTGCCTCCTTCGTTAGCCGCTGTTCGACCCATGGCTAGACATTCTTCTCCACTGCCAGGTACATCATTTCGCGAATGTACGCAGGCGAGCCAAGCCCAAAGCCTGCAACAATCAGCCCTTTTTGGAGCAAGGGGAAGACTGCAAGAGCCTAAAGAGAGGTCTGGGCTACTCATCAAGCCGCGGCTGCTTACGGATTCCCGGATTTGTACTTTTCCCTTGTGAGATATGAATTTGTTGAAGGGAGGTGGAGACTCATAGCAAGCATGTGAAATTTGTGGATCGCTGTGCAACTAGTGAGAAGGGACTAAGAACTTTCGAGGTCAGTCTTTCAAAACTTCCACTAAGAGAGCGTACCTGCATTCCCCATGCTTCAAACGAAGGGCCCATGAACAGCTGGCAACGCTAATGCAGCTGGCTTACTGGCACAGCAGTCTGTGCGGGAGCTAAATATGTGGAGACATGATTTGAAGCCCCCGAAATGGTTGCTGAAGTAGGAACCATGTGCATTTTACAAGTTGCCAGCGAAGCACATCCTCCACCAATGGCAACCGATTCGATGCCGTCTCCGACAGAGAGTTCCTTCTCAAGCCTGAGCTTCTCCAGTGCCACTTCCATATCAGCCTTAGCTTGCCTGTTCTCTTCTGAGTTCTCGGGAAAAAGTGGATGAGTACATAGCCATTTCTCGAGGGCTTCCGGGCTGGTTGAATCCGCGATGGATCCCTTGACTAGCTTCTGATGCACGTACTCACGCAGTTGTTTTAGCTTATTAAGGTATTCATCATCTTCGTTTGACTCCTCCAACCCGTCCAAGTCTTTAACTAATGCCCCGGGCGTCTGCAGTCCCCGATCCCCAACAAATATATGCTGCCCCTGCTGCTCGACCATTTTTACCACCCTCTGCCGGTTCCCTAGCTGCACCGCGACATGCAGTCCTGTTCTCCCATGGCCTGGGTCACCCTTATCCAGCAATGCAAGGATAATATCTTCCATCTCCAACCGCCACTGATACAGCTCCTCCTTATCTGGCGACTTCGTACTCTACGTAGGAGAGGACATCTGCGGCCGCTAGCCAGCATCAACAGCTATACCCAGAAGCTTATTCAGCATCTTGCTCGACTCGATTTGTGCTCCCGCCTGAAGCAGTGCATGCACCCCTGGGGCGTTTCCCGCATACACCGCCATCGCGAGTGGCGTCAACCCCCTACGGCCGTATTTATGAGCGCCCTAACGCGCTCGTGTTCCAGCAAGTGGAAGAGGACATGCATTCCCCGCACCGGGGACTGCCCCATGGCCGCGCTTTGCAGGATGGTCGATGGTGGTTTCTAAGGCTCTGGGTGCTCCTTGACCGTGAATGAAGAGCGGTAGGAGGGGATCGTGCGGGTGGGCGAGATCGAAGAGGCCAAGCGGTGGGACGGTCGGGACGGTCCAGAGAGAGTCGCGATAGCTCCGTTCGGAGTCAAGGAGATAGGGGAGGATGTGGTGAAGATTCAAGGCGACAGCGAGAGGATAGGTATTTGTGGTCCAGCCGATTGCTCTGAGATAATCCTGTGGCTCTACATCAAGCTTTGTGTGAAGGAATACTTCGACGAGGGGGCCGTTCTTGGTCGCTATGGCTACTTCTAGCGGTGTACCCGATATCATGCGATCGCCCATTCGAATCCCGGGACCTGGGATACTTTCTAGCAAGCATTCCTTGCCTCCCGTCCTGAGTTACGAAGTAGAACATATGACGCAAAGGACATCGAAGAAACCCAAAAACAGGTCTTGATTGCGTCAATCGAAGCTCTTCAGATTTGCATTGATACCGTTAGTAGACGAAGAGCTTGAGGTATTTCAGTCGAGATCAGGGCACTATTTGTTTGGCCGGTGCTGCTTCCTAAGGAGTTCTTGGATCTGGCCCGAGATAATCACCCCATGGCTTTGGTATTACTGGCTCACTACAGCGTCATGATATATTGGGCAGAGCCCGAATGCTGGTTTCTTAAGTCGTGGTCCAAGCGACTAATCGGCGATATCGTCCAGAAGCTAGCTGGGACTCCGTGGGCATCCCATAATGATTGGACCGTTAGGTGCATCCATTCGAGCTAAAATAAATATTCCTCCATCTTTATGGCATCATGATGTTTCGTTTAAGCTACTTTGGCGGTGATTGCACAATCAAATTATATTCCAACTATTTAGGATCTCTGTAGATTAGTTATTTATCTCTAGTATGTTTGGGCTTGAATACTCTATGATGCTCTGTTTTGCCAAGTTCTCAGTGGTTAGTACAACATGCCAACTAGAAAGCCGTGACTTGGGATGCTTATCCCAATTTGACCTCCCAATGTTGTATGATGTGAAAGACACAGGTACGCACCCAAGCTTACCTGGAGAATTGACTTTCGACGCAGTACAGGTATAGTATGCCAATCTAGGTATTTTTCGATAAGTACTCATAGGGACCTAATATCCATGTCATCAGGTCAAAGCAATCATCAACTGGCTGTGACCTGACTTCTACGTTTCTCCATCATTAAAACTCAAACTTAAGGTGCTGTCCTTGTACTAATTCCAAAATATTAATTTGAAAAGAATACTACTCTTACAAACTCCAAGCAGTTCTATCATCCTCTAATCTGCTCGAACAAATTCCGTCCCATCATAGGGACTGACTATGCTAACCACTCTTGTATCCTCCATGTTGAAGATGAGCTCATCAGCCGTCCCGTAGGATCCAATATTCATCCAAGTCTGACTATGGTCAAACAATCCTCCTTGTCCACCCTCAACGGCAGCACGAGGTGGTGGGCTGGAAGGGCTAGAAACTAAGCGGAAAGCTGCAGAAAACTTGCCCTTGATATTGTATTGTGCGGCCAGAGAGCGAGAGTTGGAGTAGAGACCCATCGGGTACAGGCGTGACGAGGTATCGTCAACTGCGTCTTTTCCTTTGACGTACCATGACTTCACCTTCAAGCCAGGCTCTCCTTTCGTGACTTCGAGGGTGATGTTTGTAGTCTCAGAGCCCTCGACGACGAATGTACCAGTAAGGTTCTTCTCGGCACTTTCCGCCGCGGCGTACTCAGCTGCTGTGATAAAGGTCGTTCCAGTAACGTCGCGGAGTGGCCAACGAGCAGGAGTGGCAGTTTCACCAGCAATCAGAATTGAGAAGCCAATACCATGGTCTGGCGAAAGGGCGATAAAGCAGGTATAATCATCGTTACCGCCAGCCTTGAGGTATAAGTCAGAGACACGGGTGCGGTTCGAACCAGGTCCAGTGGGGAGGGTGAGACGCGTGATTTCCCAGGGTGCCCCTACAAGCTCAACAAGTGTGCCAGTGCTGCTACGAGGCTTCATCCACTCCCGAGTAGTGGTAGATGAGAGGAGGTCAGAGTTGAGGATAGAAAGTCCTGCGAGTCGTAGGTCTTTGGCAGATGAATAGATGCCACCGGATCTTCTTCTGGTCAGTTTATTTCACCAGCAGCACGGTAAAAAGCCTTGACTTACCCAGCTACAATAGGAGCATCAATGCCCCATGACTTGAGCCCAGTCCGGGCTACGGCATCTATGTCTGAGCCGTTGGGAACCACTGCAGAGGAAGAGTCCATTCCAAGTGGTTTAAAGACAAGATCTTTAATTGCGTCCTTGTACTCTTGGCCAGTGAGCCGCTCGAGGATCAAAGTCAGAACTCCAAATCCAGCATCCGAGTACAGTGCACTTCGCCAAGGGCCCATAGTTGGGACCTGTGTATCCCGCATAAATTCAAGAAAACCTGGTCTTGTAAGTAAATCTCCAATCCGCTACGGCGTCCCACTTACCCTCGCGATCGGCTCCGGTGGTGTTCGGGTTGAGTTTAAAGTATTCTATTGTTTGAGTCAGCATTCGGTGGGCCACCTAAGATACTACCGCAAACTTACCTCCGGGGCCACTGGTGCCAGCCTGATGTGCAGCGAGTGCTCCCACAGTAACTTCACTCCAGTCAATTCTCTCCAGTGGATTGCTAGATGAATTGCCCAAAAGTTCAGGGAGGAAAATGGGCACGGGATAACTCAATGCCTCAATGCCAGCCTTAGCAATGATAGCATACACAGTGAATACCTTTGACACGCTGCCAGTCCTGAAGATCGTGTCCTCAGTCAAGTTTCCCTTTGTGAGAGTATCCTTGTATGTATCGCCGACATGGAAGTAATTGTAAAGCGAATCATTGGTCGAGGCTGAAAAGACATCAACAGCAAAAATGAGGTCTGTTTTGTTCAGGATTTTTGTATCAAAGAGTTCTTCTATCAACGATGGGAACTTGTCCTTGGCTTCATTCAGGAAATCTGTCTTGGAAATGTCGAAGTTCGGGAGAAAAGAGGGACCAATAAGAGGAACGTCATTTGAAAGGACAACATTGGCTGTTGCAGAGCCAGCAAAGGCCATATAGGCCAAGGATTCAAGACGCATGCTGAGTGATATGAGTGAAATATAATGTCTTTTGGATTATCTGATATTTTTTGGCAACTCTTGAATTCTTAAATACAGATTTAATTCTTGATATTGCTGTGCATAAAGTCGTAAAGCAATTTGGCATCATACCTGTTGTAAGGCTGAGAGCGGCGCGTTGATACTGGAAAGAGTTTAGCTTTGTAGATCATGCGAGAAGTGGGCCAAGTAACAAGCCTGAAATTTGCCTAGCGATCCATCCATCCAGAAGGAGGTTTAGTTTCATTGTTTGAGTAGGCAAAACGATCTCATTTCCAACATTTCCTTGCTTGCTCGGCTTCCCGTGCCCTGGCTGTGCAGTTATCCCAGTTACCGGTCTGGACGTATCACAAGCTACGCCAGAGCACCGCCTTTTGGCCACAGGATCTGATTGGACCGATGACACAGCTGAGGTTCGGCTGCGCCTTGCTGACATGGGTTGCGTGCTTGTTAGGGGAATGGCCCCAGATGGACTATTAAACCGGGCCTCCGGAGCGCAGCGTGTGTCTTGAAGCGGTGTTTTTATTCTCGGCTGATATCTTAAGTCACATCAACTATTCAATCCAGACGACACATAAAGGCACAGGAGATCAAACTTGCTTCTTTTAAGAAGTGCAAGATACCAACTACACACTTTAGGCACAGTGGTCTCAAGCAGTTAGCGCGACAACTTGTATTTGACCTATTAATAGGGCAAGAAGAACAACAAGGTTAATGCGGGTTAGGTGACTTAACCGTTCCGTAATGTTGACTACCTCAATCAAATGATTCCAGCAGAACTAAAGATCCGATTAAATCTGTGTTACTGCTAGGATACCTGTATGTCAGCTTTAGACTATTCTTTCATCTGTAGCTGTCTTTTGTTATTGAATGACGCGACTCAGTGGGTTAGTATCGCGATAATGATAAGGAAGACGCGTTGGACAAATAACACAGCAGAATACCCTGAACTTGGGCATTTTAAATATTCTTTATGTTTTTATTTATATTAAATAAGTTAATAAATAGAAGCATTAAAATTAATTTAATTTAAAACTATAAATTAATACTAAGACAGCTCTTTTTATTTTCTATATAGTAATATATTCTTTATATATAAAACAAATATTAACTTGATACGTGCCCTTTCATTGGATTTAGGAGCATTAGACACCAAGACGGAATAACTATATTCCCGCGCCCGAGCCCAAAAAGTAACATCAAGGCCCATGACGTACATCGCTGCTGACAGGAAGATTGCTGGCTTGCTGGCTTCTTCCACTGTTTCTTGCCAATGTTAATACTGACGTTTACGGCCAGAACCTTACTGATGTGAGGACCAACATCCGACACAGCCTCCGCTATTGATGACCTGCTTCGCAATGGATTGACGGAACTTCGTAACCCCTCCAGCAGGCAATTTCCTATCAGAGCCGGCAATTCACGTCCTGGCAGTCCGGCAAACCTTATCATGACGCGCCCACTTTTGAGAGTCAAGGGTGGGTACGGCTCATAACCCCCGCATTCAAGCCTATCTCAGTTTAATGCAAGTTATGCTCACAATGCAAAGTTGGGGGTGATCCCGGAGGTCTCCGATAATTAACAGTAAGCAAGTAGCTTGGAGTTGGAGGCTTTGCTCCCAGAGTGGGTTATTTTTACCTCAACATCATTATTGCAAATGTATTTAGTCTTTTGGGAATTATATTTGGTATTGTTTGTTTAATACTTCATTAAATTACTGAACAAGCTGACTTTCAGCAATCGAAACTACAATCAACCCGGAAATTACAACACATCATGGCGAAGCTCGAGATTCCTATCATTGACTTCTCTGGTAAGCAACAGCCGTCAACTCTTCTTAGCTTCAGTCTAACCAATCTAGGATTTTACTCAGAAGACCCAGCTGAAAAGAAGAAGGTTGTGGACCAAGTTCGTGAGAGCTGTTTGTATAATGGATTTTTCCAGATCCTGGGACATTCTGTTCCTGTAGACAAGCAAGCCAAAGCCCTGCAGTGCGCCAAAAAGCTCTTCAACCTCCCCTTGGAGGAGAAAGAGAAGGTTTCAAAGAACAACAACACTTGGAACCGTGGTTATGAGATGTTGAGGTCACAGATTCTCGAGGAGGGTACTCAGCCAGAACTTAAAGAGGGTTTCTACATCGGTGACGAAATTCCAAAATCTCACCCCTATTTCGTCAACAAGAAACTCAACAGTGGCCCCAACCAGTGGCCGGAAGCCTTGGGAGACGATTTGGAGGACTTCAAGTATCAGACCATGGATTACTACCGGTCAACGCTGAGCCTAGCCTCTGATCTCATGCGAGTGCTAGCACTTTCCCTTGATCTAAAGGAGGACTATTTTAGTGACTTCCTGGATGGTGCTGTTGCTACCATGAGGCTTCTGCACTATCCTTCTCAGCCTAAAGACGCCGACGAAAAGCTTACTCGAGGCATTGGCGCTCATACAGACTTTGGTGCTATCACCATGCTTCTTCAAGACGATGTCGATGGTCTTCAAGTTTGGGATCAGAAGAATAACACCTGGATTGATGTAAGTCTCGTTACCACTAATTTCCGAAGGAGAAAAGCCTGACAATCTTTATTAGGTCCAACCAACCAAGGGAGCATTCGTTGTCAACCTGGGTAACCTGATGGCTCGATGGACAAACGAGAAGTACAAGAGCAACGTCCATCGCGTCATTAACAAGACTGGCAAAGAGAGATACTCTATCCCCGTCTTCGTGTCTGGTAACCCCGATTACGTTGTTGACTGTATCCCAACTTGCAAAGCACCTGGGGAGGAGGCCAAGTTCAAACCAGCAACTGTTGAGGAGGTTGTGTCAGCGTCTTATGCCGAGTCTTACGGAAGAGCTCAGTTGTACAAGCAGGGCCTTGAGAAGAAGGCTGAAAGTGCTGTGGGAAGCACGCCTCTCCAACAAGTTGCAGCTTGATGTATCATTACTACTCGTATGTCTCATAAGTCTTGGCGATTAAATGAACGGTTCTTTTGGTCAACTGCTCCCATTCTAAGTCCCCAGAAGTGCGTTGGAGATACCGAGACCTAGACTAAAGAGAGATTTGCTTGGTTCTCCCTGTTCTATTTGAGTCATGTCCTTAGCACTTAGTGCCTGTAGATCTTCAAGCGGTAACTCGATTTCCGTAGTAGAATATCCAACATCTGATTAGTCAAGGTTCCATGTATCGGAAAACAGCAAGACATAACAACAATGTATCCTACTACTCCGTATCCGGCTTATAGGCACCCGGGCTCATTTTTGCCAGACTTATAACAGAGAATGAGAGGTTCATAGTGGGTTTCAGGCCGCCATTCCTTAACCTGCAATCACATCCGATACAACACCATCAAGAGAAATCGCGCCGACTGAACAAGAACCTTCTTCAAAAGAGTCACCTCGGAAGACGTTGCGGCTGAGCTTCCCGGGTTGATACGCTAGGGGGGTTGGGATGGGGTTAAGGCGGGGGTAAAAGCACGATTCGGACGGCTCCTGATTATCTTCCATGTTTGCCCCCCACTAAGATAAAGCTGTCGGATGAGATGATCCTACAGCAAGTGCCCCCATTTTCGATGGCAGGTCATTGTAGTATGCCAAGTAAATGTTACCAAAAGAAGCTATATCAACCGATTGAGATGGATGTACTGGTTACAAACAACCCATATAAAGCCCACTTCTAATGTACTGACTGAGATAGTCTCGTTTCCCCTCCGCCGAGATTGAAGATCATTGGCTTGCAAATCGTGGTCTCGGCTAGAGATACCACAATGATACAGCCAGTAGCCTGGCTATAGAAAGGGTGACACTTGCACAATGAGAAGTAAGAAGTGTCACCAGTAATCAACAATTTGATTCAAGCACAAGAGCCATTTGGGTATGACTGAAAACAACATTATCACAATGTCTTCAGATGATAAGCATAGCCATCATGAGTCCCTGGCTTTTGACCAGGAAAACAGTTCCCAGATTGTTGTTGATGCAGCTGCTGAGCGATCTTACTGTCAGTGCCCTTCCAAACGGAAAAAACCCGCGAAATATCCCATGCTGACATTCAGTAGTGCGTAAGATGGACGCATGGCTTCTGTCATATCTGAGCGTTATGTACTTTTTTAATGCTGTTGATAGAGTAAGTCTTACCCCAGATACTAGTAATTCTTCTAACAAAACCAGAGTAACCTGGGAAATGCCGAGACAGATGGAATGAGTAAAGACCTCAACTTCAAGGGCGAAGAGTTCTCACTTTTAATCCTCCTTTTTTATGTGCCAAATGGTCTCTGTGATCTTCCACTTAACATTCTTCTCAAGAGGTTTTCAGGTAGAATCATGCTGCCCTCCCTCATGGTCGGCTGGGGTTCTATGGCCTTGTTGCAAGCTGCCTGTAAGAACTTTGCAGGCATGTTGGCCATTCGTCTCCTGTTGGGGTAAGTTGCGACAATCTCTGGATGTTCATCATGAACTTGCTCTAACAGCTCACAGTGCTTTCGAGGCCGGATTCTTTGCTGGTGCGGTCTTTTATCTGACACTCTTTTATCAGCGTGGCGAACTTGGCTTTCGTATTGCAATCTTCTTTGGCAGTGCGCTGCTTGCTAGTGCTTTCTCGGGTCTCATTTCGTTTGGTGTCTTCCAGATCAAGGTCTCTCATATTCAGGGTTGGATGTGGCTATTTATAATCGAAGGTAAGTTGAGAGTTCTGGAAAAGAAAACTTTCAATACAGCTTGCTGACGAGAGGGAATATCAGGTACAATGACCGTATTCTTAGGAATTCTTGCCTTCTGGTGGCTTCCTGCCGACCCGCAAAGTGCCTGGTTCTTAACAGAAGAAGAAAAGCACGTTGCAAGGCAAAGAGCTCTCCGCGACGGTAGCGGAGTTATTGGCGAGGAATTCAACCTCAAGGATTGCTTCAAGAGCTGGAACAGCTGGAGATTTGCTGTATGGTGTGTCATCAGCTTGACCTATCCCGTCGCCTTCTCCACCACTTCCAATTTCCTGCCGCTTATTATCCGTCGTTTAGGATATAACACGGTAATCACGAACCTTCTGACTGTGCCTCCTAACGTTGCAGGATTCTTGGTTCTCCTCGCAGCTACCTGGAGCTCCGATCGCAACAGAGAAAGAACACTGCATATTGTTGGCAGTCTGTCCACCAGTCTTGTTGGCCTCCTCATCCTCGCCATTATTGATGCTGAGGCTCACATTGGAGTGGCTTATTTTGCCTGTTTCATGCTGTGTGCTGGGGCATATATCCCAAGTTGTCTAGTTCACAGCTGGCACAACAACAACAATCTCAGTGAGAACTCACGAGCAGCCACGACTGGTCTTCTTGTAGGTCTTGGTAATCTTGGTGGTATTCTCTCGGCTGGAACGTTCAGAACAACTTACGCACCTCGCTATGCACCAACTTTAATGGGAACGGCTGCTTGCAATGTTACCTGCATTATTTTCACATTGGGACTGGGATTCTGGATGAGGAAGCAGAATCGTACAAAGAACGAGGCACAGGGTGTTGACCTAAAGGCCGAGGATGTTGCTACTTCCGAAATCACCCATGGGGAACAAGATCCACGTTGGAGGTACTTCGTGTGAGTTTGGGCAACTTGATGGCATAGGGAAATAGTAAAAGATAATTGGGTTGTTTCAGATTAACAAGTCTACAGCAGGACAGTCTAAAAAGATATAGCTTTTAGCCTGAGCGGTGAGTAACTCGGAGCCAAGTCCTTCGGCTCAATGTATACCGAAAACTCAAACCAATAAATCCTCCATCTTCCTTATCACCGCTGTCATGATGTACACCACTGGGAGTGTTGAGTCTATTGTGTGATTAGTTTGTGAAAAAAGAATTTGACTTGAGACTGACCAGTTTGATGCTGAGGAGCAATATCTAGCATCTCCAAACATAAGTGCAAGGAGAACCAATGCCAGTACAGCTCGTCATTCCATTAATTCCATCTCCTGCATACGTCCCAGCCTTCCCATTGCAGACTTTAGCTGGGTTAACTACACTGGTCGTAACCACGCAAACGGGGCCGATAGAGCTGTCAGAGCATGACCCTTGGATGTTCCATATGGCGCATGTCGCCAGAGGTGCAAAGAATGCGAGTATTGCGGTAGTTCGCATAATGATCAATAAATTTAGGGTATAAGAGAGAACAGACAGAATAAAATTATAAGTATCAGTGAAATAGTCGCTTAATGAGTTTTGTAGATAAATATCAACATTGGGAATTTCTTTATTTTATACAACCAAAGCAACTACTCTTACTACATACGATGGGTTACCAAGACTAGGTCTTTCTCTTGGACAAGAGTGAATCATCTTAAACTCGTATTGATCCGTTGCTCGGATCATTTAAGCTTTGTAGCTGCTTCACTACTAATAAGTGTCCCTGACTAGGTAGGTACATACGGTTGCATCGTCTAAAAGCTGGCGTGGAACTAAGCTAAGAACAGACCACTCCTTATTCTGTTTTGACGAATGCAACGAGATCACGATGAAATGAAACTCAATTCAAAAAAGAGCATTTATTATGCCTCAAACAAATAGTTGAAAGACATGTCAAGCCATGTATTTGATGATCAGCCTATGATCCGCCTTCCAGCCGGCATGCCAGCGTTGCCAATTCGTCAGCTGACATCGGGCATGGAAGGTTTACAGGGCCCTTTCTCCGGCAACATCGGAACACATACCCAGGAGACTGGTATAGAACCCTTGAAACCGTTGCTGCAGTGCGCCACGAACTGCATGCCTCAAACGTTCAAGTACTGGCTAATAATAATAAAGTTTTCCATTTCGTTGCTTTGCCCTCTGCAATTCCGAAGATGTTGGGATAATGACATTACCACTTCGTTACACCTCCATCAACAAGAATATCGGAGCCCGTGCAATACCTGGTGATTGGTAAGTATATCTGGCGGTTCAAAAGGCGGTGACAATGACTTACGCGCTGGCATCACTGGCCAGAAAGACACAGGCTCCCTTGATGTCGTCAGGTTCCGCGACACGGCGGTTCATGATCTCGTCCTTCCATCCCTCAATCAAGTCTGGGAATGGTGCTGTCATCGCTGTCTTGACATAGCCAGGGCTGATTGAGTTTACTCGGATCCCATGCTCATGAAGCTCTGCAGCAATCGGCGCAACCATTGCTCTCACCGCACCCTTAGTACCACAGTAAGCTGTCGACCTTTGAGACCGAATAGCCATGTGCGAAGCAATACTAGCCACGAGAATAATACTTCCGCATTTGGTCTTGTTTCCGATCATTGCTTGAGCCGCCAGTTTTGCTGAGAAGTAAACACCTTTAGCATTGACGGCGAATAACTTGTCAAAATCCTCCTCTTCTGTGTCGAGGAAATGCACATTCTTGTTGACCCCTGCGCATGCAACCAGGATGTCTAGTCTGTTGTTGAAGTCTGAAGCCACAGCGGCGAAACCTTCTTTTAGACTCAACAACGCGGTTACATCCACAATGTAAGATTTGATCTGGACCCCATAGCTGGAAATCAGCTGTTCGACATCAGGAGCAGAGGGTTCAATCACGTCGAAAATGGCAACATCGGCACCCGCCTCGGCCAACCCCTGGGCAAACGCGAAACCGCAGCCTCGACCTCCCCCAGTAACGACGGCTAAGCGGCCAGCCAGTGAGAACTGCGAGACAATATAAGCCTATGGTCTGGGAAGATAAATGGCACCAAGAAACTGACCTTTGACATTCTGAGCAAGGGATATGTTGTAAGTCGTTAAGGGAAGGAGTTTCGAAATGGGGAGGAAGCTATACTAGTTACGTGTGTGATGTTCAGCGCAAAAAAGTTCACATAGATGTCAAATCACCTTTGTACTGAATCACGAGACTTGAAGTCTTTCTACGATAGAGTTCCAGAGTCTAGCGGGTCATGATACGACGGACGGGTACCTGATTCGATTTCGCGGAGCCTGTAACCTCGTGCCGCAAACAGAGTTCGAGAATGGGGGTGGGGGTTGCAACAGTCACAAACTCCACTTGTGTGTGATAACGCGTGATACCGCCCACGGGAACTAATCTGATACATACCGACCAGGGAGTAAGTGGGGGTAGGTTCCATTCCCTAGTACTGTAACACGAGACCCCGCGTTTTGAGAGTATCTCTGAGATCAAGTTATATGGCAGCAAACCTGTCTGAGTTGTAAAGAGTTGCAGTGAATAGTGTATTTTCTAGGTATATCATATCACCTTTTGAGAAAGCCTTATACAAAATGGGCAAAAAGAAAGTTTTGGTCTGGTAAGCATTGCAATCAGCCAATGAACTTGTCGCTAATCAGGGTACCAGCTATGGTGTGGATATCGATGCCGTAGCCGGTTGGCTAGGATCATACGGAGGCGAAGACAGCACAAGCGACATTAGCAGAGGTCAGCAAAACAATGCACATAATACTTCAATACTGATTCTTTAGGCAACAGGCCTCTGGGCGGGCACAATTGGCACTCGGCGCTTGTTGAAGCTATTTGACAAGTACAACATCAAGGCCTCGTGGTTCATCCCTGGACACAGTCTGGAAACATTTCCAGAAGAGTGCGCTATGGTCCGAGATGCTGGACATGAAATAGGTGTAAGTAACATATTGTGCCAATAATCGGCATTCCGCTAAGCGACAGCAGCTACATGGCTACAGCCACGAAAACCCTGTGGACATGACTTTCGAGCAGCAAAAAGATGTTTTGCACAAGACATGGAAGTTACTCACCGACTTCTGCGGAAAGCCCCCCAAAGGAAGTGTGGCGCCTTGGTGGGAGACAAGCGAAGAAGGTACCGAGTTGATGCTTAGCTACGGAATTGAGTATGACCACTCAATGTCTCATCACGACTGTCAGGCATACTGGCTGCGGACAGGCGACTCATGGACCAAGATTGATTACACCAAGAAGGCCGAGGAGTGGATGAAGCCATTGAAACAAGGCAAAGAGACAGGCATGGTCGAAATACCTGGCTCTTGGTATATAGATGACCTACCGCCCATGATGTTCATTAAGAACTCTCCAAACTCACATGGATGGGTGAACCCGAGGTAAGACATTCCAGAAGCGAGATAATTACCTGCACTGACAATAGATCCAGAGATGTTGAAGATATCTGGAAAGACCACTTCGATTACTTCTACCGGGAATATGGTCAGTCAATTGCCGGGGTGATGAGTATTATTTTTCAGTTGACCAATACTGTTTTAGACGAATTCATCTTCCCTATGACTATCCACCCTGATGTCTCAGGCAGACCACACGTTCTCCTGATGCACGAACGCATCATCGAGCACATCAACAAGCATGAAGGTGTCGAGTGGGTCACTATGGCAGAGGTCAGTTGCATCTGATTCCTAGTGCGCTCAATAAAATCCATGGCGCTGACGTTTACCAGATGAGCGATTATTTCAAGAGCAAGAACCCTGCCCCAGAAGGCGCTCTCATGCCGGCTAGCCACGAGGAAGTAATGAAGAAGTTTCAAGAAACAACGTGAAAGCAGTTAAACCATGGGTCATTGGGTAGTTTATGCGCATAGAGAGAACGAAGCCGAGTAATGAAGTCTATTAGTCAGGAAATCCTCCTTACCATTATTTGCGATTCTTCATAGTTCAACAAGTCTTTTCATTGGAATCTGTCGACACGACGAAGAACCAACCCCCCAACAGACTATAACGCCAAGCAACACAATGTTTAAAGACGTCACACCACGTAATATGTCACAGAAACATACTTCAGGTAGCATAGCAATTCCCACACAATAGATACACTTTATAGAATAGAAGTTTACTTTAGATACTTAGGTTACTGGGTGCCAGAGGAGTTCAGTCCCTCACAATAGATAAGGGACGACATGGTCTCGCTTATAAATGAGCTACATGGGAGGACCTGCGACCAATTAAAGTTATATCAACAAGAGGTCGTGACTCTCCCCCCGAAATCCTCTTCTGGGGGTCCACACTTCCGAGATCAGGAGTTTTTAATCCTGTAGCCACTATTCAAGGCAGTGGCGATCATTCTTTCGGAAGACGACTTCAACGTTCGTGTAACAGATATGGGAAAGTTGCCAGTCTTCATTACTCTGACAGGGAAAGGGGGCGGGTTAAGTCAACAGCTGAACTTCAAATCCATCAGTCACCATATAAGAAAATTCATATCAGATACAGCAGTTCATGTGCCTCTGAACATAGCTATTGACTTTATCACCACTCAGAATCAACGAGAAATTGCTGCTTTTGGCCATCAGCCTGACCCGTTGAAGTCAACGCTGGGATTTCGAAACGGACTATGTCTACCTCCCGAAGACCTGGCTCTCGTTGTGGGTTCCCTTGGTGGAGGAGATGAACCAATTGAGGGGCCAAGCTCAACTTGGGTCGATACTGCGATTCATACTGGATGGCCTAGAGTCAACGCCTTCGACGCTGCGAGTGTCTATCAGCATGAAGAAACACGCGAGCGATGGGCGATGCTTCGAGAAGTCGCTGGTGTCAGTCTTGACTTTGCCAGGATTTATCGCCGAAACAGCATATGATCGGGAGATACGTGACGAAAACATGGAAAGAAGTTAGAACATGCTCAAAAAGGGAAGTCTAAGATTAAAACTTCAAATGTTCTAGATGCCACACAGAAGATATATTCCTCCAACTAACCTGTATGCCTCCTCTGTTATTAACTCGCTTCGGTGCATGATCTGCTTCTAACTAAGGCTACCAAGTCTATGTTAATGACTGAGAGTATCGGGGTTGCAGCAGCTTTTTCACAACGCGATCAATTACCTCCGCAGCCCCAAGCACTTTCTCCTCTTCAAGTTTCCGTCCGACGATTTGCAGCCCAATTGGGAGATTCATCGCAGCCATCTCGTCTTTATCCTTGTTCCAGAGCCCCTGGTTCCATTCATCCTCAGCTTCTCGAGCAGGATACGAGAACGGTATGTCAACATCCCCTGGCTTTATTGTACCGCCAGGTATCACCATCGCGGTATAGTCAAGGACATTCCATACCTTCGTATAGCCAACCCAACCGCATCCACCATGTCGAACAGCGGTGTGAGGCATGGTGGGCATGAGAAGGACGTCGGCCTTTCTGCCAGTGGCGGACCGGATCGAATTCCACTTCTCCAGGTAACCCTGCTGAAGATCCCACTTCTTCTTGTTGAGCTTCCAATATTCGTACACCGAAATTGCTTTGCCGCGGTTGACAAGTCGCTTCACGTGAGAAATGAATGGTTCTCCAGCCTTTGATACATCTTGACGGATATCCTCACCACCATCAGCGGTATAAAACATATCCTACTGCAATGTCAATCAAAAAGATCCTGCGTTCGACATCAGGAATGTTACCATAGTTCTTATACACTGCTCATGAAGTTCAGTATTCCACTCCACAATCTCGTGACCTTCCAGCTTCAAAGCTTCAACTGCATCTTGCAAGGCTCGGGTTATCGGTGGATGGGGACGAACAACCCCATCGTCCATCAGAACACCGATAGTAAGTGGGCGGCTATGCATTTCTTCGTATAAATGGCCTCGCCAAGGAAGCGGAGCACAGCGTGCATCATGATCCCATGGGTTTGACTCGATTAGGCTGTGCATGGCATATTTGATCATGCCAAAGTCTCGTGCCATTGGACCAATTGACGATGGGACATGTTCTTGTCCCTCTGTGGAAACAGGAACGCCTTGGTAAGGTAGTCTTGCGCTCTGGTGATTAATTAGTGGGATAATGGCTCATTCAAGATCAATGAACAACTTACACTCGGCTTCAATCCATATATGCCCATCATGTGACTTGGGATGCGAATGCTCCCACCAACATCCGTACCCCATCCGAGCATAGAGGCACCACAAGAAATTAGGACGGCTTCACCACCTGTAGAGCCACCTGGTGTGTAGTCCTTGCTCATGGGATTGGTAGTCAATCCCCATAGGGGATTCTCTGTCTCGCACCACTAAATTCCAGTAAGCCAAAGTGCTCAACCTGAAGTATGATTGAGATTAGTCGCCCACCATGATGCTTTGAGGCAAGTTCGACTTTGCGAGAACGATAGCCCCTAGTGATTTGAGCATCTTTACCAGTACGGCATCGTCACGAGCTGGATCAAAGGACCGTCCAACATAACCTAGAGTGCTATCGTAGCCCTTGATATTGAACTGGTCCTTGAGAGTAACTACGACGCCATGTAGAGGTCCTATCGGCTGTTTGTTGCTGATCATGTAAGTATCAAGCTCTTCAGCTTGTTGAAAAGCATTTTCGAAAGCAACTTCTGTCAGACTGGAGTAAAATTAGCCCTTGACACATCAATTTCTAGGTTGAATCTTACCAGTTGGTCTATATTATGTTAGTTGTGGTTAGAAAGAATAGCATTTATCGCATCGCCGCTCACCAAAACATACCTGTTGATGGACCAGGATCGCCCTGTACATAAATACATTAGATATTTGTAATAAGGCTTATACCAGCATCGATTGCGCACCTTTGTACCAATCCTTGCACAACCGTTTTGCATGTCAGCTGCCCTTTTGATATCAGGCTCAAAGTCTGGGTTGCATTGGCAAGATTGTCGATATCGACATCTTGTAACTTTGTGTCATTCTCAAGTTCGAGCAAAGCCTTGGATAAAATGTCGTTTTGTTGTTGTTTCTTACGCTGAACTGTCGACTGCCAAGGCAGAGGCTCGGGATCAATCGAACCAGGAGCCATTGTCCTAACTTGGCAGAGAATTGTCCAACAAGCCAATAAAATCCTCTTGTGGCTATAATAGCACGAGTCCTTTTCTGTACCAGAAAAGAGAGAGAAGTCTTGATCTGCAGAACGACCCCATCCTTGAATATACCTTGCCAACCCCGCGCCTATGCCGATAAAAGTAGATTTTAGTCGAATCATAGCCGATTTCAAACCCGAACCGCCGAGATAACGATAGCCAAAGGCGGTTGAGAATCGGGAGTGGGGGTGGACTCGGCGCTAGCTTACTGATGACAGAGACCAACTGATCGAATGATGGTGCTGCTACATTCTCCTCGACAGATGAGACGACCTTTGACGGAAGACGCCGCAAGAACGTCTTTAAGTGTCTGTTAGTAAGAACCGGCTTGATTAATATATCCAAGAGGTAAATGTGTTGACGAGATCAATTGTTACACTGCCAAACACCATCGACATCATTCATCATTCGGCACAGTACCCGTCTCTAACACTATTAACCTTTTGCCCCACATGGCCATTCCGACAAGCACAGATGGTCATAGCAACGGATATCACGATGCTGATGTCCATGATGTCTGCGTTGTTGGAGCTGGCCCTGCAGGCCTCATGTTGAGGTAAGCTGCTGAATTAATGTTCGCCTTCTTTCCGTACTGACGATTTCTCCAGTGTTGTGTTGGCAAAGCTTGGTCTCTCAGTCAAGGTTGTCGATGAGAGGCCCGATCAGACAACCGTGGGTCGTGCTGACGGTATCCAACCAAAGACCATTGAGACGTTGCAAATGCTGCGAATTGGTGATGATCTTGTACAAACAGGTGTCAAAGTTCATGACATTTGCATGTGGCGGGGTTCACCAACGGAAGGACTTCGCCGTACAGGACGTGAAGTTCACTATCCATCCTCAGTGGTAGACGTGCTACATCCTTACATCCTGTTGTGCCATCAAGGTATGATGGAAGGCACCTTTATCAACGATCTGCGAAAAAGTGGTGTTGAAGTCACTCGCAGTCACACTTTTAGAGGCGTAGCAAACTCTTCCGATCATCTCCAGATCGAATGCGACAAAGATGGTGAAACACGTACTGCTATTCCGGCCAGATACCTAGTTGGGTGTGATGGTGCTCGCTCAGCAGTACGGAACGCCATTCCGGGCGCTGCCTCCCAAGGGACTCCTCACAATTCTGTTTGGGGGGTTTTGGATGGAGAGTTAGATACCGACTTCCCTGACATTTGGAGCAAGACCGTCATCTTTTCTGAGGAACACGGATCAGTCCTTCTTATCCCACGTGAACGGAATATGACCCGACTTTACATCGAGATGAAGAGTTCGGTCACTTCGAAGGGCCTCGGTCAGGAGTTTGTCATGGAGCAGGCACGTCTTATCATGGCCCCATACACGGTCAACTGGACATCAGTGGAGTGGTTTGGCAACTATCAAGTATCTCAACGCTTCGCAACGCGGTTCTTGGACCCGACTCAGCGGATATTCATCGCTGGAGATGCCAGTCATACGCACAGTCCAAAGGCTGCACAGGGAATGAACACCAGTGTCCATGACTCTTGGAACTTGGGCTGGAAGCTCAACCTTGCCGCACGTAACTTTGCCAAGGACGGTGTTCTTCTACAATCTTACGAGCAAGAACGAAAGAAGATTGCCGAAGATCTCATCAACTTTGACCTTGAACACGCCAATGAGATCGCTGGAGGTGACTCCAAGAGACTCGCTGAGAATTTCCGAAAGAACACACGCTTCATCTCTGGAGTGGGGGTCGAGTATGGTCCCAATGAGCTGAACCATTCTCTAGATGCCGCTCCTAGTGGCGATGCTAAACCAGGCTGCAATCTCCCGCAAGCAAAGGTTACGCGCTACATAGATGCTTGCCCAGTTGATGTTCAGCTCGATGTCCCGATTCTCGGTCAGTTCCGAGTCTATGTAGTCGCTCCGAATCTTACAGGGCATCAAGAGAGTGGCTTCATCAAAGCCTTTGATGAGTCTATCTCAACCCCAACCTCGTTTGTATTCCAGCTTGGCAAGTCAGCGCAGGCTTCATACCAGGAGAAGCCTCGTGCCAGCCGAGCCGATGATGTTTACGTGCGACCAGAACGGTACACAACAGTTAATCAATTAATCACATTTGCTCTTCTCAGTAAGTGATATCTGCTCGATCGTCACATTATCATAGCCACTAACTCTGGAATCCTTTACAGCCTCTACAGATAAGAATGAGTTTGAGCTCTCAGACTTGCCTCCCACATTTTCCAGGAGTAGGTGGACGGTGTATCTGGATGACGCGGCACACTTGGATACCAAGCGAATCTCGTGCACAGAGAAGTGGCTTGGCTCTGTCGATAGTGGAGAGGTCTCAATTCTTGTGGTAAGACCAGATGGCTATGTCGGTGCCATTCGGCGTATCAAGAATGCTAGTGTCGAGGATGGCGCAGCGGCGGCGAGTTGGCTCGATTCGTACTTTGGAGGCTTTTTGCAGATTCCCTCTGTTTAAACGTGGATGTGATGGGAAGGGACTTGATGGAAAGCCTGTATGAATCATTTTGTGCTATGAGGCAACATTGGAACGAAGTTAGGCGCCTGAAACTTCACTGTCTAGGTTGAGACGATGCGCAATAATCACAGGATCAGACTGCAAGGGACGTTTAGTGAATTGTATCCCTTGATCGTAATACTTTGGTGAATGTATGTTCAACTCTCCATGTCAGACACGTTCGCATTGTAAACGGGAGATGAGTCGATTCACCACTGGCCCAAGGTAAGCATCGAGTCCAGGCCTAGACTCGCCGATGAGTATTGAATCACTCGCTACTGGTTTCTAGAGTCCTCTACAGCAGTAGTGCTCGAGTTATCCGACTCGATCAGACCAAGTTCAGACAGAGCCAGGCCTCGACCATTGATAGCGGGCACCAATTATCTGATCAGATTAACCCCATTTATCCCAAATCCTATAGATTAAACTCTCAAGCAGCAGGTATAATCCGGGGAAAGTGGGGGTTTGGATGTCAGCAGGGTGAGTTTGAACCGATAAGATAGGTAGATAGCCGTAGCGTAGCATACGCGTTGTCTTGGCGTGATCCTGTTGCTGGCCTAGCGGATGGTAAGGTTACGGCTGGGTTCAGGGTGTGCATTGACTCGTATTTGGCCGAGCAGCGATTAGTTATCTTCTCTATCTCTCTCATCACAAAAGGGGAGAACTCGACTCTGTCCAGTGGCCCATGGGTGATAAATACATGAGTCGACACCGGTTGATATCTCCAGTCTCTAAGCCTGCTCTCTCAGCTTTAACGTCTTGACTCCTTTTCACAAATCATCACCATGGCTTCAAACAATGCAGACGATATTGCCGAGAAGGCCACTGGAGCCAAGCTTCAACAGAGTCCAAGTGCAACTTCTTACCGTCTCGGCGATCACAAGCCAGTCGAGGACAGTGCTGTCCGCGATTTCTACGGGAGTGCTGTCAACGAGTCGTACCGGTTGAAGTCTGAACTTGTTGCCCGCCATCTCTCAGAGATTGGCACTGGAAAGTGAGTATTTGACAATTCACCTGGGTAATTATTTCTGTGCTAACAGTAACCCTTCTAGATTCCAGTGGATTCTCTTCGTCGTCAACGGCTGCGGTTGGATGGTCGATAACTTCTGGTCCCAAGGCATCACCGCCGTTCGCCCCCCGATCATGAACGAATTCGACGATGTAACTCGAATCAGCTTCAGTTCAGTGGCTTACTACGTTGGACTTATTGTTGGAGCTTTCTTTTGGGGTCTCCTCCTGCTCGCTCTCTTGTCATGGGTATACCTAACCCAGTCCAAGGCATTAGCGGAATGCGTTGCTGTCAACACCCAATCTATCTTCTGACCCATTAGCCATTCTGTCAATTCCGATAGAGTGACGTCATATTCATCATCAGACGCGAATTGAACAGCCATAACAAGCGGTCCCAACATGTGTTTATCCAGCACCTCTGGTATTCGGCCAGGAAGAAATTCCCAAGGCCATTGGCCGCATGCCTTGTGAATTTGACGCAGTTGTTTGCAGACTGCCCGAGAACTGCGATTATAAGGCTCAGGGATAGCAATTCTATGAGATGTAGAAGGGCCAGGGGGTGCCCTTGGGCATGGGTTGGCCATGTTGAACTTGACCGCCGATGAGGGTGACCTGCCTGACGTGAGCGGGGTGGAAAAGTGTCTTGTCTTATCTTATCTTATCACCCGGCGGATCTTAATTCCGGCCCAGTCTTTCCAGAGTATCTTCAAGATTACAATCGCTTACCACGAGTGCCAGCACCATATTGCTCTCCAATTCCACCGTATCCCCGGGCCCAAGCTCCCTCACCCCTGACTAATCAAGATCAGAATCACGAACTGTTAGGACCCCTCAGCAGGGTCCTTAAATTTCAAGCATTTATTATTAGAACACTACCCTAGACCTTCATTAAACTGTATCATGGAATGATCCTAATTAGGTACGAGTCATTTTCCATCCTAAAGATATTGCATGCGTCTCAGCGACTGCAGTCACAGTGACAGATCAGCCACTTTTGAAAGGGTTGTACTGACTGGTGGCTAAAAGGGGCTCTATTCACTTAAAATTGACAGTATAACGTGTAATGAAGAACCAAGCCAGATAGCAATAATGAAAAGGCTTTTCGACTGGTCTGGAACACTGAATATGGCAATATTATATCCTTACCAAAAAGAATTGATGGCGTGTCCACCTTCTTCACCTAGTAATACAATGACCCTGCTTGTCGCGCGGCTCTCATATGTGTACCAGGAGCTGTTCTGCGGTAGTGAAAAAAGGTGACTATGAGACTTGGAGCATGCAGTTAATTTTGCACCATTCTTGTTCACTTTTTGACGGCATTTCCCGGATCCATACCATGTTAAACAAATAAAAGAATTGATTTCATGCAATTTAGAGACTGCCCTTTAACCTGAAGTAACTGAACAACAGATCAATTCTCCAGGATAGCCACGTACATAGCTTCCATCCATCGAGCCGAAGATGTTGTATCAACACCATATACAATACTGCCGTTATCCAACCCGCCCTGATCCTGGCACTTTGCATGGAAACGGCCCCTATCGCTCACATTTATGTCGAGCCCTCGAATACCCGTCATGATGGATACGGGAGTCTTGCCTCCAAAGTCAGGCTCCCAGGAGTTTAACTTTCCTTTCGTCGCTTCCGCATCACTGAAGCTGGTTGTTTCAGTCTTGACCTTCACACCATCCCCAGACGTTGCCAGCGTGTTTACCGCCGTTACACGTCTCGATGACTAGCTTGAATCCCGTGGTAGTTAGGTCTTCGACACGTGCCCGCAACCTCGCATCGGGCTTAGCATTAGAACTGCCACTGTAGTCCAATGTCATGCACCATATAGCTGGTGTGGCTGGCATTGTCTTGTATGGCTTATCAAAAGTTACCTGGAAGGTTCCAGCTCCGTTTTCTGCGTTATCTTGTATCTCTTTCTCGAAATCGTGGCTTCCGGTATTGAAGTTGACTTCGTTGTTGGGAAGTGTTAAACAAGAGTAATTTAGCTCCAACAGTTCAGCCCAATTACTTGGAATGGCAGCCGTAATAGTAAGATCGCTTTTGGTGATCGTCGGACCGCCCGACAAGTCCCATGATGGTGGCCTTGGGCTTGTTTCTAACCCTCTGGCTTCACTGAAGGCAAAGAGGACTCAGGGAATTACCGCATATGAGATTCCAAAGCGAGCTTTGTGGGTTCTCAAGTCAGTACTCTTAGTCTGTCCTATTTGCTCGTCAAGATCCTGCGGTCGGCTTTGAGGAAATTCGTAGTCAAGAATGGAGCCTCTCACAGGATATCATCCCAGATAAGACCAAGCCGCGATATTTCATCGACCCCATTACGACCAAAGAATCCCTTCAGAGTCCCCCTTCAGAGGACAGTCGATAGTGGTGTAGGTGATATCCTTGTACTCGTACCCGTCCTTCATTGCTGAACGGTCGTCTGTTGGCTTACTCTCACTAGACTCTGCTAGCATGTTGCGGCCGCGGTTCGTATACAGCCTGATACCTAGCAGTCGGCGAGTTTTGGCCGAAACCCACACTCCAGACTCAATAATGCAAGTGGTGATTCTCTCACTGGGTTCAAAAGATCCAAGTTGGAATATCTGCCCAGCTAAAGACTATCAGTAGGTCAATAGTTAGCAAATACCTTGCTCAAACCGTTCGTGTTCTCTGCATCCAGCAGTTCAACTTACTCGACCTCGAAGGCTCGAATCACGCCCTGCGATACCTTGAACTCGATGAACTTGATATGCCAGTCGTCACGAACGAATTCCAAATTGTTGAATGGAGCCATGTTGTCTGTTCCACCCACAGCTGCCGTGGCTTCTAGATGTTCTCCAATGGATGGATAAAGCTCCATGACCTTGGAAAATTCTGCGACGTCGTTCGGTTCCATCGCCTCAGTCTCAGCGTATAGTGGTGTCGCGCCTTCTTGTGCCTTCAGGTCTTTCACCCGCTCTTTTTCGCTTTGGGCCTTTGCCATGATGCGACGACCGTTAAGAGGAATTTGCTTTAGACGCAGTCTCACAGGGATTTCCACAACTGGTAAACGGGACTCCAATATAGTCGGAGAATGGAAAGGCTCTTGGTGATCCTCATCAGTGGCAAGTTTGGGGTCTGCGTCAATAGCATCGACTTCGTTAACAAAGCGGAGCATTTGACGACGAATCACTTTGCGGGCCTCATCAAGACCCGCAACACTAGCATCAAATAGAGATTTGTTGTCAACAAGCGGGTCGAAGCCCTCCTATTTGGTGCTCTGTACGGAGTAGTAGTTAGAAGATGCCCCTGCTTATTTGGATTTTCAGCGCCATCGCGTACGGCGACCTGGTCCCACAAAATGATCATGGTTTTTTGACCAATCTGGAATATCTGGTCTGATAGCTTCTTGTAAAGCGCCTTGTAGGACATAAAACAGTCCATAAGAACATTGGTGTAGATCTGGGGATTGTCGTATTGCAGTTTAGAATAAGCTGCTGGCTGTATGATGATAAAGCTCCTCAGATTCTCATACTTAGTTAAGATAGCCTATGTCCTCTGAGGGAATTCTGCAACAAGGTCTGGGGATCGTGCAGCCGCCTGCATGAGGCTTTTGATATCCCACTGCTGCTCTAGTGGTTTGATATGTCCGCCTCCCCACCAGCTGACCTGGATCGTGGTCTCGGTATTGGACTCGATATTCTCGCGCACGATACCGACGTTGGCTTCTATTTGCAGGCGATTTAAGTTAAATTGTCTACTAAAATGGGTTAGTAGGGTTAATCGATTTGGCTTTCATGGCTTTAGCTTACGCTAAGTTGTAAATATCGCTGTGGGATTCTTCGCCTATTTACTTATCTCCTTATTCCCACTCAGTATTTAATGAAGCCTTACTATTTAGACTGACTGATTCCTTCCTTATGAGCCAACTGAGCATTAATCCACTTTGTAGCAGTAACCTTTGTAACAGCTGCCTTGTGTCTCTTGTTGGTAATTATGTCTTCCCTCCAAAGCCATCCCAATCCGGCTGCCGCCCCGGGTCCGAACATGACAACTGTGCAGGTAGCATACGTACTAATTTTGAGCCAGTTTGTCTGGAGCATCCCAGCGTGCTTCATATCCCAGAAGAGACAGCCCAGCCAGATGAACGTGGCTGTAAACAGGAATGCCTCGTCGAATTTCAAGAACTCTCGCATAAAAGCTGTTAAATCGGAGGTGGCAAGAGGCAATATGCTTGGGAAGAAAATAGCCGCTCCACCGTATGGGGCGGTAGACCACGCCCAGATCCAGACACATGCGGAGAGACCAACTAATGTGCCGATGGTGAAGCGAATTACTGGCAAGTCACGCTTTGGGGCGTTGATCCTGTCGTGCATCATTGTATCAGAAAAGGCGTTGGAAAGGATAAAAGTCGTGATGGCAATCCAGATAGGAAACATTTTCCAGACGAACAGCCACGATTGGCGACCAAGTGGTGTTGGCCAAAACATCATCGCGTAAAATGGAATGTAATAGGTGAGAATCATTACAGGCAGGATACCCAGGGTGTGGTTCATCCTGGTGAGCCTCATGTCAGTCGCTTTGAAGTTTTCAATAGGCGAGCTGACATAATGCAAAATGTAATACAGGGGGCTTAGAATACCGATTCCGCGGACTTGGCCCAGTAGGGTAAACAGAGATGGTCTGCAGAAGAGTTAGCCACGGTTCAGAATTTGTAGGAGAAGCATACATTTGAGCCGGAGTCAAAGCATTATTCCGGCGGTTCGACTCGATAGCCCATATGGCGATAATGACCCCATAGTCAGTTAGGAAAGACACGAGCTGCTTTCGAGCTACTGTATCATGTCCGGATACGATTGGCATGAAGAACATGTTGATTGGTACCCATCTAGTGAATATGCTTAATTAGCAACGTCAGTCGAATGGGAGACTTGGACAAAACCTACAAAGTGTCGAGCCAGTTGATGTTATAAAAAGCCTGTTGGATGGGAACCGGATCGGTATCTGCCGATATCCTGCCAGTCTCAAGCATCTGCAATTGCCACGGAACTGCTTTGTTGACGTCCAATACCCTTCTGGCAAGATAAAAGAGGCCAAGCATGGGTAATGCTACTAGGGCCCTCTTAATCTTGCTTTCCTTCTTATCCTCACCCTGGGTTGGATTGAAGGGCATAGTTCCACCTAGAGACGCTTTTGGCGGAGGAAGATATTCCAGCATAGGAGCACCGATGAACATGTTGCTCGCCATGTCCTGTAGGAAATCGCCCAATCTAGGTAACAAGAGCCGAAAAAAGACACGCTCGAGCGTTCCCTGAAGAACTTGCAGACGTGCAAGTTTACCAGAAATATCAACGATAGACGCGGCCCTCCTCTCTCGGCTGTTCTGATATCCATTAAGGCATTTTTTAACCTCATTCTCTGGTGGAGGTACTTCACGATGTTCGTCAACCATGGCCTTGATCGAATTAGCCAACGCCGCCGCACTTTCGATCGCAGCATTCCCCCCAGCTGCTAAATTGGGAGTCATCTTGTGAATACTATCTCCCAGGCAGGCGATTCGTCCACTAGTCCAGATTTTGAACTTTGCTTCTTCCAAGGCAACAAGCCGGAATGAGATAGTCTTCTCCCACAAGTCTGAGAACTTGAGGTCAGGTCGAATATACATATCTCCATGTTGAATGGCGAATTTTTCCGCCTCTGTCTGGCTGTAATGTGGGATGTCTCTGAATTGGTACACCGCTTTCAGTCTCTCGAAGACGAAGTAGTAGACTCTTCCGTTCTTGCCGGCAATCGTGAGAGTACTTCTGCCGTTATTGTATCCAATATCAAAGTCTCCTGCCTCGAGGAGCTGGACACCGGACGCGATGCCGAAGAGGCACTGGTACTCAGCGAACATAGCTGTGGAGCGTCAGAATCTAGTCCAAATTCGAGAAAACAGACTGGCCTCAAAGGCACAGAAAGCAGACAGCCCAAGACAAAACTTACCGTTCTCGTCATGCCTCACAAGCTCTGGCTGTATCGGTTTAGCCAGCTTCCATAACTCCTGTCGGGCCCTGCTCCTGACGCCGTCTGCGCCGGCGAGAATATCTCCCCTAAACGAAGAATTATCATCACATCTTACAATGACTCCATGTGATTGATGCTCAATATCCACGATGTACTTGTTCAGCAAGACTTTTCCCTTGTCCTGGATGTTCTCAAATAGGGTTTGGAGAAGTATTTGGCGATCTCCCCATAAGAAGTCATAACCCGTCCTGCAGCAGCACGATTAAATCTAGTAGCTCTGAGAAATCACTTAATTACTCACCTCGCCAATCCGAGCCTACACACATCAGTTCGCGGGCAGACTAAGCGCCCTTGATCGTCACGTTGTGCCATCCATATAAGCGGCTCCTATGCTATGTTAAAATAACAAAACACAAGCATCCCCTGTCGTTTGCGCACCGTGCTTTTGAATAGCTTACTATAAATTCCGAGTTGATCGAGGATCTTGATTACCCGGGTTAGGTTCAGACACATTGACATCTACATCACAGAATATTGGAGAAGGGGAGAAGTGGGCGGAGCTTACACGACAGCCGTTTGGACCTATGCCAATAGACGCACCGACTTGAGGAGCAACCGTGTCTCGGCGCTCTAGCAGCACATAATCGATCCTAGCTTGCTAGTATATTATCAGTAATTTTCCTCTCAATTTCCCAGCGTATAGATCATACCTCAAGCGCATTGGCAAGTGTAAGACCAGCGACACCGCCTCCAGCGATAATAACCCGGAAACCCGTTTGATCAGGCATAGTCAAGATATGAGCCAGATAAGCAATCTGACTCAGGTAGCTGTGATGGTGGATGATCAGGCTATTGAGGATGGATTGTATGACTTTATGTACGATGCTGCGCGCAATCCTTGACGTATTGTGGTATAGTGCCTAAGATGTGAGCTAGATGTGTTGTTTGCAGCTGACCTGTGGCCGAAAGCTTATCTCCACCCAGCATAACTTAGGCGCATTGCTACGTGAGAAAGAGAGTTTGTAGTGGCTAACTGCCTCAGACCGGCAAAACTTTATTATAAGAGATATTAACAACTCGATTCACATGCTCGTAATTCGAATTGGGTATGGCGGCGGCGCAAATCGTATGCTTAAGGTAGAATGGCTTGTTGTTACCATATTGCAGCAGCGCCCTGATTCCTTTGTCTTAGCTGTTGCATAATCGTAACGAGGTAAGACGCGCGGTCAGTGTCAGCTCTCAGCCAGATTCAACTCTAAATAACACTTCTCAAAACACACTTCAGGCAGCATACCAACTACCTACACATTAGCCCAAGATAAGCTTTTCAGCTTCTCATCTGATCAGGTCTCACGCAGACAATCACATAATCGTAAAGCAGCAGCGCCATCACTTCTTTGCCGTTCCTCTAGTTTTCAGCTGCAGCCTTTATTTACGAAACATTATTTCACATGCCTAGTAGAAGCATTGAATGCATACTCGTATGGATACATGGGAGAGCTAGGCCAGCCACATTCAAGCCCGCCTAATAACTCTCCGTGCCTACACGGCGATACCTCCTCCGCAGCTCTTCCCGAGCTGGAAATTCTATGCACTGGGTAGCTACGAACACGTCGACAAAGGCGGGGTTAACCGTGGAAAAAGAGTTAATCAACTGTGGCTTTAACAGTCGTATACGGTGAGTTACGTAACTGCCAGTCAGTTCAGGCTACTCTATAGATGGCAGTAACTTGGTGGTTATATAAGTAATAATGTAAAGGTTGGCAACTAAAACTGGCTGCAGAGGATGGTAATAAATAGCATAGGTAAATCTTACATACAATTAAGCCAGTTTTTGATTGTTATAGTTCTTTTCTAAGCCTAAATACTTTAGTAAGGAAAAGCTATTTTTAGTAACTTGTCTACTTAGACTGTGGGGTATTCTAAACCCGGATCTTGTCTGACAGGACGGGACAACAGACTGCTCAAGGAAAAGTGGGACGAGCCAGATTACAGTGCCCTTTATGGCGCCATGACCGAAGGATTTCCAGACCTCATCCTCGCCTCGGTCAACGGCAGTACCGTCTCCCAGAATGCGCACACCTTCTACAAAGCCCTCACACGGCTGATTACACACGCCGTCAAAGAAACTCTCGGGCGATCATAGAATTCAGATAGGGCAACTGTCGAAGTCGCAAAGAGCTCTGAGGATGCATGGCCACTGGAGATTGCCAAGCAATCGCGCTGATTTTCGGCTTTTCCTACTTGCACTCCGGGATATCTGACTGGCGAAAGTCTTGTTCAGCAGCAAGGCAATGCCACTGGAGGGGAGGAATATAAGATGGCCAATAGGTCCTACTAGGGAGAAGGTATTCTTAGTTTCCAGGAAGTTATCTATATATAGATAGAGGAGGGGAATCTGAACGGTTTAGTAATTAAGTAATAATTGCCCCTTATATAGATAAACTAACAGCTACTAGTATTTCAGTGATGGCAATTAAACAAGTATAAGAAAGACACTTCCTAAACATTTATCCCTAACGACTTAGTCGCTCACTGTAGACCTCTGCAAGGATACCATCCTTCTTGGCAATATCTGCCACTCCAGTCCGGTCTTTGAAAACACTATCCATTTCCTCAAGAGACTTTCCATTAGTTTCGGGCACACTGAACCAGACCCACACAAAAGACAAAAGACAAAACGCAGCAAAGAAGACATAGGCACCGAAGCCTGTTTCGCGGACAAGAGGTGGCGTGATAAGGCCAATGACGAAGTTGTTAAGCCAGTCTGACGTGGTTAGTAGTTGGCCACTTAATGAGACTGAGAAGCTTACTTGAACAAGTGGAAATTGCCACTCCCTTTGCTCTGAGAGACGACGGAAAGACTTCAGCTGGCATGGCCCAAGGAACAGGTCCCCAAGAAGCACCGAAGGCAAGCATGTAAAATAGAAGGAAGGCGACACTTGTCCAACCCTCAGCAGTATGACTAGGCCAATCATTGGAAAACCTGCCTACCAGGACAGCAATAATGAGATGCGGAACAAACATCAAGAAGCTACCCCAGAGGAGGATGCCTCGGCGACCGAAACGATCCATGGTCCATAAACTAGATAGAACACCAATTAACTGCGTCACGTTGAGGACCCCTGACATAATGAGTTGCATGTCAAAGTCGAGGCCCATAGTGCCGAACAGTGTTGGTGAATAATAGATCAGAGCGTTGATGCCAGTGAACTGTTGGAAGAACATGAGACCGGCACCAACAAGAGTTCGACGCCTGCAACCAGCCTTGAAGCAATCTCCCCAGCTGACAAGCTCAAGTCGAATCTTTCCAACAATATCCGTTCTTTGAGTGAGATTAGGGTGTCGCTCACGGAGAACACTTGCTTGGAATCGGGCCTCGGCGATAATGTCCATCCATTCGCGTTGAACTCGGGAGTCGGATTCGGGAAGAGCGCGTAGCTTGGCAAGATTGGATAAGGCTTCTTCCTCGCGATCTTTGGAAGCTAGCCATCGAGGAGAGTATGGTAAGAAAATAGCACCAAAGCCCAATAGCAGACCAGGGAGAATTTGAAGGAGGAATGGTAGTTGCCAAGACCAGTGGCTGGAGATTCCCTGGAGGAGTAGGTATTAATACATAGCATTGCGTGAGGAAAGACTCTGGTTTACCTTTGTCCCGTAGGTTATCCAGAAAGCAACAACAATGCCAATAACAATAGACAGTTCTTCAAAGACTAATAACGCACCCCGTATTTCAGGTGGGGAAATCTCTGCAATGTAGAGAGGCACCACCATGGATAGTCTAACAGATGCGAATGGTTAATGTCAAGGAACATAGTGTGTTCACATTAGATGAACAGAATTAAAGGCTGAACTCACTGTCCAATACCAATGCCACCTATAAAGCGGCCTACAACCAGCATGGCATAGTTGATAGCAGCTGTCTGAAGAGTGGATCCAATCGTAAATACCACAACAGCAACCATCAGTGAACGCTTTCTAGACAACCAGTCAGAGATCCACCCTTGGTTGATGGCACCTATAAACGCCCCGAGTGTGATCATGGCGGTCATGAGGCCCTTCTTGAAGCCTGCACCAGGAGCATTATCCGAGACTTCAGGGAATCGATCGAGAAAATGATCCATGACAAGGGTCACGGAAATGACGCCTTGATCATAGCCAAAGAGGAGGCCACCGATAGCCGAAAAGGCTGCGCAGGCTGCGACGTAGGGAGATGAGAAGAGGCCGCGGAACCCTGGTTTGTCAGCTTGTCACAAGTCATATGGTCACAACGTATGCCGAGGACAGTCCTCGCAAACATGTTAAAGCCTATAAGGGAATCACAACATACCAGAAGGACCATATGGCTCCAAAGAAGTGTTCATGCCAGCGTGCTCCTCTGTAATAGCACCACACTCGTCAAGCTTGTCCTTAACGGCATCGAGTTGCTTATTCATTTTGAAACTGTTGCAAGTAGATTCTGGATGTAGATGAGTAGGAATAACCCTCTCATGGTTCTCAAGGGCGAGAAAGGGCTCTATTATAGTTAGAATCTCGGTCTACTCAGCGACTTACCAACGACAATACGGATAACCAATCAATGTCGGCGGGTTACTTTCGATCTACGGAGTGAAATGGGTTAAACATGGGGTAGTTTGCGGGGAAGCGCGAGTCAGTTCTGTGAGAGTTTTGGGGTAACAGTGGGACAAGTTTCCCCGAAGGAACATCGGAGGATAGCCCCGTTCAGGCTTCATCACGTAGGTTGGTTAACCCTATTCGGGTTAGAGGATCGGAGGTCTTTACCTTCGAAATCAAAAATGGAGCATAGCCCCGACTCTTCGGCTTTTTTTTCCCTTGGAGCAATATCATATAACCGGGGCAACCTGCCCCTCAAGATAATTTACACCTGACATCAACCCAAAATTTGTTCTGAGAGAAAATGAGCACATCTACTGCATGTCTTGTAAGTGAAATGAGGTATATCTATATCGGTAACCATGCCGAGATGCCACTTGCCACTCTGACCATCAATCTTAGGCTTGCAAGAAACAGCATCTCAAATGCGTCTGGGGTCCACAAACTGCTGGAGAAAGTACACAGACATGCCTTCGATGCGCTTCGATGGGCAAGGTTTGCGCCACAGCGCCCGTTTTTCGTTTCAAGCACTCAGCTAGGTATGCCCGCTCCCAGACTTTTCAGTATCGTTGCGATGATTATAGAAGGTTGAGATTTACCGCAGGTCATCTCCAAATCAAGTTTGGGTCCCTTGTTCAAGGCGATGTAAGTAATCAATTTCCATGCAGGCTTCAACTTACGAGCTGCCAAGTACAATTCGTCGATGAGACACCTGATGTTGAAGGTTATTATCTGTTGGACTCGGAGAGTCAAAGCCAATGGCAACAAATCCATGATGACACACTTCAATCTCATAATGAACAACTTACGGATTTTGGGCCTGTTGCCTCTCCAATATCTCACACGCATGCATTTGAGATCTGTAGAGGAGATGGAGCCATTGCAGTAAGCAAGGACAATCCTCGCAATCATGGCCCAATTCCGCACAGTTCGACACTGGGATTGGCCAACGTAGAATCAGTACCCTACCCCTTGACGGAGAACCATGAAGTAAGATTGATGCAATACTATTTGACTTACATGTGCACATGGGTACGGCATTCGATTATCTATTCGGGTTGACGGGCGGTACTGATCTATTGCAGTTCGATCTATGCGACTCCAGACGCCACTTTGCCAACATTGTGCCCCCTCGAGCAGCGTCTTGTCCGACTCTCCTCAATGCTATCTTTGCTCTGTCCTCCAGACATCTCAGCCTCAACGCGCAATATGACCCCTACGCCTCTGATCGGTACCATCAAGCATGTCTCAAGCACTTGACAACAATTTCAAACGACTCTTCAGCCCTCAATGACGATAACCTACTCGCAGCAACTATCCTTCTTCGAACCCTCGAAGAACTAGATGTTCCTCTTATCGGCACCGATCACGAAGGCCACCTGCTAGGAATACAGCTATTTATGAACACTTGTGACTCTACAACGACTCCCAGTAGCCTCCGTTTAGCCTCGTTCTGGATTGGTATGAGACAAGAGGTGACGATGAGTTTTGCCAGTCAAAGGCCAGTCAAGATCAGGCTCGACCATGGATTCATGGATCGGTCTCTCTCTGCAGCTGACGATGATACATGGGCAAACCGCATTATTGTTCATAGTGCAGATGTCATAAACTACTGTTTTGGAAACAACGGTCCAAATCGACATCACTACCAAGAACTGATTGACTATGATCAAGCTTGGCTAAGAGCTCGGCCAGTATCGTGGCTGCCTATTGCCTATAGTGCTTCGAACGAGAGCTTGGGCGAAGCCTTTCCACATATTGTTTATTTAAATCACGCTGTCGGTATGTTCTAGGTATTACTTTAAGGAAATCTACTGATAGGCGTCAGTTATCGGCCAAGTTCATAGCATATTTGCTCGTATTCTCCTCATGTGCCATGATGATCGGGTACCACGAATTGGACCATCTGCTCAGCTAGCTCGGAAGCAAATCGATGTAGGTTGAGATGCATATCTAATCATGACAGTGTATTCTGACAGATACAGGATGATATCCGAACCCAGGTCCGAGATCTTTGCGGAATTGCTCTCTCAAACCCCTCCACGAGACCAGCCACGTTTACGGCCTGCATGGGGGTGACAGCATGTGGAGATCGATTTACCGACAGACGGGACCAGAAAGCGTTATTGGACGTGTTAATGTTGACCCAGAATACTCATTCCTGGCCCACTGCTTCAGCACAGGACCATTTGAAGAAAGCATGGGGGTGGGTGGATTCTTGATATTCAACCTTGGAAAAAGAACTTATCATAGCTTCAATTAGTTTTATCTTATAGTATAACCTTTGTCACAATGGCTGAAGACTTGGCAAGTTGGGCGATTTCGATATCTGTTAATTTTAATACTCTGTTAGTATCCCACTATTTACAACAGTGGGCAAGCGACTGATCCTCGAGATCTCTATGTAGTATGACGGCAGGTCTGAAGTATTGGTGGAGCTTTGCTCGGAACTTTTAGTAGCAATGCGCATGTCGGGGCAAGTTACCCCGAAAAAGCGTGGAACCTAAGGCCAAAGCCTCCGATTGCTCAACTCCACCTTGTTCTTTGGCGTCAAAGCCATTGCCTTTACGTAGCATAAAAATCTAGCATGAGAAAATACAGCATTTGCCATCAAACTGGATACATTTAATCGAATGTCAGGCTTTGTATATATAAACAAGTAAGCCAGGGCCGCAGTATCTCATTCCTTGCCCTTTCCTCACCTCCTTCACTTTCTTCACTTCCTCCCAGACCTCACCACTCTTAATACAATGGCACCCCACAAGCTTCAAGTTGGCGTCGCTGGTCTCGGACGAATGGGCAAGCGACATGCCCTTAACTTCCATCAGAATGTCCCTCGAGCTGTTCTGGTCGCTGTTACTAGCCCTGATGCTGCTGAGAGAGAATGGGCTGCAGAGAACCTCGCTCCTGATGGGGTAGCTATCTACGAGAACTACTCTGATATGATAGCACACGCCGGTTTAGATGCTGTTTGCGTCGCCTCTGCCACTGCGGTACATGCTGAACAGACCAATTCCGCTATTGCGGCGGGAAAGCATGTCTTGTGCGAGAAGCCCCTTGGCACGACTGTTGAGATTGTGAGTGCTTCTCTATGACATCCTCTGAATTATGCTAATGGTTCAGTCTCAATCTGTTATTGACGCCGCTGCTACCCGCCCCGATCTCAAAGTTATGTGTGGTTTTTCCCGCCGTTTCGATGCTTCGTACCGCGACGCGTACGAGAAAACAAAGTCAGGCTTGATTGGCCGTCCATCTGTTCTTAGAAGCCAGACTTGCGATGTCTTAGATCCCTCTGGCTTTTTTGTCGCATATGCGCAGTTTTCTGGTGGCATATTTGTCGATTGCAGTATTCATGATATTGACTTGGCCCTATGGTTCTTCGGGCAAGAGTCGAAAGTTCGATCAGTCCATGCTGTAGGCATTACTGCTGTGGAACCAGACCTACGACAGTATAATGATAGAGATAATGCCGTTGGGATTGTTGAATTCTACGATGGTCGAATTGCGTATCTGTATGCCTCACGTATGATGGCTGCTGGTCAAGAGGATACAACAGAGATTATCGGAACAAAGGGCAAGTTATCTGTGAACTTGATCCCGGTCGAGAACCATGTTCGGATTTATGGACAAGAAGGTATCAGGCATGAGCTTCCTCAAAACTATTGGGGACGATTCCAAGCAGCATTCACAAGAGAGGCTATCGAGTTTACCGACTGTGTGCTGGATGACAAGCCTGTACCTGTTGAATTAGAATCAGCAGTAACAGCAGTGCGTATTGGTGCGGCTTTGCAGCGTTCTATGATTATGGGGAATAAGATTCTTTTTGACGAGAGAGGTAACGAGGTTCATAGAGCTCAGTTATAACACAGTGGTTTTAGAGCAACTTTACCAAGCTAGTATTGTAAATAAAATATCCTAGTTGTACTGTAAACAAAGCTGTCGGATTACTGTTGTTGTTCTACTACAGCTTTGAGAAATATTCCCCCCAAGTAGCTTTAAAACTAGGATCACCCATGACAAACTGGCAAGAAGCCATCTGACTCATAAGCCGGTCGCTTCTCAGCCGTTCCATAACGACAGCTTCTCCAGCAAACATAACCTCCACATTACCATTATTCCATCTAGGTAAGAGTGTCATCTCCCCATGAGGCGGAACCCTACCAAGATACGGCTCTCTAAAGGCCTCACAAGTGCCAAGCTCAGGACCCCAACTCGAAAGCATAGCTGCACTTGCTCGTGTATGATCCGTGACAAGTGCATCAATGGGTCCTTTGGGTATCAGACCTGGATTGACAGGATGTGAATGGGCTATCTCGAGCATGTCACGAAACGTTTCCTCGCCCCAAGTATTATTGCTGTTGCGAATTGCCATTGCTGCATAGGCCAGAGTCTTGGGGTCAGGCGAGATAAGATCGCTGGTGTTCACAGCCACGGGGAATAAATCCACGCAGGCAGGCATGTAGTTGTTGGGTAACGGGGGCGTTAACCGACGACGAATGTTTCCAGCAAAGACTATCTTGCTAGTCGCAGGTAGAGGATCACGACCTGATAAACCTGGAGCATATTTGGCGGCGAAGAATCGGTTCCAGGCGAAAGCAGTCAAACAGTCGGTAGACGACACTTTTGAGTCGCTAGGCAAGACCTCTTGGATCATGCGCTGAAGCTGCTTCATTGAGGACTGCGAAAAGGTCCAGACTGAACACGATAGAGTGCGAAGTTCATCTTCAGTAAACTTCACCAGATCATCGTTGGTCAAACGTGCCTTTGTGAAGAGGTTTGACAATTTCTCGGCGACTTCTTCTGGAAGTCGAGGGTCGAGCATGTCTAGATGTGGGAGCTTCGATGCACGAGCGGCCAACTTGTCAAGATCTTCCTCAATCTGCACGTCAGGTATCAGGAGCGATCGGTCCATCAAGTCCGTTGCTATCTGCTGAGGGAGTGGAGGTACAGGTTGACCATTGAGTCTGGCAGTCACTACGGCACTGGTATTATGTGACCAAGATCTGAGAAAGTCCATAAACTGCACGAGGTCACCAATGACATGCGTGATAGACATCGTCAAGACGATTCCACCTTGGACAACGTTGAATTGAGGTGCAATGATAGGATCACCGTCCTGAACATACGGGAAGTCTCTCGGTCGGAGCTTGCTAAGGCCATCTTGTTCGCCATCCCCAAACGGCCATCCGTTAACCTTGAGCTCGTGGTAAGAAGGAACATCTGCATCGTGGCGATGGTCTCGATACCAGAAGTTCGTGCCGGCATGCGGTGCTTCTTGAATCTCAATGGTGCAACGTCCAGTTTCGTCCTTTCTGATAACGCCTGAGAGGTGCGGATGCTCGTATATACATCGGGAGAGGCCTCGCTTGCAGTCTTCGTAGAGCTGTCGGGGGTCGATTCCGGGTTTTAAAGGGAAAAAATGTGTAGGCGAAGGATACACTGAAGCAGTGAGATTATCGAGAGCTGAGCACTTCACGGCGGATGGCTGTATGGGACCCGCAGGTTCGACCCATGGGTCGGACATAGCTGATTCGTTGTTTCTTTTTGCAGACATTAATTAAGTAGAGTTGCTTCTTCTCTCGCAAGGAGATAATAGACGGCCATTAGAGAATACTGGTCATCATTTTGTACGATGTCGGGCTACCCACGTGAAAGCAATTGTACTTCTCTCTTCAATGCTGCTATGTGATATCAACTTCACTTTGACCTCTGTTTCAACTTTATTATAATTACACCCTTTCTATTTTCGCAATCTAAACTCAACATAGTAAAGACTGCGAATATGCTGAACGTACGATAAGAGGTAGATCATCTACTCTTTAGTGTTTTTGCGTTACAATTGCAAGCTTCGGATTGAAGTTTAAACCCTGCACAGCTGGGGCTCGGACCGCTCTTTTGTCACATCTCAATATCGAATCATGTCTAAGCGATATCGCCTATCAGGTTAAACAGATGTAACATACGCTTGGGCCAAAAGCCCCGATTATAACTCTCCCTTCGTATAAGGATCTGCAGTCGAGGATACTGCGCATAAGCTTTATCGAAATGTGTCAGATAAACAAGACTCAAGTACCTCTGTAGCATATCGTCCCAATCATGTGTTGGTCAAAGCGTAAATACGAAATCACTCGGATTCTCGCGAGTCTGGGAGTCTAGACCGAAGGAATGTATATCCTTACAATCTCGTCATCTGAGGGATTTGATGCATCTGGTTCCTTGATTGCTTTACCTCTTATCCGACTGCGATCCCTTTCAGGTATTGAAAACAATTGATCTTACATACTCGCAATTTCTAAGCTTTGACATCACCAAAGCAGCATCTTCAATATGTCCAGTGCCATCCCGTTTGTTCCATCAGCGAGCTTCACTACCACTATCATCCAACCACATCCAAACACACATGGAACGATAGTCAAGCTTTCTGCAATCGACCAAATCGCTCCAAGAGATTATATCTCATCATACCTGTTCTTTCCCGTGTCACAAAATGCGGATACCAGACAGATCTTTCATCTCTTTGGGCGGGCTCTAGTCAACACGATCAGTGACATCCCAGAACTTGCATGTTCTGTACGACGGCGCATCGGAAACGATCGGGAAGAAGTTGAGCTTCTCTTCGATAGCAGCCAGGGCGCTAGGCTTAACTACAGGGATTACACGGCACCGGAGCTTCAGACTTTATGGAAGTTCGGTACGTTCCACCAACTTGAGAGGGATTGTTTCCCTCTCAATATTCCGAGACATATTGTCTTCGGGACATCTGCAAAGCTAGTTCAGGGTGCCAGTATTCCGGCGTTAGTACTTCAGTGTAACTTCATATCTGGGGGTCTTATACTCGGAACCTGCCTCCATGTAAGTCCACATTATTTGCGCTGTATACTCTTGCTCCTAGTTGCACAACCGCCAGAGATGCCAGTTGTACAACAGAAGCATTACGGTACGATTATTTGCCAAGACAGATACTGATTGATATGTAGCATGTGGCGGGCGATGGCGTCTGCAACTTTATCTTGCACAAGACAATAGGCATGCACTTGGCTGCCATTACCAAAGGACTCGGCCTCCGATCTTTTCCAATCACGCCTCTGGATCGAAGCTCAGTTGTTGAGGGCGAACAAGGCGTGGTTTTAGAGGGCTTTCCCGATTGGAAGCTCACAGAAGACTCTTCAACCTTCTTGAATCCGACAGCCTACGAAGCTGCTGAGGTTCAGTCAGTGGAGCATGGGGTATTCTCCATCTCTGCAGAGAAGCTTTCCCTGCTCAAGAATCATGTCCTGAAAGGCGCCACAAATACCAGATTGAGCACGACTGAAGCTGTATGCGCTTTTCTTTGGCGCCACGTTGTTCTAGCCAGGCAGATAGACCATCATAAGTACCCTGAGGCTAAGCTATCGATCACTGTTGACGCGAGAGAGCGAATGGAAAATCCACCACTACCGTCTAATTATTGGGGAAATTTTGCGGAGCCGAATGCGGTCGCCAGGGCATCTGTTGCTTGTCTTCAGAATGAAGAAGATGGAGGCAAGACCTATGTGGAGTTGGCGAGTAGCGTCAAGCGAGCCATTGCTGCAGTCAATGACAAAGCAGTTAGGCGTCTTGTTGGGCTGCTCAATCAGATGCCAAAGAGTACCTCCTTGACTTGGAATGTTGACCGATACCCAGGGCCGGACATGCTCATAGTCTGTCTCCAAGCGCATAGATATAACGACCTTTATTTCGGGCGTGATCTTGGATATCCTTCTGCATTTCGGGTCACCGTTGGAGACACTGAGGGAAAGCCTGACGGTCGTTGCATTATCCTACCACCACGTCGTGCGGAAGGTAGTGGTCTAGAGCTGATTCTGCAATATGATAGTTGCACTTTGGAGAGGCTTGAGAAAAACGCTGAATTTAGCAGGTTCTTTGTACGTCGTAACTAGTTCAATAAGAGATATCCTGTATTGCCGAATAACCAGGACTGTTAGTTGCATGTTGCGCCTAGTTCCAATCTCCCTTCTCGATCTTTCCCGTGGCTCACTAAGCAGACCCCTGGTTCTGAATGGCGCTATTGAATACGTTCAATCGTACCGGAGTCTGATATTGCTTCCTAGCAAAGGCAAACCAGTTCACTCCAAACAAAGCCAGACCAACTATGGCGCAGACAGAAGCCCAGTTCATATTTGCCGTGGTCACAGGCTGGTACAGAGGAAAGTTCAAGAATACAATAGATAGTAATTGCCAGCAAACAGTGAGGGCATTAATAACCACCCCAATCCGACCCAAGTTGAAGTACCTTTGCTTCGGCAGGGCTTTCCGACCTTGCCAGATAAGAAGCCAAATTGGCAAACCATACGAAATGAAGAAGCAGACAGAGCCTGCACCGAATACTCCGTTGAGTACTGTGCTGGGTCCGAATACCAACAGACAAATGACCGAAGACATAGCCGCAGTCAGATAGACCGCGTTGACGGGGACTTGCATGCTCGGATCGACGTGGCCGATCCATTTGGAGAAGGGAAGACCTCCATGCTTGGCAAACGACCAGACCAAGCGACTACAGGTTGCTATGGTGGCTGGGCAGGAAGAGAGATAGACGATACAGTAAATAATGAGCTCAATGACCACAAGTGCATCCGATCTGAACCCGTCTATTAAGACTTGGAAGACAGGCTGCCCTCCAATAGGTGCAAGCAGGTTTTCGGGTTTGACAATGCAGAAGAGAAATGCCACTATCATGGGAATAGCTGTCAGGGCACATAGAACTGTAGCTCCAACCATGACCTGGGGGACTTGTCTATGGGGGTCTTCCATCTCCTCGGCCATGTGAGCAGCAGTGTCGAAGCAGGCGAGGGCAACACATCCGGGGAGAAAGTTCAAGAGAAACACAAGGCCATTTGATGACCAGCCTGACTCATTGACAACTTTAACAAAGACGTCGTGGGCAGATATCTTGGGAACAGCACGAACAAGAAGGGTGACGAGGATGTAGATAGTGCTGACGTTGATGAACAATACCATGAACTTGGTGAAATGGGGATACCATCGAAATAGCCAGACATTGAGGATAACTCCAAATGAAGCCATGGCTAAGCAAACTAGAAACACATGATACGTTTGGGCTTGGTATTCGGAGAATCGAATCTGCATCGCGGCGATCCAGATTTGGGAAGAGAAAACGTATGTACCGGCGTTGGCGAAGATCCATCCGAGTGTCGTCGCCGCGCCATTGCAGTAGCTAAGTACCCTGGAGAATCGTGGAGGCGCAAGAGCAGCTGTCCAGAATACCTGACCTAGAAACTAGACATCAGTTATAAGGACACTTTATGTCTGCTATCTAATGCTTACCTGAGGCATGGGGGTATACAGCTGCAATCTCAGCCAAGCTCACACAGAGTAGTATCTGCCCGACCGCAGCAACGATGAAGCCAAAGAAAAAATAAGGGCTCCCTCCCAGACCGAGGATGAAAGTGAGATATGCACCGACTGCAAGAGGCGTGGCGCTGATGCTGTACTGAATGCCGACTGCTGCGATGACAGAAAAGCGAGGCTTCAGTTCCGCAAACTCGCAAATCTCTACATCAATTTTGTCTCCGGCGTGACTGTCCCTCTGATGACTCAGGCTGTTGGTCTTTTCTACTTTGGAATCGACGCTTGTCATGTTGACTGGGATGAAGCTATAAAGATCCTAAAAGGTAAGTAACTAAAGAAAAGAAGGGACAGATCCGAATATGAGAATAAGGTATATATGTGTAGAAGTCAAGGGCCTTCCAGGTGTGAAATAGCTCAGGATTATTTGCTTCCATGAGGAGTTCACAAGATTTTTAAAGCAAGACATTGACCAAGCGTTAACTATCTAATTCTGATATCACTAAGTTGCCAAGGAGGCATCTTACAATGATAGCAATCTCCACTCTAGCCATCGACCTTGCAGTAGCTCATTTACCCCGCGTTTACCACTTATCTGGCCGAGGAACTAGAGATAGATCACAAGATCTATCATTTTTACACGGTCTCGAACAATGAACAAACATTGCTGATAAGTGGTCTTTGAGACGGGTCCTCATACGACATCGGACAGGCGGAATACGCTAATGCTAAATTGGTTAGCTATGATTTCTACAGCTGATTGGTGTTCTGCCATGCCTCGCTTAGCCTAGTCTGGGTGATAAGCCAACCTCAGATAAGGAAGTTCACAGCGAGCTCGTGTTTGATTGGTGGGAGGAACAGGGTAACCTGACTAACATCGCTGTAAACTTCTCAAACCTCTAATTACGGTACTACAACATCTTGATAACTGTATAAATTGGAGAATTTTGCTACCAAGATGCCGAGGTTATTTCTTATCATAAGATTAAAAGATGCATATAGCGGTAGAGATTATAGACACAGTCTGCCGACTTGGCTTGAGGTGAGTTTTGGGTGGGGGGTTCCTTGTTGCACAAAAATATAAAGACATAATCACATATAACAAGGGTAATGAATAACTCAATTTAAGACTTAACCGTCAATCAGTGACTGCAGTAGCATAATTATACTACAGTTCTATTAAAATGAGTCTATCTGATTTAAAAGGCCTCATCATGTGGCTCATCATACTGGTTAATAAGTCTTTGCGGTATTAACCCCCGTAACACGACAACTCCAGCATGCAAGATACCCCACCGAACCTTACTCAATGTCTCAGCCATAGTCCACACAAGCCCGACGATCTGTCGGTGTTGACCTGTCTTCACATCCATATCTTGAGGTCCATTTTGAGCCATTCTTGACACAAGGTTATGCATTTCTCCGCGAGGATTCCAGATGATCTCATCGCTCTCATCATCGCTATCATCAGCATCCTCTTCCATGTCAGGTATACCACCTCTGTGCGGCTGACCATGGCAGAACGCCCAGCATGCCAGAGTGGCTAGGTACAAACACCAGGGGACGTGAAAGAGCTGCATGGCGTCTGAACGCGTAAGCACTTTGGTGTTTTCATGAAGCAGGCGGGCCGCATGCCATGCAGCTATAGAGGCTGGCTTCTTGCGGCTTCTCGTATTCTGTTCGGTGCTGGAGGTTTGATCTTTGTTTGGTCGTTCTGTCACTGAAGAAGCCCACTGTTTGACCGCCTTTGCGGATCGGCGATAGTCCTTCTGCTGAACTGGTCGGCCTAATATATGGCGAGCACCAGCGTAGATTTGTATATCGAGAAACTCCATATGAAGAAGTGCTTGCGCCGAGTGAAATAAAGCATTGTACGCTGTAGCAAACGCTACGTACTCGCTCCTTCTGGTCTGGTCCTCGGATGTATTCTGGAGTCGAGAAATAATTGAGGTTATGTAAGCATCGAAGTCTTCTTTCCAGGCATCATACGCGTTCCCTATGAGCTTTCGCCAGTTCGAACCGGGTGCATCACCGTCCACTACTCCGAGCGCTGTCTGGTCACGACGTTGCATATCCCATGCTATTGACATCAAACCATGCAGCATAAGTACGTGAGACAATCCCGTCAATGCTTGTGGGCGCGGCACTGATGGTCCGAGATAGGATTTGAGACTGGGAAGGTAAAAAGTCGGCTGGGAACCGCAGGCTGATAAACGCCATGCCATAGCCCAGGATATTGGATCTGAAGCTTCCCATACTCTTTGGCAGCATGGCAGTTCAAGACGAAGCTCAAATGCAGACATGCAAAGACTCTGACAGAAGAGGACTGCATGTTGTGTATCCCACATGAAGCATAGCAAAGCGAGACTTTAATAAGATGTCAGCCGAATGGTTCCAGGGTGGACTTTCTATAGTGACATACCGTTTCTTCTGTTCTGCAATGGCCCATCGTCTCCAAGCCTCTCGCACTACACCCTCTTTTGTATCGGCGGAGTCAGCTGGTGGCCCTTGAGGGCGGACTGACTGGCAGTCGGATCTTCGAATGAGATTTATGAGAAGTCCATGGAAGAGATGACTCATGTCGTGCTGCTTCTGACCAGCCCGAGACTTTCCAAAGCATTCCACCAAGAGGATGGTCTGCAGAGTCCAAAGTTCCGCACGAGCCGAAAAGCTAGCATGGGAGAAGATACTAGGCCGTATAACGTCGTGGATGCACACAGCCAGCTGATGGGCATCTTTGGACGAGTAGGTTGCGCCAAGCAGGAGGACGGAGATCAGGAGCAGAGGCTCCATTCTGTTGACATCAAAGGTTGCAAGATGCATAAGTGGGTAGGCAGTATTGAACCTGACGAAGAATAATTCCAGATAGGATTGTAGAGAGTCTCGTGATAATAGCGGCTCATCCCACAGGGAGTGACGAGAATCAGGTAAGGATGGGTTGGCAGCTTCGACGACCTGTAGAATTCGTTTGCGCACGCTTTCGTCAATCTTGGGTATCGATGGACCTTTCTCAAGCATCGAGAATGGTCTGTTGAACTGCGGTTCCTCGACATATTGATGATCGTGGGCGACGTTGGACCTTATGCTTTTAGCGCTTTTTTGTTGCGTTGACGTTCTAGACTCTGCCCTAGAGCTGGCTAGGTTCTCTGAAGCTGTCTTGGTCTGATTCAATATTGGGGCCCGGGGATCGGAAGAATCTTGTCTCGTATCACTGGAGTGAGAATGAACCGACTCAGACCAACGGCGCGTGCTGTTGATAGAGTCTGGTGATAATATCTGGACGGGTTCCGACATCTGGGCAGATGGTATATACTGCTCGTTGGCTTTTGCGAGAGGTGTTGATGTTGGGTTCAGATTCATGTTAAACAACCAGTTGTAGTCCAAAGCAGTTGTATAGGGCATGTTAAACGAGCTGGCAGTGTCTGGTTGAAAGTTTTGCGTGTAGTCGAGTGCTGCGGTGTCCACGAACGAGTCGTTGAGGAGTAGGGGATCGAGCTGGTCGAAAGAAAATTCGCCTATGCCTTCACTGTGATCGAACGGGTCGGTTGAGGTGGTAAAGTTTGCTAAGTGGTCCTCTGTGACCAGTTCAGTGGCCGAGTGAACAAAGATGGAGTCTTCGATATGTAAGTCGGACGAGGTATGAAGATCAACTCCATTTACCGACTGGCCTTCATTATGGCCCCAAGTGATCAGCCCCGGGGATTGATTCCTTGTGGTGTCTGCTTGATCGGATTCTGGAGATGGGACTTGTTGTGTTTCTTGAGGGTTCTGTCCTGAACCCTTGGCACCCTTGGCCTTCGTGTTGCTGTTCCGACACGGCCGCTTTTCAACGACCGTACCGTCGGGCGCTTCCCAAGATCTCTTTCGTGTATCGAGAACGCCAAAGCCGGTTCCTCCGGCCTCAATATCCTTCTGGCGATGTCTTTCCATATGTCGCCCTTTGGAGATGTAAGAACAAACTTTGATTGACTCGACTATACCAAACATGGTCACTCACTCAACAAATCAGGCCGTTTGAAGTGTGCACGGCATATGTCACATGAAGAACCGCCCGGCAAGTGATTGAGAGCATGTCGCTGCAAGTGTTCTGAACGCGTGAATCTCTTGCTACAGCCCGGATGGGTACACTCAAACGACTTGTCACTCTGAGGACCTGGCTGTGAGGCTGCAGAACCTCTTCGAGAGGACCCTGATTGACCCTGCGATTGTGTCTGCTTACGACCCATGGCTTCTGTAAGAAACGCATCGACCGCTAGGGACAGCTCGTCGTCGGCCCCGTACATGGCTGTAGAGTGGGATGAGGTGGGAAATGTTAAAGATGAACGAGAGATAGAGTGAGGAAGCGTTGAGTTCTAGAGTGGGAGGAATTGCCGAATGCCGTTGAACTCTGACTGATTAGTAGTGTAACTCTGATAAGTGATAGGCTTGGCTGGACTCCGCCACAGCGTTACTAAATCCCCACCCTTATCACTTCCCCGCACATTATCTTGATAAGTGGGAGATGCTAACGGACATGGGTGAGTGGGTAATGTAGCTCGGGTCCATGAGCCGTGCTTGCGCTAGCCATGGTTATCTATACCCAAAATGTAAACGCACGAGCATATCGGCAATGGACCGCGTGAATCGGACAAACCAGTAATCGCACCACCAGTTGTGTGAGTCTTGCCACAGGATCTGGACTTCGTCACGGTGAGACCTTTAATACGGATGCAAACACCTTTGACTCGATATTATCTCTTCTGCTTATCATCAATTTACATACAACAACCTGGAGTCAAGATGCCCAATTACAGGATACAGGAAGTGATAGAGAGAAGCGACTCGAGCAAGCTTCATGTGAGTACAAAGTTCTGCATCTCTAAAACTCTCCAAGTTAATGTGTGATTAGGTCGTAATTGTTGGAGCCGGACTTGGTGGTCTCGGTGCTGCAATTGCTGTCCGTCTCGCCGGCCACGATGTCACGGTTTTGGAGTCTGCACCAGCAATCGGCGAGGTCGGCGCTGGTATTCAGGTCCTTCCCAACGCTGCTCGAGTTCTTTTCTCCTGGGGTCTTGAGAAGGAATTGGTCAAAAATGCTACGAAGCCAAGAAAGTGCAACTTCATCGGATGGAAAGGAAACCATCTCTCGGAAATGGATTACCACGGCTATGCGGCTGCCTCGGGAGGATACCCTTTCCTCGATTTTCATCGCGCTACTTTGCACAAAGCACTCCTTGACAGAGCTCAAGAGCTGGGTGCTAAGATTCTCTGTGGATCTAAAGTCTTGTCTTACGAGATAGCGGCCGACAACAGCCACGCAACAGTGTTTCTAGAAGGAGGTCAAACCATGAAATCTGACTTAGTGGTCGGTGCTGATGGCATCGCTTCTTCACTCAGAGAACAGTTCCTCGGCCGATCTGATCCTCCACAGTTGACAGGAGACTTAGCATACCGGCTCCTGCTTTCGACAGACGAGATGAGAAAGGACCCAGACCTGAGACCATTCGTGGAGGACCCCCAAGTCAACTACTGGGTCGGCCCCGATAAACATGCAGTCAACTACGTGCTGAAAGGAGGGGAACTCTTCAACATGGTCCTTTTAGTGCCAGATGATATTCCACTCGACAGCGGCAACACGTTAAAGGGAAATATCGAAGAGATGAGGGCCCATTTCGCCGATTGGGATCCACGTATCGGAAAGATGCTAAACCTTTGCGACTCTGTTCTCAAGTGGAGATTATGCATTCGTCCTGGCCTCGACCCAACTTGGTCACACCCTTCAGGAGCCTTGACTATGCTTGGTGACTCTGTTCACGCAACACTACCATATCTCGCCAGTGGTGCGGGTATGGCTCTGGAAGACGGCGGTGTCCTTGGGCTGTGTCTTGCCAAGCTTACCGATAAATCACCCGCCTCGAAGCTGAAGGCTTTAGCTGTCTACGAAGCATGTCGAAGAGCGCGTACAGAGATGGTTGTGAAAAGAGGAACATATAACCAATGGATATATCATCTTCCCGATGGCGAAGAGCAGAGACAGCGAGATGAACGGTTCAGGCAATATGGAAAGTGGGATAAGGAGTGGCTCAGTGGAGAGAACCCGATCATACCGCGGTCCTCAGAGACAGGAGAGGATCCATTCCCTTGGAGATATCATGGAGTTGGGCGATGGCTGTTGACGTATGATATGTGGAAGGATGTTGATGAGAAGTTCTCGCAGCTTGATTCTGAGGCCAGTAGTGGTTCACTGAGAGCAAGTCTCTGAGTATAAGTAGTGTACTCTATCTGGTCGAGTTATATTAGACAGTCCCTTGTCAATATCACATTTCAAGAAATATTGCATAGTATTATCCAGGCACAATTCGAAGATCAGCATAATATTGACATTTATACGCGACCGACCTTGGTCGACGCCTATTGCGAGTTTCATCGTGTCCAATTCCATCACACAGATCGTCGCATCCATCGCCGCCGCCGCCGCCATCAAGACCATGGGCCCTTCATCGTCTCGCGTCGCTTTCCTTGTTCATTTCGCAGCTTCTACTGCCTTCAGGTGTCCAGATCCAACCCCCCTTACGTTTCCCTGTGGTCAATCGTTTGCGCTGGCCCGAGTCATATTTCCCAATCGAATCCACCATTATCCTCAACCCGCAAACGTCTCATCTACCTTGCTGTGACAATGCTTGTCTATTTTAATTATCGGGTCGCCAAATGACTGATCTAGGGAAGGTTAGACAAATAAAGACTTTAACCCTAAGTACTAAAATACTTGGATAGATTTAGAATGTCTTAAGATAACTTAGGGTAAACTTAGTAGAATCTTTGACTAGTTTATGTCTGATGCCGAGATGATTGCCGAAGGACATCAAAGACTCGCACAGATCCAGCAATCAATTCGAGCTCACAGAGAGCCGAACCCACGCCAAAGCAAAGTGCCCCTGTCCTGCTCCCGTATATTAAGCAATCTTGAGTCCTCCAGAAGGAGTACGTGGCAATATCAGTAGTGAGCTTGGGAAGCATAGAAACCCCACGAATGGCTACCACCTTGTACAAGTCAACAACAACAGGCCAGACACCTATTTTGAGTTACTGATTAAGTTCGCACCAAGTTTATCAGTAAGTAGATAAACCTCTTAGACTCGCAGCACCTATATGGTAGGCTCCAAGACTCCCCTGACTTTTATTTTCCACCACCATATTGTTATTTGTTGCTCCGTGTCAGACTTTGGGCTCATAAGCAAAGCTATCAGAACATGTGATATAGTAACTCCAGAAAAGTCTCAACTAGATAAGCTTTACTTCGTCACTTCTGTTATACTGAAGTCATTCATTGGAGTGTTTATTCGGTCACAGCTAAGCAACCCATGCCAATATGTAGTCTATAGTACGGACCTCCAACGAGATTCACCCTTCACGCTTCACTCTTCACCTCTTGTGAAGGGTTGTAGAAAGGGTAGTCATTGTAACCCTTCTCCGGAGGATCAGCACCATAGAATGTGTTGCGGTCATAAGCGTTAAGGGGCCAGCCATTCTGCAATCTCTCAGCCAAGTCAGGGTTGGCAATAAAGTGTCGACCCATTGCAACCAAGTCAGCCTCTTGGCTCTTGATCTTGGTAGGAGCATTGTCTCGATTGAAGTTTCCGCAAGCCAGAAATTGAATTCCAGAAGGCTTGAGAATGTTGCGGAATATGTTAAGCGAGTTTGCCTGCTTGCCAACTTCAACAGCAGTACCATCTTTACTGCTGCCGTTTGCAAGTGCAGCGAGTTTTTGTTGCTCGTCGAGAACCTCGTCAAAACGGGGCTCAACCCTGATAGTTGTTATTCATATTGATGGCGGTTTAACGGTGGAATTTGACTTACATGTGAATGTAAACAGGCTTGTGTTTATCTGGCAGACTGGCGATCTGGCCACAGAGGTAAGACCAGTGAGCGTTGGGGTCACTATCCTTGGTGCCCTGGAAGTAGTTGTAGGGTGAAAGTCGAAGACCGACCTTGTCAGCACCGATAGCATCACAACATGCAGTAAGAACCTCGAGGAGGAATCTGCATCGGTTCTCGACAGAGCCGCCATACTCGTCAGTTCGGTTGTTGATATTATCGTGAAGGAATTGCTCAAGCAGATAGCCATTGGCACCTAATCCTAACAGTTAGCAAGAGGTAGAAGTACAGAGACTGGATGTGTATATACCATGAATCTCAATGCCATCGAACCCAGCAACTTCAACAGCTCGCTTGGAGGCAGCGGCCCATTCGGCAGTAATGCTGTGGATCTCTTCCACTGTCAAAGCTCGAGGCGGGTCATCCTTGGTATCAGTGCCATCCAGATATGTACCCGGCATGGGCTGATCACCCGAAGAGACAGCCCTCTCACCACCTCGCTGCGCACTACAAGATGCCCTTCCAGTGTGCCACAGCTGAGTAAAGATATAACCGCCCTTGGCATGGACAGCATCAGTTACCTTCTTCCATCCCTGTAATTGGGAGTCGGTAAAGACGCCAGGAACCCCGGGGTAAGCACTAGCGTTCAGGGCAATGTCGGTCGCCTCAGTGATCTGAAGTCCGCCGTCACTGGAGCGATCACTGTAGTACTTTACCATACGGGGGCCTGGGACATAAACACCACGAGACTCGAATTCACTTCGCATGCGAGTGTTGGGCGCCTGTAAGGATTATGTTAGGTTCTTCTCTGCGCATCAATAACTAACTTTCATTGCGTACCTGCACAATTCGGTGCTTTAAGCTCAGTTTGCCAAGCTTCAAGGGCGAGAACAGGACAGTGTCCTTCAGCGCGGTATGCGCTGCTGGCGGTGTAACAGCGATAGGCATCTTTGTCTCAGGGTAGCGGATATAAATCGGGGAGGAGAAAATGACGAGCTATTAAAAAAGTTGAAGCTGGTACTAGAGGTGGGAAAGCTGTCTGATTGCACTTGGAATTGATGAAACAAGCAGCTATGGATGTTGAAGCTTTAGTAGCCGATGTATTTTGTCCTCATACATTTTGTTTTCATTCTGTTATTTCGATCGCAACTACCCATGAGCTCCTGGTACCCCATCCCCCACCTTTGAACGATGAGAGTGGGTACGGAGATGCGAGGATTCAGCCATCTTTCTTGTTGGCCACTGATAAGGTGCAGTACGACAGGGAAGACAAGAATGGGGGTGGATCTGGCCGGGGCAAACCAGGGTCGGACAATTTAAAACAGCTAAGACAAAGAAGCCTTAGCTTCAATGCGTAACAAGGGAGACATCCAATAGGTCGCTTACCATCTTTTGTGGACCAGGCATCTTTCTCGCTCCCGGGTAAGAGTTGTGAATTTTACTAATCTGAAAGTGATGAGCAAGATGTGTAATGACACTGCCAGTCTTGGGACTAAGGTTTGCTTACAGAATAAGCAAGTTATCTCCGTCGATGAGAACAGTGTATCGATTTGTGATTGTTTAAAGTCCTCGGATCATTTCAAGAGGCATTTAACTCGTCTCAAAAAGGTCAAGGGCGAAACATGTCAGATTTTCATGGGACAAGATGTAATGATTAACCGAGAGCCTTAAATGTGCTCAATTGAGATGTTAGTTACATATTCAACATCATCAGGCATAAATTACGTCTCTTGATTGTATAATGACCGAGACAGAGACAAAATGAACATCAACGTTGAAGTCTCACGATCATAAAATGTCGAAAAAGGAAGCGACAAGAATCCACAAGATAGCACATGCTTTTTGTGCGTCAAAGTCTAGTTCAAACATACATAATTAACAATAGTTGCTACTTGAGTTTTAATGCCTGTTCCTGCAAACATGTGTCCCAATCCTGACTCTAGAGAGAGGCATGTCCATGTGTTTCATAAGGAAGACCAATACAGAAGAAGCCGACCACGATCCAAAGCGCTGCACTCGCATAAATGGGCACAACTGAGAAACCCGAATAAGTTGAGATAAAAGACGCCACAAGACCACCAAGTCTGAGAAGTGTAGCTGCAATACCAGTACCAGTACCCCGTACAGGTCCAGGGAAAGACTCTGGAGTAAAGGCAAACATGACGGCGTACTCTGCGATACCTATTAGTGGTTGAAAGGGTCAGAGGGGCTATAAGAGATACTCACCAAAGTTTCCAAGAATAGCTGTAGCACATTGGAATCCAATGTCGGCGGCTTCAGTGCCAACAGCTGTGTATGCAAAGAGAAAGGCGCCAGTGAGAACGGCAGAGATGGCCATCATCCACCTACGGCCGAATCGAGTCTCTACCAGGAAACCTGCTGATATCGGACCGAGGACACCAACAGCGGAAACAATGCAGTAGACCATATATGTATGGTTGAACGATGAGCTAGCAGTGTACTCTTTCTTAGACTCCAGGTAAGAAGTAATGAAGGCAAAGTACAGCGGATAAGCAATTCCGATGGTAAGCCAGATCAAGAATGTGACTGCACTATGCTGAGCCATCTTGCGACCGGCGAATAGCGAGCGGTAACTGCTCATGTTGAAGTCCTTAAAGTTCTCCTTGAGAATATCCTTCATGGAAAGCTTCTTCTCGGTCTGATCCGGAATGGCGTGTACAGGTTCACCGGTAGATGAGACTACCGCAGACGAGTAGATTTGGCGGTCGATATCTTGCATCATCTCGAGCGTCAGGGTCTCGGGCTTTCCGTTATAACGAGCGATGTAGTTGACCGATTCGACAGCTTCTGCATCGCGTCCCTTGGAGAGAAGGTACTTGGGCGACTCGGGGATCTTGAAGACGAAGAGTCTAATCAAGGCAAGGACAAGAGCGATGCCACCGAGAGTGATCATGACGTAGCGCCTGCAGAGGGCATCTTGTTAGCCCAGTGAATCAGAAGTGTTTTGCAAGTGAACTACTTACCATCCCATGTTATCCTGTCTGCGGCAGCCCTCAGGGCTGCTACAAGCAAAGTTGGCAAGGAAGACCCATGAAAGAAGGGAAACGATAAGCTGTCCAAGGTTCCACCATGCAGACAATGTGACGAGCAACCACTGATGACTCTGTGGGACAAACTCAAGGAACACAATGCTGTCAACTGGGACGTTACCTCCAGCAGCAGTACCAATAACAGCCCAGAGAGAGCAAAAGGTGATGAAGTCCTGAGCTCCAGCAACTGCACATGCAAAGATGGCTCCGATGAAGATGGTAGAGTTGAAGGCAGGCTTGCGACCAATGACATCGGCTGCAGTATCCTCCACTAATGATGAGAATGAGAGCGGGAGAACGTCCTCTCGAACCAGGAAGAGACAACACTCGAATGACGAGGTGATACTTCCACGACTCCCACGCCCAGACCCGCAGTCGCGGGAGAAGAAGCGCTGGGCCGGAACCAGATCGTCGACTGGTAACAATGTGGCTGAGGCTGAGGCCCAATCTGAGTCCGAGCCCGAGCCTGAGCATGAGCCTGAGCTGGACCATGGCATGGAGATGGATGTGGATGACAGCAACCCCGATGGCACCAATGGCAATGCTGGTGAGAATACCAACACTAAAACGAACCTCAGCGGAACTGATAACGAAACACTTTACGTGAGTTATCCAATTCCATTCCCCCAAGAACAACTAACCATAATCCAGGAAGCCATCACAGCCTCGGCTCGTCGTCTTGAATTGGCTCGCCATAACCTCAAAGAATACGAGGACGATCTAGAAACCGAAAGAGAAGCCTTGAAAGCGATAGTCGCCTCACTAGCAGAGGCATCAGAGGCTCACGAAGCTGCTATCCAGAAATGGAGAGATGCCGTTGTAAAAGCAGACACAAAACAGAACGAACTCAGACAGTTTCAAGACCTCGCCCAGTCTTTCTCACACGACACGCAAGCTGCTTTGGAGCAGCACAGCCAAAGCTTGCGACGTCTGCGCGACCAAGCAATCGAAGCAGAGAAACATGCCGAAAACGAGCTCCGAACACGGCGTCGTGAATTCTGCCTCCTCGAAGAGAAGAAAGATGCAAAAGAGGGCACCATCAAGAAGATATCAGCACGGATTAGGCGATATCAAGACGACATTGACGCGGAGGAGGTGAAACATCAAAGGTTGCTTGCGGAGCATTATCTGGAGCTTTTGAGCAATGATATTATACAAGACATTTCCATTGCCGATATATCATATGCGAGGATTCTTGAAATCAAGTTAGAGCGTGACCAAAGGATTTGGTATAAACAAAGATAGACAAGTTAATAGGATAGCGATTTCTTTTTTTTTCTTTTGCTTTTAAAAATTATTATGTATAGGTAAATAGACTACTGAGTTTGAAATAAGGCTACATTTCGCTAAAGGAAGTAGACTGCACAGGTTGGCAATGCACTATTAGAGGACTAGTTTAGACAGTAACGCCTGTGAAGGCCGAGGACAAAAGCTGTGCTCAGATCTCGTGCCGATAAATGGAATGGTCCTTATGTATATCAATTATGCATTAAATACATCTACCACGCCATCTTGCAAAAGCTCAGTCGTTGCAGCGGTCATTCGATAGGTTTGATATGCATAGATGTGCCGAAAAGAGATGTTTTCCTTGCCGGTCTTACGGTTGTTCTATCGATAAACTATTTGTTAACCTCATAGGAAGAGGTAAATTGATGCAAATTAATTAAGAAGAGACCTCATCTCCGTAATATTCACGACCGCCATATCATCAAGTGTTTTGATGCGACTGGGTCTCGCCTCTCTCTGACGCATGGTGCTGGCATAATGGCGGTTTGGAGCCCAGAGGCTATAGTGAAGACATCGCGATGTCAACCCCCAGTGGTAAGGTCAACAAGCTTGGTGTTCTACCTGTAGCAGGCACTTTTCGGGTGAGATAACTTCAAAATGACCAAAAATCAAAAGGAAAATATCAAGTATCTTCTCCGAGTCGAGAGGATCATTTTGGTATAGGTCAGACCTTGTTCTAAGCTCTGCTTGCGGTGCTATACCGGTTTGAAGAGATTCCAACGGATGGATCTGAGGCTATCGTGATCCACAAAACTGACTGCACGCACCAGACAGGCAGACATGGCAGGACACGTAAAACTGTTCAGCCCAAAAATCGGCCTGTACCATGTCTCCTTCCAGTTCAACTCCTGGTCACCAACCACCACCACCATCCTCTGGCTGGAATGGGACGTTAAGTGGCTCTTGCATCAAGACAAGTTAATACAAAAGGAGTATTCTTGTTGTTTCTTTTTCGAAGGATGCAAGATGTATGCGGATGGTAGCCGGATTGATTTTTTCCTAGGGGAGCATCCGCTTGACTACGCTCAGTTGGTTTGGTGACATCTAACTGGAATACTGAGTCAAGCCTTGGGTTCACTAGCACAAGATAAATATAGCTTGTAGTCCTGGAATTTTTCTTTCCAATGATAGTAAATGCAGAGGTCACTGGGCAGCTAATATCATGGTCCCACTTAATGAAGCTGGCATACTGCTGATTGAGAGCAAGCCTAACAGTCAGCAGAATATTAAACAAATTCAGTCTTTAAGAATCCGTATTTATATTTTCTTTATGGCTTGTTGAGTTCTTCCTGGTAAGTTGATCGATGTCGGACCAATTCTTAGAGTCCTGCTATTTCCCAACGACTCTGACATGAAATCGTTTACCTGCGAATATCTTATTGCTATTGTTGAGGTGTGAAAATTATTAGTCGCTTTGAGGAGAAAAGTTTCCTTGCTTAATTAGCTGCAAGTGCATGCCCGGAGAAAGATTTTGAGGAATTCGAAACACGGCTCTCCTTTGGTCAGAAGTGAGTAATAAAAAGCTTGCTTATCTAAATGAGGCCTCCCAAGCGCGGGTGAACACGACTATTGTCTTAATCTTAAAGAGCATTTCCCCTTGGACAGAGTCAGGAAGAAGAGCCGCAGAGGAGGGGCGAATATAGGTCCTACCCTACGCCGATTGTCACCACATCAAGATGAATTCGAAAGCACATGGCAGCGGGAATGACGGAAGGGTTCCGTGGAATGGGTCTTCAACGACGAAAGGTACAAGAATTGGCGATCTGCCCCCGTTACATTATCCTTGATGATATATCGGTCTCTTGGCAGTGGAAAAACTGTTGCAATGGCCAATATTATAGACAGACTTTAGTCTAGTTTAACTATAAAATCGGAGATTGTTCAATCGAGTCAATGTGCTGTGGCCTTTTTCTTTGCCAATCTTTAAACAAGAAGACTCTCTCACCTAGGGTACTCTTTGGAAGCATTGCTCATCAGTTTCTCAAATCGTTAAAACTGCCCGCTAGCCATTTAGCAATCCGTCAATATAATAACGAATTCACGGCAAATGGCGCAGATTCTATCATCGATTATATAAAGATGCACTTCCCAAAAGATTCTCATTACTTTGTTATAATTGATGGATTGGACGAATTGAGCGGGGAGGATGCTCACGAAGTTTTACGGCCATTAGCCGACTTCCAAAAGCACCGCCGCGTACACATATGCTGCTCAGTCAGATTCGACTCGTCAGTCAGATGTATGATCTCCGACATGCTACAGGATACTGTGCTCATCTCGATGTCATCTCCGCACAAGACAAGGAGATTAAATCCTTCGTCGAAGGAGAGCTCAATCGCCGGACTGCAACAATGAACCTGGACGAAGCAATTAGGAAGCACATCCAGGATGTCATAGTTCACGGTGCTCAGGGAATGCATCTGTGGGTTGTGCTGCAACTTAATGCCTTGTTTCCCCTGTACGGCGACACTTTAATTGTCATAGGTGACTTTGTTAACTTCCTTGATCGATTGCCTAGTAGGTTGTCTGAATCATTTGAGGAAGCCCTCGGAAATATCCAAGACGATCGCTATGGAAGTCGAATATTCGAATTAGTCGCCGCGGTTATACGCCCGCTGACGAAGAATGAGTTGCGAAGTGCACTAAATTTCGAACCTGGAGTACCATTATGGAATGATTCCACCCTCCTGTTACATGTTAATGCCATGGTGTACCAGTTGTGGCGGTGGACTCCTATACTTATAGCTCCCTAAAAATAAACTTATAGCCCTTAATAAAATTATTATAATATACCTTAATATTTTTTCCTTATTACTTTTAAATAAAATTAACTTTTAAAAAGAGTAATATTAAGTATTTTCTTATTAATACTTAATATTATTTATAAAAAAAATTAATAAATATTAACTAATATATTTTTTAATTTAAAGTAATAAATATAATAAGTATATAAAATAAATAAGTATATAAGATACTTTACTTTTTACCTTAACCCTAGGTTTTTAAAAGCTTATAAAAAGTTTAATCTAAGCTTAATATAGCTAAGTTTAAGATATAACTTATATAAGTATATAATCTATATAATATATATTTTTTAGACTTTTTACTATTTTAATTTATATAGTTTTAGCTAAAAATAAAACTTATAATATATAACTAAGGTTTTATATATAAAATAAAATACTTAAAAAGTTATAAAAATATATTTAAGTATAAATAGGTATATTATATTTAAGTTTAATTTTAAATAATTTTTAACTATTTTATTTAGAATTTTAAATAATACATAATAGGCTTCTTTTAGCTATATAATATACTATCTTATATACTTATTTATTTTACTTACTTATTATATATATTAATATACTTTACCTTATAAATTCAATATGAGCTGAAAGGCTTCTCGCCTTAAACCGCCTTCTTACTCATCGCGGCAACAACCCGAGTCGTCCTCCGCTGGGCCAGCGGCTTTTCAACCATCTCGCTGGCTCTGCCATCCTTACCGCTCACGTCCACGCCGAAACTGAAATCCACGACACCTACAAGCCCGCTCATCGCCCGCACCAACCTCTCAAGGTCGTCGCATACCAGCGTGTTACACACTTGCATCGCGACGAATTCGGCGTAGCCACGCAGCTCCAAGACTGCATCCAAAGATTTTGTATCCCCAGGGAAGGCCACGTCGGCTTGCTTGTTCTGGGGATGTTGGTCGCGTCTGGTGCGTTTCTCCACGGCGTGATCTGGGGCTTCCTGGCGCAAATCGATGGTAGTCAGTCCCGGGTTTCCGCGTCCACGTGCGAAGTCCCGATGGGGAAGCGATGGATTGTCATCTGGATCTGATTCGGTGGCCCTGTCGTTTTTAGGCAGCTGAATCAGCCTCGGCATCATCTCGTAAGGTTGAGGAAGAAGTAGGAAGGGTGGCAAGCTCTGGCCTGCAAGAATCGAGTTTGACAATAAGGCCAATGTCGACAGGAAAGTATTGTTAGTCGGTTCTACTCCCGAGAAGGCCTCTGTGAGCGCCGGCCACCAGCTATTATCGTGCGCATCTGCTGCAGCATTAGATGAACAAGCTTGCCCTTCGTCGGGGTCCTCCGTCTTATGTATTCGCGGCGGATGTGTTAGGGTGTAGCTCATAAGCGTTAGATAGCTCATAATACGCCCGCTACGCTTGATGATCTCTTGGTATGTCTCAACGGGAAAACGGCCGCCTAGGTTGGGCTCCCACCGCTGCCACATAATGTGAGACTCAATCGAGGACATGAGACGCATAACCTTGCCGAAAATCTTACGCCGAGCTTTTAAAAGGTGGTAAGCAGGCGATGTTTCTGACTCGATATCGCCTGCTGTCCCTTCCCGCTGCGATTGCACAGTCGAAAGTATGACGCTGAAATATTGAGCGAGAAGGTATATGGTCGCGGACAAATCCTGTCGAAGCGAAGTCCGATCGGTTAGGGGAGAAGGGAATATTGTCCAGAAGAACGCAATCAGACTGCCTGATGCGACAACAGCGAGCCGATACGGAGCCAGAAGGTAGGTTCTTTACCTCTTGTATTAGCCTGTGACAACGTAGATAAAAGGACAAAGACAGGCAGGGCTCACGGGTAATATGGCTGTCCTGACTGGGTTGCTACCGCTTCGCCAAGCTGTCTTACCTGCAACTCATAACCGATAATAATGATCTGAGTAGTAATGGTAATCATAACGGCTGTAAGAAACCGGGGAAATTTGAAAAAGTAATACTCAATAAAGATAAAAAACCATAGGAGAATAATAACGCCAGGGGTCTTCTGGTCAACGGTATACCAGATAATGAGTGAGAAGATCATAGCTAGACATGTGCCCCCGACTCGACAGAAAAAGCCAAAAATCGACTGGCCAGAAGCTATTAAGAGTGAGTAAAACATCCAAGTCAAACTGCAAAGGGCCGCAGGGACTTACTAATCGTCATTCCCAGAGCGATGGTAATCATTGCCCAATCTAGCCTCTGATCTTGAAAGAATTGTTGGGTTTGCTTTAAGAACGCCAGGATACCGACTGTCATCGTAGCAGCGGCGACTCGAAAGCCGAAGTGGGACTCCTTAGATCCTAACATTGACAGGATCCTACGAAGCCAGTTCCCAACATGCTGCCAGATATTAGTGGCAGGAAGATGCTCTAGGTCCTTCTTAGGGTTAAAGCTATCTCCGTAATCAATATTATTCGTCTCTAGGATATCCTGGTTCTTCTTTACGCTCGAGTCCTGTTCTTTGAAGACACTCATCAACCATCTCCATAGCCGTCGTTCAGTAGGGAAGATTAAGCGTTTATGTTTCATTGTGCCATCCTCAACTTTCTTGTCCGCGAAGGCGACTAGGTCTTGGAGGGCGTCCCCGGCCACATGCATCAGCTGTTGTGTGTAGAAGATCACGTAAAGTTGCGTCTGGTTCCTGGATATGGCGTCGCTGGCGTCATCCTTAACCCAGGCCCGAGTGGTATCTCCATTCTGCGATTTGAATTCCTGGACTTTCCTATCCACAAGGCTACCAAAATACTGGTCACCTGGGTTTACCACATCTCCATGCGCCTCGACATCGTCCGATCCGATTCTCGTTGACTTCTTGGTTACCTTTGGTTTCGGGAGAATTTCCAAGCAGATGCCAGTATGTTCTAGCCCTTGGTCGATTGCTTCCACAAAAGTCTGGAATGTCGTGTGCAGTTGTTTCATATCATTCCACATTTGTTTCTCCCAATTTCCTTCTGCCGTGCTCTCATCTAGTGTGTCCTTAACGACATTCCGCCTTTGACGTTCGGCGACTCGGTGGAAGATATCTGCAAGTGAACTTATCGCCACTCTCCTGGAAGTCAGCCACGTTTCTGGCAAGAATGAAGGGATGGCAGACTTGCATTGAAATCGCGACGTTTCGAATTAGTGTGAACATCTCGCCGAGATCTTTCGCGTCAAGCTTTCCCCAAGCCACATCTCTCTTGGCAAATGCCATATTGTCATGGATCTTGCCCGTAAAGACTCTTGTTGTATGGGTTGTCTCTGCTAGACGCTTCGCTGCTTTTGCCTCCTTGGCCATACCCTCATCCTTCACCTTCTCCATCTTCCTGGACTTCCGCTTCTTCTTCTCCTGCCAAGATTCTCGCTCTTCGGCATTCGTCGTTTCGGTGTCAAAAATGTCGTCTCTTGCTAAAGTTGCCAGATATTCCTTTTGTAGGCTGACTACCTTTCTCAGCTGGCAAACGAGGCCTCTGAACTGCCCGATTACTATCATCCGACTACTAATAGGAAGGATGAAGAGCGACACCCCTGTTGCTAGTGCCATTCCAAATAGCATCGCTAGAAGCTGCTCTTTGACGAAGGCCTCCACTGCTTGAGTCGTGGCAAGCCTGGGCCCGGAAGTCGTGCTATTGTTGATCAAGATGCTATAGATTATCACAGGCAGGCTGAAGCTAGGCAGCTTCGCCCGCATAAAGTTCGCAAACCAGATATTGGTGAAGAGCCATACTGCGCAGACGGCTGACTGAGACGAATTATACGGCGGTATGCCTACCGTGGTAGTCTGGGATGTGGAAGGAGAGGTATGAATACGTGCCTGGACAGAGGACCAGAGGACGAGGAGAGACATAGCCGAACCAACGCAGATGGCAAGGAGCTCCAAGCTGAGATTCTGAATAAACCTGTCGCGCGGCAGGATCGCGACGGCAAGGACCGAGATTATTGGGATTAAATAGCCCGTCGTCGTGAAGTAAGAGGATATTCGTGTCGATTGGTACATCGATATGCCAATGATAGGAGGGATGGAACCTCTGCGCAGAGCAAGAATACATTAGTACAGAAAGTCCTAGAAGAAAGAAAAGAATGAGGATTGACTTCTGACTTGAACATCAAGCCCAATGTGGCGGCATTTAGCCCGACCTTGTCCATGAGGCATTTCAATATGGTGGGCTTTGGCTTCGGATGTACCTCCGTATTGTCATCGACAGCGGCGAATTCCTGTTCCTCCGGAGCCTTGCCCATGGACCCATTTCGCTGCTTTTCTGGGTTCGCCATGGGTTGAGATATTCAGGTGCTGGTAGTGGCAGATGTGAGGCGGGCATAGGCGCGCAAGCGAGTTGATAAATGTCCAAGTTCGTCATTCATGAACTGTAGGTCGAGCCCACAAGATTCCTTTTAAGACGATGCGATGTAGACGTCGACGGTAGAATAGTGTTGGCCCATGATGTCATTCCACATTTCCCAATGGTGAAAGGGACTTCTTGTTTAGCCAATCCTCCATGGGTGGGTGACTAGCCTAGGAGGGCACTGTCAATCTGTTCACCAGGGGCGCGGACCTTTCCACCCCCAATAAGCCGAGATCTGAGGATAGAGTTTCTTTGTTGATGCATGTGTAAGGTGGCGTGGTATCGCAACTTACGTTTGCTACTGGTGGAAAAGCTAACACACCTTCCCTTTTACTGAAGATATCTTAAGGTAGGCTAGGCCATCGCCGCAAGATCGAATATGTTTGTGCGCTGAGGTTGCCAAGTTTCTGGTTCTTCCCACGGAGTTCAGTGATTTAGATCTTTTGAAGCGTCGACAGCAGAGCCGAGTACAAGGAACCGGCCAATAAGTACCAAGTAATCCAGAGAGTATTTGTGTAGGAGGCTTAAACTCGGGATGTTTGGCGCACACTTGAAAACAAATTCGATGAAGCTGACTGTAGGGCAGAATCGGCGAGATGTGCTGGAGCCCAATATTGGTGCGGGAGACGGCTGCATCATCGTGACGTCAAAGGGTCACCCCATTGATGATTGGGGTAACTATGTGCTGGTCGATAAGCCCCTCCTAGTCACACAAAGTGTAAGGTGCCACAACCTTCCAAGAAATCTTCTTCAATTGTTAATGTGTCGGAAGTCACGGTTTTTATTATAAATAGTTTGCACCGCGCGTTTTTCATAAGAACTCCTGTCATTCATAGTGTAGGATTGGGTTATGGGTTGCCGGTCCGCGTAAGTGGCTTCGCCTGGCAAATCATCAAGACTGCTTGCTTGCACGCCAATGGAAAATGATAACTTAAGCTAGCGTGAACGTCGCAACCTGGTAGTCACCGAAATTATGCATCTGGTGCCTTAACGTTTAATTAAGGATAAATCTATACCTTTATTGTTAGATGCTACTTTCACATACCTCATTTACCAATGAAGTATAGCCTCTGACAGTCAGGTCCACTTGTCGGATGATTAAGATTTCTGCATCAATGTCGGGGTTTAACTTAAAAGTAGACACTGACGGCCTTCTTGCGTAATGGGGAGGCTTATTGCAGATATTAACCAATCGTCAGAAGCATATATACACCAACTTCAGCCTCAAGTTATCTCAATCTGACTAGCAAAGCCAATGGGTTACGCCCACCTCACAGCTGTCTCGAACCCTTGAAATAATCCATCAACCTCTTGTCTCAAATTAAACAAGCCGGCCTCATTCCGAAATGGTGCATATATACCGGTGCTGCAGATGGAGTTCTATATCCTCAGCGGAGTGCGATTAGTTTTGTCCAACCTTGGAAATATCTGGTTAACTAAGGGATAAGCACCCTCCTTTGACAATACTATTATATCAGGCATAAATAGGCTCTCATCCAGGCGGATTTTAACATGAATTTAGACACAGTTACAGAGTGAATTCTGTATAAAGGCGGTAGAGGGTTAAGGTAATATATATAATAAGCAAGCAGATTACTATAAAATCTCTTAGTATTTACACCTTAAATAATAAAATTCTTTAAAAGAAATTTAAAAGTCTAAATTAATATATACCTTGAACTTAATATAACTTATGCTATTTAGTAATAAATACTTATTTCTGCTATTATATAATAAGCTAAGACTTTCTAAGCTTATAAATAAGTGCTAGCTTTTAATACTATTAAAAAGATTTTTTTTTTATTATCTTTTATTAAAATTAAGCTTAAGCAAATAGTAGGAAAATATCCCGCAGTAAATACCATAAACCCAAAGAGACTAACACATATTATGTTTCAGATCTGGCCGACCTGGACCTAAAATAGCGGTTTGAGCCACTAGATGTTAATAAGCAGGTTGACAAAACGATTATCCTTTAATTACACCTCTGACCGAGGCTGTGTAGGACTGACTTGCTCCTCGGCGGCTCCCGTTGCAGTAGATTCCCTGTTCTGGCCATTGGCAGGATAATTGCTGCTAAACATTGATAAGATGCGAATTTTAGCAAGTTCTATTATGGTTCTAGCCCTCGATTCTACTCACTGCGACAATTTTCTCATCTGCTGTTTGGCCGAGGTCACTCTCTCGTCGACCTGGATATATTCGGAACAGACGTATATGCCCTGTTTTCTCATTAGCGTCTGGCCACCAGTTCAAGGGAGGTGGTGCCTTACTAGAAAACCACTGATGAAATGAAGCACCCAGGCGATGATCGAAAAGGCGATAACAGTCCGCCACTCCGAACATCCGGCTCCATTAATGTTGACCCTGCCCACCGGCCCAACCCTCCAGAAGCGTCCCCAATAATAGCCCCAATAGTTATAGTACCACCCTGCACTGCAGATATGGCTCCTCGTTCTCTATCAAAACAGAAAAATATCAAGTTACCGTTTACAAGAGGGCAGCAGGGAGTTCTTACCGTTTCAAGTAAGCAAAACGCGATCAACCACATGATAAAGAGGATAAAGTCGAATGGAAAAGCCATGAAAAGAATATCGATTGGTGCAAAGACCACTATCGAATAGACGATAGTAATTCCTGCGACGACCATAGCGTAGATAATTCGTCCATCGACACTGACATTACTAGTCTCATTGATAAGGTAGCAGAACCGGCCAAGGAGACCCAGTACAATCGCACCGCAGGCGAGCTCCAGAAATCGCAGGATTACGGAGGCGACCTTGTGTCCACTGCCACTATTCGCCATCTTCAGATGAAGTAAAATCTCCTTAGTAATGGGTAATAAGTAGCCAAGTAATTGGTTGATGATTGATACCAAAGATTTGTTCGACTCGAGACGAAATAGCGGACTGCTATCTCAACCACCACTGCCTGGTATAAGTACATGATGAAGGCCAATACCCGGTATGATCCGGTGCTTCTGTTTAGCCCTTTCAAAGGTCGATGCGTAACTTTCAGCAACGTCACCATGACTCAGAGGCCAGTTAAAGGTTGACGCCTGACATTGGGGTCGCACCCTACTCAAGCATGCAGGCTGACCACCCACTGCCGTTTCACTGCCATTGACTGGGCAAAACCCAACTAAATTTTAGGGTCCAGAGTACGAAACCGGGCCAAATTGAACCCCATTATTAGAGAGGACATTCAAGCAAGCAAAATTAGCACATCGGTCGTCTTGTACCGGAGAACCCGGTATCTTCATAAGGATTCTGACCTTGCCTTTTCCGGCGATGCCTCTGACTGCCTTTGGCCACTTGTAGAATAAGCCTTTGTGAAGTTATTCGCATTCTAATAACGAGGAGGTGAAAAACGACACTTTGAGGAGGGACTTTACGGAAACAAAGATAGATTCTGCAACTCAATGACATACTGCTTTTCCTATATAAAAAGCCGCCAAATTGTCGAAATGCCCGTCTTAAGGTCTCAATCGCTGTCAACCCAGCTTGCGGATTTATCATTAACCACCGTGGAGATATCTCAGCGGCCTGTGCCTGACTCTCAGCCATCTGCCTCAGTGTCAGGCCCATTCCAAGGGCACCGATCCAAGGAGATGGTCATTGTCTAGCAAGAAGACTTCGTATCCTCTCACTCGGCACGCAATAGCCGGGATAGCCTATTGCATTGTATTTGAACCATACCCTTGTTGTCGAGGTTAGCTGCCGCGTGCCAGCATGGCCGTCGCTGTTGAAATATATTTTGGGCTAGATGATCTCGACCAGTCGAATGCATAGAAGAAAGACGAAATAAGTTTGAAGGGGGATGGCCCAATCGAAACCGGCCAGTGGCAAAGTGTTGTGGTTTGCGCCTGGCTTGGCCGACGGTGCTGCCAGAATCCATAAGGCAGGAAGCGATTAGGTTCTCTCCGCTGAAGCTAAGAACGTCATCTTTTGCACGTATCTCGGGACAAGTTCATCGCTAGTGAGAGACCTCTTAATTCTCAGCAATACCTATGCTGGCGACTTTTCGATAAAGTGAGGAGAGGTATTTCGTCATTAAACTTCGAATGATCATTTGTATTCTGTCATCCTGCCTCCTCGTCAACACACGGATTGAGAGAGTTAACATGTGTGTTCCTTTTTGAGCTTCAGTGATGGCCGCCAAGAGGATAAGATGCCCATTATGGATCATGCAGATTTGGGTAAAAACATCGACCAGGAATCCCCGGTCGTCGAGACCTGTTCCTCTCTTGAGAAGATATTTAAAAATGACGATGCCCATCTAGAACCTATGTAAGCCATAAGCGTCATGAACACAAGTTCCCAGGACAATGCTTCAGCCGTTAAGCTAAGGCTAACCCGATTCCCTTTCTTTGTATCGCAGCCGTTGGTGGTTCCTCTCATCGACGTTCCCTATGATTGCAGGGACTCTCGGCCCTGTGGCTTCAGCATTTAGTATCTGTGCCCTAGCTCAGCCATGGCGACAGCATCTCATCCCTGGGGGAGACGTCCAGGAAGCACCTTTCGTCGCCAATCCGTCGTGGTATGCCATCCCAAGACTACTCCGATCAATACTTAGAGCATGTCGTCTCTGACTTGTGCTATTATAGGTTGACGATTGCTAATGCCATTCAGCTTATTATCGCCATCACCTCAAACATGTTTCTACTCCTTAACATGGCAGGAAGAGTTCGCTTTAGTCTGGCACAACCCATTACTATAGGCGGATGGTACTACACAAAAACCACATAGAATCGGGGTATGCTCCTAACATAAGATCAACAGGTACATCTCAGCGATATGTCGCATCTCTCTAAGCGCCACTGCCGCTGGGCCGCTCCTCAAAGCCATCAAATTTCCTGAAAAAGAGCTCATCTGGTCCCAAGCATTTTACTATGGCGTGTGGGCAGCCATCCTCTACTTCTTCGATGCTTCCCTCATGGCTCTGACCTTCTGGGGCGCTTCATCTGGTCACTACGGGAAGGACTTTATGCTAACCTTCAGTAAACGCACTCTGATGTTGCAGACCATTATGTTCCAGTTATACCTCCTTATTGGCGCCTATGTTTTCTCTAAAGTAGAAGACTGGAATTACCTCGATGCCATCTATTGGGCAGACGTTACTTTCTTCACAGTCGGCTTCGGTGACTATGCCCCTACAACTACGCTTGGAAGAGCTCTCCTGATGCCGTACGCCCTCTTTGGTATCATCAGTCTTGGTTTGGTCATCAACTCAGTCAGAAGTCTACTCCTCGAGCGTGGAGGACGCCGCTTCCAAGCCCGAAGGGAGGAGAAGATGCGACGCAAGATGGTCCAGACCATAACACACAGGGGTGAGGATAATATCCTCAAACCCATTCGCGAAGAGTCTAAAATCTCTCGCACACAACCAGACAAAATCCCAACAACCGAGTTTGAACGCCGCAGGGCCGAGTTTGCTTTAATGCGAAAAATACAAGCACAAGCCTCTTTTCGCAGGAGATGGATGGCTATGACTATCTCCACTAGCTTATGGCTCGTTTTATGGTTAGGAGGTGCGGTTGTCTTTGAGAAGTCCGAGAAGCCCTACCAGGACTGGTCGTACTTCGACTCCCTTTATTTCTGCTTTGAGGCCTGGACTACTATCGGATATGGTGACCTTACCCCTATATCTAATGCAGGCAAATCGTTCTTTGTCTTTTGGTCTCTTTTAGCCTTGCCCACTATGACAGCGCTTATCGATGGTGCCCGCAATTACGTCGTAATTCGCTTAGACCACGTGACAACTTATCCACCGCAAAAGGCGGCCCGTGAAATCGTGTGCGCGACGCCTGATAAGTGCGTTTGATAAGTCCCCGCAACTTATCTAGCTCCGGACGGAAAAACGACACCACATAGAAAGGCCTCGATCGACCGAGATGGCCGCAGACGACTCGTACACGGCCGCAGACGAGCGCGCCCGCGCCGCCCGGAGGGCGGGCCTCCAGGCGAAGAAGGACGAACAGCCGGCGAACACGGCGCGGAGTTACGCTGCGAAGCAGCGGGAGTGGAAGGCGCGTCCTCCCCGGCCGCCCCCCTCTCTTCCCCCTTTCCCTTCCCTCTTTTTACGCAGGAGCCCCATGGACGGCTAACAGACGAAAACCTATAGGCCTGGTGCCGTACGCCCCGGCCTGCGGCAGACGGCTCACTCTATAGCTGGCCCGACGGCGAGCTCGTAACGCCGGACAAGCTAGCGGCGTGGCTCAAAGAGGATATCCTCTTACGACGCGTAGCGCCGCCGCAGAAGAAGCCACGGGCACGGGCACGGGCACGGGGTAAGGGTAAGGGTAAGGGCAAAGGCAAGGCGGTACAGTTACGGCAGCAGCTTGAACAGGAGCAGCTCGAGGCCGCGGCCCTGGCAGAGGCCGAAAGCCTAGCCGAAGCCCTTGAGGTCCCCCTGGTCGAGGCCGCCGAGCTGCTCGCGGACGACCGCGAGGGCTACGTGCCACCCACGGCCCTTGCGCCGGCTGCAGCAGACCTTTCCGAAGGATCTCTGCTTACGAAGGGCACTATCGACGCCTATATCGCGGCCGTTATCGAGCTCTGGCGGCTCCAGGTAGCCCACGGTAACGCGAACACGGAGAACCCCAGGGGCGCCGCCGTACGGGGCTTCCTTGAGCAACGGGGCCGACAGCGGGGGAAGCACGACCGCGCCTCCTTTAAAGACCGCGGAACCGACGGGATCCAGGCCGGCTATTCGCACGATGAATGGCTCCGGATCCAGGATCTCCTTCTCAGCGGGGCCGCATACATGCCGCAAAACCTCCGTACGCGAGTCGACCTCCTATTCGGCCACTACTACCTCCTACGAGGGGAGAACCGCCGTAAGATGGAGCTTGCGGACCTATCCCTACTCGACTATCCGTCTTCAGAAGGCCCGACCCCCTGTGGCTGCCTCGTGACCCTTCTGCGAGACGGTAAGCTGAACAAGACGGCAAAGAAAGAGTTCATGGGCGCCCTCCGGCATAAGGACCCCTTGCTCTGTACGCAAGGGGCTCTGGCACAGCTCTTCTTCTGGCGCTGGCACGTCGCCGGCGAGTCGCCCCCGTCCTTCCGGCGCCGCCAGGACTGGTATCGGATCAAGGCCCTTGTTGGACGGGACCGCGAGCAGGAGCTCTCGTACCCGACGCAGCTACAAGAGACCTGGCGTATCTTCGGCGCCGCTGGCCTTGTCGCGTCAAAGAAGACTCACCTCCCGCGCAGGGTAGGCGCCCAGGACGCTGAGACCTACGGCACGTCGCTCGCACAGATCTCGCAGGCCGGCCGCTGGAACCAGAGCGTGCTTTGCCAGGCCTATCTTACGCACCTACCGCGCCAGTTCATGCGCATCGTCGCCGGCTTCTCGGCGTCGCCGGGGGACTACTTCCTCGCGCGTGCGGCTAATGAACCCCCGTACGTCTTACAAAAGCAGCTCTGGCCGTGGATCGAGGAGTGGGAGCCTCGCTTTGAAGCGCGCGCGCGCCGGCAATGCTGGGCAGAAGGCGGCCTCGACGACGACGACCTAGCCGCTGACGGCTTCCTTAAGCTTATGCGGCGCCTGCGCATAGTACTCTTACAGGACCTGGCTGTCTTGCAGCCTCGCTACCCGTCGCTGCCCTTCTTCGCCTATGCCCCTTTCAACGGGTCTGAATGGGACGAGTTCGCCGTCGCCGTTCGCTCCGACGCGGCAGGGGCTACGGAGCCGTTAAGCCTGCTCGTACAACGCGCCCTGCCAGAGCTAAGCGGCGTGTTAGAGAGCACGCGCGAGGCCCTCTTACAGAATAACCAGCGACTCGCCATCCGATTAGAGGCCCGGCTAGAGGGAATCCAGGGCGGTCTCGATTCCCTGCTCCAGGGCAAGGTCCCAATCACCTTTACCGGCCACTTTGGAGCCGGGCCAGCAGTGTCGCTGGCGCCGGCGCCGTCGGCAGCCCCTACCTTGAACTTCAATACGGCTCCGGCTCCGGCTCCAGAGCCTCCAGTACCAGGTATGCCCGTCGTTGCAGCCCTGGCCAAGGTCTTTACAGTGCGGGATGTCTGGAAGGAGTGGGAGGAAGGGATTGCAGGTCAGCCGGCCGTACGGGTGCTAGAAGAGACGTGGGGAAGCCGCTGGCGCCCGGGGAACGGGATCAGGGTGCAGTTCTGTCGCCGGAAGGTGATCTGGGACGAGCTCTTGGCCCGCACGGCGTCCGGCAAGAGCGAGGAGGAGGCAGTTGCAGAGCTAGAGCTCTTACGCGCCGGCCGGAGCTTGAACCGGCTCGTCGACGAGCTCAAACAGCGCCGCCGGCGGGGCCAGGGCCAGGGCCGGATACGGGTACAGGTAGGGACCCCCGTGCCCGATGACCCAGACCCGGGACCAAGGCCGACTCGGGACCAGGGCCATCGGGGGCGCTGGGCTCGGCTAGGGAGGAGGCGGACCGCCCCTCGTCGACGGTAAGCTGGCCGTCAGGTAGGATCTTTATATATTTATAGCGGTAACTAGTCCGTATCTATCTATCTATCTAGAAGGCATATTTTTATTTTTTATATTTTTTATTTTTTTTGAAGATTAAGGAGCAGCAGGATCAGCGCATTGCTATGTCGTAGTCCTTGCAGCGAAGCCTGGCCCCCCAGCCGCTGCACACGCAAATATCTCAGCGCCCGCTCGCCTATACAGCGTCGCTCTTGAACCAAACGGACCGCCAGAGCGTAGCAGTCCTCCAGCCCTGGAATTGCATCGATTTGGCTCCTAACCGTCGAGATATTCGCGTGCGCGGCGCCGGGCACTTATCAGATGGTAGTTGTGTAATCACATACGATTTCCCGAAATTACTCCGCAAAACGACCCCACGATAAGTTCTGCTTATCTCACATGCCAGTGACACCGTGGTAAAGTTGATCCGAAATGGTACCCTTCGACTAGGAAATATCACGATCCTGCCGGGCAATGAAAGTTTTATCCATAATATGAAGTACATCATTAGCAAGTTTACATTCGGCAAAGCCTTCCGAGGCTATATGGACTCTGCATCTCCGGAGCTGGCGGGGTCCTTAGAGAGCATCAATCATGGCTTGGCTGGGATCACGACCGGTACCTACGAAGAAACTCTCCAGGGTGATGACAGAGGCTGCCCCAGCACCCCTGTTATCGATCGAAGGGTTTCACAGAACCGCCACCCACAATGTACTTGCCCTCCATCCCGGCGCTCGCTCTCTCGCCTCCGTAACCCTCACGATGAGCTTCCCACGGGCACCGATTTCCACTTCATCCTTATCTCCGAGATCCAGGTCATTGCAACCAACCTCAAAGAATCCAAGCCGCATCGCTACACTTTCGACCAATGGGCCTGGTACCTGAAACTTATCGGCGAAGATGAACACAATGCACAGGCGCATCGCAAGGCTAAGCCAAGGGAAAAGCGCCTGGATCTGAATGATGATGACGTAGATAAGGAGCCGACGTGGTCGTGGGTCGGGAATTGCAATCCTTTGATAGGTAGTCAAGAGGAGAGTGAGTGGATTCTTGATAAGTTGATATATAGACTACGAGAGTCGCTATCGCCAGAGAGGAGGCGGCACCAGTGGAATGGTGCCGAGAAGGCATATGGGGAGGCGCAGGAGGTGTAGAATTTGGATGGAGATGGTAGCGATATGAAGCAACAAGGATGACACTTGTCTCTTGAATCGGTCATTTACACATTGCGATGAAGACCATGGGTTGTTCTTGTTCCCGGCTACTTAATATATGTATGGGATGAAGTTAGACTAGTTTAAATAGGATTGGGCAATGTGTTCGAAGATGCCAGTAATTTCGACCACTTACTTGACAGATCTCCTCGGTGTCCACAAGCCTCAATCCCATACTTACACCACATGACGACAGTACAAGCGGGGTATGGAAAGATAGTTCAATGAAGCAATTTCGGCCAAAACACCATACAAATTATTGTGACGTTATTAATAAATTCTGTGCCAATTCTAGAAAAGAAACATACTATTGATACCTATGATGGCATTAGCTTTGTTAAAGAAGATCATAGTCGCTGTATACACCTAAATGACCTGACCTGGGTAGCTGCTTTTCCGGCCGAAACAGATAGTGGCACCAAATTTGAGCCTTGCCCATAAAAACACGCAGCTTTTGCATCAACACACTGCCCCCAATGCCGCTGCAGCTAGTCCAGCTTTTTCTTCCTATTTATCTTGATGAAAAATGGGTTTAATACACCAAGGTCTAGGTCACGTAACTTAAAGCAAACGGCGTTGTTAATAGCTGGAAGCACCCAATAAGAGAACGGCAAGTCTGAGAAAATGGGAAATAACCTCAGTTACAGAAGTATATATATGGCTTGGAATACTAACTTATATGGACTTACATGAGGAAAGAACGATAAAGAGCCAATGGAGTACCCCCAAGTCAGGTGTTCAACGCCCCCAGCACTCAATCATCAAGTTCATACCGTATTGGAAGTTTCAGCTCGTCGACTGGCGACGCAGAGCATCCATGTTGAAATTAATGGTCAGAAGTCTCCAGGCTCCTGCTGGGCACTCTCCCACCCGGTATTCTAGGGTGCGCGACGTTGACCGGCTCGGTTTGCTCCAGGATCCTAGGTGTTGAGACCGTGTGACCAAGGTGGTCCGATGTGCTGGTGACTGGGATGTGGATACGATGTAAGGAGCTGTGCTCCTCTCGGATATATGTAACTTAGAACTAACAATAACACAAGCAACCCTTTTTATTTCAACACTAGGGTACCTCGTACAAATAGAATCAGTCTTCGTCTGGGCCGTTGAAGCCATAATCTGCTAGGCAGGAAAGGTAATCTGCAAAGCCGTCGACACTAGGGGTGCTGACGACGTCGTCATAATGCGGTGGGGGTGTCCTGGCGCCGATTTTGGGCGTTTCGTCGACGGGTTCGGGGGCTGGTGGTGGTGTGATATTGTTGTCGAAGGCAGGAGGGTTGAAGATGGGTACTCGCAATAGGTGGGGAGTTCGACTCGGGCAGTGGACGCCTGCTGCCTTAGCGGAGGATCGTAGGCCTTGTTGGCCATAGGCAAAGTGTGTAGCCCGCCACGAGGAGGAGAGCTTCCCGCTAGCCAGGCTAACATCAGCCATTGTTCCAAGGAAAGATTGTGGCCAGGTTTCGTTTAGGATGGTCATGGCGTCGGGGCATCCACAGGTCGACTGGTAGGTAGCGGACTGGAACATCTCGTCGGAGTAGGCGGGAATGCTGATGCTGGCCGAGGTGGCTTGAAAGTTGAGTAGGGTAAACGGCCAGTTGGTGGCGATCTCAAAATTCCGGCACTTTGTTCCCATTGGACCATTAGTATCAAGGAGGTTAATTCGCATTATGACCTATTTCGTCGGTATTAGGACTGGAGTTAAGAAGGAGTATGGCATAAGCTTACTTGAATCTAGTGGTTAATATTGACATTCTTCTAGATATATTTGGGATGCAGCCTTAATTCCTTCTTCTTAGCCATTGTATTACAAGTTGGGATATATAAATCGACTTTAATATCCACAGGGCAGCAGAGACTTTCCAATCCTAAGTTTAAGTTACATAAGAAGTTAGTACTTAGCTTTAGCAAAGGCTGAATTGCAGTATGTTATCTAGATGCCTTTAAAGTTTGTTATTTAGCAGCTATTTTGCAAGCCTAAAGTTACTTTTTAAGAATGAGTTTATTATATAATATAATCTTAAGACTTAAAGACGCCTATAATAGGTTTAATATTTTCCTAGCTATTATATTAAGAAGTAGAAATTTAATATAAAAGGCCTTTTTAATATACTACTTAATATTAATTTAGTATTTTATTAATTTAATTATAAATACCTTATACTTATATACTTAGACTTAAGCTAGAAGTATTAACTTAAAAGTAATAATAGTTTTAGTACTAATAAGAAAGCGTTTCTTAAAGATATTAACATTATAATATAATTAATTATAATATTATTAATAAATTATAATATACTTTATTATTTTTAAAGATAATATATTAAAGACTTATATTATTAAAACCTTTTATTTTAATTTTTTAATATTATAAATAAAACTATAAGTAAATACGTATTATATATTAGTAAATTATAATTTATATAATAAGTATATATTATAATCTTTAGTAATTAAATATTATTTTAAGGTATTAAATAAGATAAATCCCTTTATAATTATATTATAGGCTAAATAAAGGTATTAAAAGACTTTATTAATTAGTTATAATAGGGTTAATATATATTAAGGCAATAATAGGTCTTTACTAATAGTATTATATTTTAACCTACTTAAAAAATCCTTAGTCAACCTTTATAACATACCACACCTAATTTATCTATTATACCTCTACTTAAAGGTTAGCCAGAGCCTACTTATAATTATATTATATCTTTATAATCTTAAGTTAATAATAATTAATTAAAGGCTTAAAGAAGTAATTATATTTACTAAAATAAAAAACCTTATATATTATAACCCTAGTAGTTATATTATATAAACTATATATTTTCTTACTAATTATATATAATTATAATAAATTAAGAAATTATATTTATAATTATTAAAATATAATTATAATAAAAGTATTAGAATTACTAATAATGTTAATAATTACTTAATAACCCTTATAATTACTTTATAACTATATTTTATATATAGATTATACTTATTAATACTTATATAAAATCTAACTTACTAGCTAATAATTAAGATTTCCTTATATTAATAAGTCTTATATATATTACTTAATTATTAAGTAATATAATAATTAATATTTACTTATTATTTGCCTTATAAATTTATTTATAAGAACCTAATATAAACTAGTTTATTACTTAAAAAACTGTAATTATTATATTAAAAATACTAAAAATAGTTCTTAAGGCTAAATATTAATTTAAATACCTTATTAAAAAAATTAAAAGATATTAAAGTCGCTCTTTAAAGGTATTTATAAAAGAAATAAAATATAATAGTTATATGTTTTAAATAAGAAAACTAATCCATACTAGGTTTATATTTATAAAGTATATAAGGCATTAAATAAAGTAAGTTAATTATTATATCTCTTAATAATTAAATAATACTTATTAGGCTTATTAATATAAAGAAGTCTTATTAATAGCTAGTAAGCTAGAATCTATAAACGTGCTAATAAATATAATTTATATACTAAAGGTAGCCCTATAGCTTAGTAAAAAGTAAGAGTAATTTAAGGGTTAGATCTTTAAGGATCGCTAGTAATCTATAATAATCTAATTATTAAAGCATTATAATCTAAGTAATCTAATAGAAGAGGATCGTTACTAGGAGAAGTAATCCTGCGGTAATTAGTGGAAATTATAGGGGCCACATAATATAGCTATATAGGTCGTAATATAAAGGTAATAATATATAAAAATATCTTATTAAAGGCTAAGCTTAAAGAGGTTTAAGAGGTAAATAAGATATTAAGCTAGCACTATATAGTAAAAAGAATCTAATTATAAAAAAAAGGATTAATAATTATAAAGGAAGTAAAAAACTTAATTAATTAAATATATATTAATATATAGCTAGTAGTTAAATTATTAAGGAGTAGTAATTAAGAAAGGTAAATAAAATAGGGGTTTAGTGCTGTAATATATATAGCAAGATAGGATATAATATAAGAACTTATTAAGAGGATATAAAAGTATTTAGAAAAAAGGATAGTAAAGTAATGTTAATTAATTCGCTAGGTTATAGTATTTTTATAAAAATATTTAATTTAAATGTTAAGGAAAGTAGCTTATATACTTATAATTTATACTAATATTACTAAATTATATATTTTCTAATTAATATATATATTAGTTTTTATATTTATTCTTCTATTTATTACTAATAATATTAAAAAAAGGTCAATACCTATATTTATAACATCTCCTCTTTATAATAACTTAGTTTTATTCCCTCCAGCTAGTTTATGCTAGCATACCTTAAAGACTTAAGCTATACTGCCTTAATCATAACATTCTTACTGACATTCAGCTGAAGTTTACCTTACAGCAATGCAGTACTACTCTAACCTACGCGATAACCATTGCCATTATAGTCAAACCCCAACAGAAAAATATTGTATTCGGTGAGGAGGATGGAGCAGGTATCGACCCTCCCAAAAGCGACGGGCTTGGGGACCGGGGGGGGGGGGGGGGGGCAACAGCGAACTCGGCGGATTGAACGGACATGAGACTATTGCGATTGGGCGCATTGTGCGCTCTTGCCGTCCAAGAGACGGAGACTCGGGCAGGTATGGCGCAGCGTTGGCTCGGTTTTGGCTTTCTTAGAAACCCCACCTCTCCTTTCTTCAGACTCCTTTTCTTTCTCTTAGTCGTTGTTCGGCATCTTCCAATCGTGAAGCATATCCGGCTCTTGACTCATTCGAGTACCTTGTTATGCTCCTAGAGGTACCCATATATTTCAGGAGTCGTGCATTCGCTGCAGAACAGGGGCTCACAAGGTTTGGTCTGGACCTTCTCCTGTCTCAATCCTTCGATCTCCAATTCGTGTCAATCTAGTGGGATTCCTGCTCCAAACTATCCCCGAAAGCCCCCTGGCCTGTAAGCCTTGGAAAGCATAAAGTGCCGTAAGGTTTAATGACGAGGTAAGCAAGTAAAGGGTTATTTCTGGGCCTAGGGGCACAATTGGCATATCCCCACGACAAACAAAGATAGAGACGGTCGGCCTTTGGGGAGATAATTCTGATGGCGGATCGAGTGGCGGTCCATTTGGGCGGTTTATCAAGGGATTTTATCCACCAATATCAGGTGGATTAATTGCAAACACCATCGAAAACTAGCTTCTGCATCTATCCAAAGAGTAATGTATTGAGCATTCGACAGTAAGAACTTGAACAAGTCAGTCATACATGCCCTGAACACGCCTTTGAGACTGTGAGTTCCCAGTGTACACCTAGCGAGCAACTCCAGACCTACCGTCCGGCATTTCCCCTTCATAAGAAACCGGAAGATCTGTAAGTTCAAGTGGTAGCTTTCGCAAGAGCATAACAAGGAATAGGCCACATGCATGGAGCGACATTGTCCGCAGTCTTTGTGCAAGAACATCGCTTGGTATCCTTCTGACCCCAATGACCGATGGTAATGGGTTTCTTTAGCATGGTCAGCCGAAAAACCTGAGTCTGTAGAACGAGCGCGTAAAGCTAGAGATGTTGGGTAGAGTTACTGCGTCGATCCTCTACAGTACTGGGCACAAAAGATATAGTGATACAAGCGATTAAAATGAATTCCCTATCTTTTGTTGTATGAACTTTTGCTCTTACACACTGCGAGGCAACCGAGAAATATGCTAAGAGCGTATGCGATGTAGCCCTTGTCTATGCCTGACACCATAGCACAACATGAGTCCAACCCTGTTCCAGTTAGTGCGCTAATTAGCGTCAACCACGCATGCCATGCACTTCGTGATGGTGCGGCTGTGTTGCGGCTGGCCCATTTGGTGTCGGCAGTACCATCCTCTCTCGCTAGGTACGAAACTCTCCGAACTCAGCCAGTCTACCTTTTTATCCACAAAGTCAGTTCTCACACCCCAGTCTAGTTCGTCAATCCGACGAGACTTGAATCTTGTTTTATAAATGGACAACTCAAATTGCATTCCTCGGCTTATTGAAGCCTAAACCCCAGCATCGGTAGTATGCCAGACCCGTCTCTGCTGCTTTTTCAGCTTCACCAAGGCGTGCTCAAGTAACCTAAAGTTTAATGAAACTGCAGCAAGGCAAAAAGTTCGTATTGACATCGTAATACGTTGGTGGAGAAAAAATGTGACATCCTGGCTATCTCTTTGAGCGGCACAAGGCAACACTCATGTCACTAGCCCCACTTTGCTTACTAACTCCGCTAGTACCTGCGGGGTACGTGAAGTTCTCGTCAGACAGCTGTATGATTTTTCACCACCAAATTCATCAAAATCCTCACACAAACAATCCCTAGCCTGTCGTAATTGAAACGATGAGCTCTTCTAAGATACAAGATAGCATAGATGATCACAGCTTTAATACCCCGCCTTTGAGGGCAGCTAATGACCCCACCGGCGTGCCTAATTTTCCGCCTGAAGAGGGCCGCGGTGATGATTTTCAACCTTTCAACCTAGAATATCGTGATTTCAAGATCAACCCTCTGCCCAAGGAACCGCTTGAATTATTCCAGCTTTTTATACCTATTTCCCTTATACAGTCATGGGTCAAATATACTAACAGCTGGGTCGCTTACCTGCTTGAAAATGCCGTTATTGACAACTGGAATACCCCCCTTTCTGAACACTCACGTATCCTCAAATGGGAAGGCATCTCCACTTCAACGGCTTATGTAT